TCCATGACAAAACACTTGTCACGGAAGTATTAGATAATTATCAAAACGAGCAGGAATGGTCAGGTTGTGGCTAATAGTAGGCCAAGTCACCGATGTCTAGACGTTCGCATGGTTAAGACTTGTTTTCAATGTAAATTTAATGTAACAAATAAAAATTTTGCAAGTTAAATTCATGAAATTAAGGTTTAAAATAGATGTAAATACCCGACCCGAAAAACCCGGAACCGAACCGAAAATTTACAGAACCGACCCGACCCGAAAAATTTTGGAACCGTGACAGCCCTAATATATATATATATATATATATATATATGCCCAGACCATCCAGAAGAATGTCCTGAAACTGTTTCATCTAGATGAACTCCAAACACTTTATTATAAAAATTTGAGTGGACTGTCCTTTACATACATGTGCACCTTCTTGTCTTGATGTCTGCTCATCATAACAATGTATTCCAACTAATTAATACCTTCAGAATATTTTTTTTATAATTAATAAAGACATAACAAGGTAAATGTTGCTTCTTCATTACAATTTGTTAATCAATAATTAGCCCTTCAAATGGTGTTGAATAACATGAATAAACTGAAAAAGGGACGCAAACCAGATCAGTGTTGTGCCCATTTACAATTTAAATGATCTCTGCTTTTTGACCTTTATTATGTTAGTGTTTTGACCTTGACCTTTTATTTATTGTGCTAGAATACTGTTCATACTTAAATTACATGCCAGATGTATTAATTTTGCATATACATTGTATATGAATTTTTTGCTTTATTTTCTTTTTGCGGTGTTTGAACGAAATGGGTTTACTATGGGGACGTAAATAACAAGCTATAGGCCACATGGCTCACCTGAGCACTTTGGCTAGGAGTTCAGTATTTTATGAGTGGTTTCAACCTATCCTTAAGGGGAGGGGGGCATGATTTGAACAAACTTGAATCTTCACTACCTGAGGATGATTCCACATCAATATGAATAATTACCCCCGGGGGTCATGAGTTGAAAAAATTTGAATCTACACTACCAGAGGATGTTTCCGCATAAGTTTTATCTTTCCTAGCCCAGTGGTTCTTGAGAAGATTTTTAAAAGATGTCATTAATTTTTCACTAAATAAATTTTTAGCTCACCTGAGCTGAAAGCTCATTGTCTCCATTTCATTTTCAATGAAACCATTGTCCGTCGTCCGTCCGTCCGTCCTTTCGTCTGTCTGTCCATCCGTCCATCTGTAAACTTTTCACATTTTCAACTTCTTCTCAAGAACCACTGGGCCAATTTTAACCAAATTTGGTACAAAGTATCCTTGAGTGAAGGGGAGTTTAAATTGTTAAAATAAAGGGCCAAGTCCCTTTACAAGGGGAGATAATCAAAAAAAGACAAAAATAGGGTGGGGTCATTAAAAAATCTTCTTCTCAAGAACCACTGGGCCAGAAAAGCTGAAACTTATGTGGAAGCATCAAGGTGTAGTGTAGATTTTTAATTGTTAAAATCATGACCCCCAGGGGTAGGGCGGGGCCACAATAAGTATTAGAAGGGGGAAATCTGGTAAAGAACAGCATGGCCAAAGTTACTCAAGTGAGCGATGTGGCCCATGGGCCTCTTGTTTATTATTTCCCCTTGGAAAAGGGCGTGGCTCTTCATTTGAACAAATTTGAATCCCCTTTACCCAAGGGTACTTTGTGGCAAGTTTGGTTGAAATTGGTCCTGTGGTTCTTCAGAAGAAGTTGAAAATGTGAAAAGTTTACAGACGGACAGACAGCTAGAAAGACAGATGGACGCTGTACAAAATGTGATCAGAAAAGCTCAATTGAGCCTTCGGCTCAGGTGAGCTAATAAAACTAATAACTTTAAAGAAACATCTACATGTAGAAGAAATTATGAAAGATTATTTTTTTTTTTACAATACTTAAGTATGTAAGTAAATAGAAGTCTCAAGGGTTGTATGTCGGGTAAACTTACAGCATATTTCGAACAATAAAAAATGTCTTGAAATAAAAAATTATTTTTTGAAAAGTTTAAAACTAGAAAAATTATTATACAGTAAATTGAACATAATCACAGAATTGAAAGTGAATTATATATAAAATTGTAAACACTGAGAGATAAAAAAACTCACACCTGAGAGAATTTGTATAATGTGAGACATGAATTGTGTTAAAGATTCATTCACTGACTGATTGTCCTTTATTTAAAAGTTACAGGATATTTTGAGGATATTAGACAATAATAATAACAAAATTTATCAACATGATCAAATATAGTGAGAAAAATTCTTTGAATTATGTCAAATAAAGATAAATAAATGCATTGTTTATTTAGCTGGAAAATTTTTATTCAATATTTTTAATTAAAATGAGAAATACTGCATTCAATGTATTTAATGTGTAACCTTAAGCCCCCCCCCCCCCAAAATAAAAACAAAAATTAAAAAATGTAGAACAGTAGCTGTAAATCAGATAATGTGAATCTCCGATATATGTAATTAATGCTACAAATTTATATTTTTAGCATGTCTTAAATGCAATATAAAACAAATAATCCTTAGTTATATGGTATTTATCATATGCATGCACTTGTGCCTAGAAGTGAAATATTATGTATTTTGATTTTCATGTAATTTAATCAATGCAAGTATTTTAGTGGATAATTATGCAGGGCTAGACAAATAGCATTGCCTGATGCCCAGGACAACCAATTTTGTTTGGTGGGCAAGTTATTTGGTAACTGGTTTCGGCCCGCGGACAAATGTTTTCCAGCTAACAAAAATCATATATTCAAATGTTGTTTTGTTTTACCGTTGTTAAAATACAGTGAATCACAGCAGAGTATCTGTTTTCGATGCAGTTGACCACTACATCGAACACTCAGTAGGAACTTCTCTAGAATTGCCCATTCATGTCTTGATAATATATTATATATATATATGAGAAGTATCAATGTCATGTCAAAAAAGTTGAAGAGGATTTTGGACCTTTCTTTTGTCAAAATGTAAAAATCATGCCATGAATACATGATACAAACACATGTTGCTGTTATTAAAGTGGAGGTGTTGACGTGGCGAACACACACAGTCATGAAGTTGAACCCTTAATTGACATTCAGGAGTTTTTTTAATAACACAATAATGTAGATACAAGTGTATTTTTTTCATGTAAAAAATACAGTGAAACATATAAGTACATGTTTATGTATTTACATTGACATGTACATGTATTTAAAATTTTAAGTTTAATAATCAATGCACAGCGCAGACGCTAGGAAGTCTCCCTAGAATTAGAAATTTTACCCTTAATTTCTCTATGGGAGAGTTAGTGATTTTGGGTCAAGGTTGGTCCTAAATGTTAATGATAATGTTGTAGTTTTGTGTTATTTAAGAAAAAGGTGGGACAAGCATATTTTTTGGCAGGAAAGGTAATTTTACGATGGTAACCTGTCCTACTCCTGGAGAAGTACTGACAATTTCTATTTGTCTACCCCTGTTATGTTGATTTTTCATCTTGGGCAAAACATGCAGTAGATAAGTTAATTTACTCTTGAAATATAGTTAAATCTGGACTGCATCGATCAACATGTAACATCTATTTATATATTTATACACTAGCAATATCCAATAGCTCTGTATGTTAAAACAGTACAGAAGACCCTTAGAACTCTATCAGTCTTGTAAAAAAAAAAAACTAAAAAGTTCAGAAAAAAAAATCTTGAGTGTCCAAAATATTTGTTATATATATAAAACTGTATAAAGATTCGTCAAGGTGCTGACACTTCACATAAGTGTAAAATTTTGCTTGTTATGGATCATATAGATAGTGACTGCCAAATGCATGAAATGTTCAAAGTGAAAGTAGATCGACCTACATGTACATGATCATGCATTTCAATCAATAAATAAAAATCTACCAGCTTCTAATAAAAAAAGTAATTGTAATTATAATTAAAAGGTGTATTTGTACACTTTCTTTTTTTCCTAATAGTTTTATGATTTGAAATAAGTTGATAAAAAAATGTCAGTTTTCGTTTTTTTTCTTTCTTTGACATGTAACATGTTATGGGGCACTTATGCAAACATTCTGACTTATTCTTAGCATTTGAAACAGTTCTTTCTTGGGTGTATGTATGGTATAAAATAAAGAAAAGGACGACAACTTACCATCTTACTACATTTTCAACAAATGAAGCTGTAAATAATACAGTCTAGTCTTGCACCAGACCATGTCAACATCCGTTTCTAGAGGAAATGCGTGATCTCAATATCCACAACTTGTACTGCATTGAATTCGGATTATTTCTCTCATTTCATGAGAAAACTCGTCAGAATATATTTGAATGCAAAAATATACTTATATTATTTACCAAATTACACTGAATTACTTTTGTTGAATTTTTAGGATTTTTTGTAATTTTAATTTGGAAAGAACGACTACTCCCTCGATAAACTGGTTTCCTGCCCCGTGATCTTGACCTGTAATGGACGAGTTTACCATGTTAAATCCCCGTAGACTTTGAATTTGCCGCCGTGTCAATACACCGGTTGAACTCGAGGGTTCGGATAAATGGAGGAAGTTTGGAAAAAAAATGATCTATCGACCGAACCTAGTTTGAAGGCCAAGGTATTTATACATTTTGAGATATGAGGCGAAAAGTGAGGTCCTTGGTACCCTGGGACAGACTATACATCATATACATGTATGTACATAATCATGCAATAAAATGAATAAATAAAGATCTACCAGCTTTTAATAAAAAAGAGAGTCATTGTTATAATAATTAAAAGGTGTATTTGTATGCTTTCTTTTTTTCCTAATAGTTTTATTAAATAAGTTGATAAAATGTCAGTTTTCGGTTTTTTCTCTCTCTCTCTCTCTCTATCTCTCTTTCTCAGACATGTAACATATTATGGGGCACTTGTGCGTACATTTTGACTTATTCTTAGCATTTGAAACAGTTCTTTCTTAGGTGTATGTATGGTATAAAATAAAGAAAAGGACAACAACTTACCATCTTACTACATTTTCAACAAATGAAGCTGTAAATAACACATTCTTGCACCATGTCAACATCCGTTTCTAGAGGAAATGCGTGACCTCAATATCCACAACTTGTACTGCATTGAATTCGGATTATTTTCTCTCATTTTATGAGAAAACTCGTCAAAATATATTTGAATGCAAAACAATACTTATATTATTTACCAAATCACATTGAATTACTTTCGTTGAATTTTCAGGATATTTTGTAATTTTAATTTGGAAAGAACGACTACTCCCTCGATAAACTGGTTTCCTGCCCCGTGATCTTGACGCTAATGGACGAGTTTACCATGTTAAATCCCCGTAGACTTTGAATTTGCCGCCGTGTCAATACACCGGTTGAACTCGAGGGTTCGGATAAATGCAGGAAGTTTGGAAAAAAAATGATCTATCGATCGAACCTAGTTTGAAGGCCAAGGTATTTATACATTTTGAGATATGAGGCGAAAAGTGAGGTCCTTGGTACCGTGGGACAGACTTTAGTATATTTATTCATAACGATTCTATATTAAAGTTCTGCTTATGATTCACACCCGTTTCTATTCATATCTCCGTAAATACTCTTTTTTAGTCCCCTACCGGTGAAACCGGAGGGGACTATAGGTTTCCTCTGAGTCTGTCCGTCTGTCTGTCTGTCTGTCCGTCTATCTGTCTGTCCCTCTGTCAGTCTGTCCCACTTGGTTTTCCGCACTTTTTTCCTAGACGCTTGCAGATATTGAGCTGATTTTTGGTATGTGAGTGTATCTTGATGAGTTACATATCAAGTTTGCATTTCGTTCCGTTTCATTGATTTTTTACGGAATTACGGCCTTTTCAATTTTTAGGGGTTTTCCGCAATTTTCTTCTAAACGCTTTCAGATATTGAGCTGATTTTTTGCTAAGTCACTTTACCTTGATTAGTTATAGGTCAAGTTTGCATTTCGTCCCGCTTCATTGATTTTTGGCGGATTTATGGCATTTTCAATTCTTAACGGGAACCAGATTACACTTGCCGGTAGAGGACTAGTATTGCTAATGCAATGCTCTCAGAATGCTTGTTCTATATATTTCACAGAGTTGATGGTTTCGATGACTATTCTATCTAAACACAATGCAACTGACCACAAAGTTACTCATTATGATCATTATGATTAGTAAAAGTCTGGGAGAGAAGTATTGTCTTTGGGAAGTAGAATCATTACTTTAAAGTAAGACATGGTTGGATGTTGTATTTTAATATAGAGATATATAATAAAATAACAGGAGTATTAGGAAAAGAATACAGTTCTCCTGAATAATAACAATATTCCCTGCAAAAAATAAAACAAATCAAGAAAAGGTTGGTATTTTGTTGTACTTTTTTAATTCATGAGCAGCAAAAATACATACCTAATTTGTCTATTTTCCAGATTGATGATAGTCATTCTATGGATCAATCTATCAAGAGTAAAAGTAAGAAACTGTTTGTGGCAGCCATTGACTTCGGAACGACGTACTCCGGATATGCCTTCTCCGTTTCCCAGAGCTGGCGCAAAGTCATGGCTTGTCATTGGCAAGGAGGTGGCCTCATATCTCACAAGGCCCCGACTGCCCTGCTCCTCAAGAAGGCTGAGGGTTCAGACCCGGTCTTTGAGGCCTTTGGTTACACCGCTGAAGACCGGTACGCCACAGTGACGGCCAAAAAAGAACACAAGGACTACCTTTACTTTCAGCGTTTTAAAATGATCCTACATGAAGATTGTGTACGTAAAATTTTGTGTCCCTCGTTTTAATTATATTTAACTTTAATGGTATAACAAAAATACTGTAACATTGCATCAGCTTAAATTGCAGAAATGTATGTTTTCTAATTTTCTGCCTTTGGGTAATTTGATGAAATTATTTTCAGGAAGTCAAAAAATCTATGGAATGTACAGATATTACGGGTGAGAAGTTAGAGGCCACTCAAGTTTTCACTCATTGTATTAAATACCTAAAGGACCACTTAATAGATAAAATCAACGAAAAGTTCGCGGGAACGAGTGACAAAGACATTGAGTACGTGTTGACAGTACCGGCAATCTGGGGAGACAAGGCCAAAATGTTCATGAGGAAGGCTGCGATGAAGGTCAATTATTTTTGGCATTGCTTACCTTGCTCTGTACTGGATGCATTTAAAATGAAGATTCATTTGTTTTTAGCTCGAGCTTTTCTCATCAAATTTTGTCCCTCGTCAGTCCGTCCGTCCGTCAGTATACTTTTCACATTTTCGGCTTCTTCGTAAGAACTAATTGGCCAATTTCAACCAAACTTGCCACAAGGCATCCTTGGATGAAGGGGATTCAAGTTTTCTCAAATGAAGAGCCACGCCCTCTTTCAAGGGGGAATAATTCAAAATTAGTGAAAATTTGGTGAAACCTTCATTACATATAGTGTAGATTCAAATTGTTCAAATCATGACTCCTGTGGATAGGATGGGGCCACAGTGGGGGATCAAAATTTCATATGAATATATAGTTTAAAAATCTCAAGGACAGCAATTTCATGCTTAATCATATTGAGATGGAAGTATCCTTACGTAGTGTAGAAGTTTGTTCAGACCATGATCCCCGGGATTTGGTGGGGTCACAATGTGGGATCAACATTTTACAATGGTATTTATAGGGAAAAAATTTCATCTTAAGAACAGGAAAGCCACGATTAGTCATATGAATATGGAAGCACCCTTAGATAGAGTAGATTCATAATTGTTTTCAGATCATGATATATGGGGGTAGGTTGGGGTCACAACAGGGATCAAAGTTTTACATAGGAATATGTATAAGAAAAAAATTTGCTGGTGAAAAACAGTATGGCCATATTTACTCAGGTGAGAATTGTGACCCATGGGCCTCTTGTTTCTTTTCTATTTTGGTATGCAGTCTTTTAGAATGTATTGTATCATCTGTTCAAAGAAACTTCATTTTCCTAATAGGTTGGGATAGAGAAGGACCACCTCATTATGGCGCTAGAACCTGAGGCAGCATCGATCTATTGTCAGCATTTACAGATAGAGAATCTGAGGGACCCTAACGCCAGTGTCATGGGATCAGTCAGCACGGGCACCACATACATGGTTGCTGATTTAGGAGGTGTGCATAAATGCATTCTTGATTAAGATCTTGCACAACAAAATTTTATATTCCCGGTGAGACACTTCTTTTCTTTGAAGATTGAAACGTTATTTTATCGACTTATTTGAAATCCCTCTCACAAAGAACAGTTGTTTTACGCATTATCTTTCTCTCTTTTTCTTTCAAATTTTTGAATATGTAAACTTAGTACAATTTTCATTTTTAGTGCTTTGGCCTTAAATGCGAGGGGTGATCAAAAAGTTCGCAAACTATCTCTATATTTACAAAACCACAATTCAGATCAGAATGAAATTTGGCATACTTATAGTCATACACATGTTCTATAAATAGCAGATGTTAAATAATGTTTACGTCACAATGTGAAAATGACTTCAGTATGTAGGTCACTTGTGACAAAAAGTGGTTGACTCAGTCATACTCGAGCAACGAACGGCTGTAAAGTTTAACGTATATCTCGGAAATTCCTTTGCAGTAGAATATGACAATTTTTACATGGTTTATGAAGACAAAAGACTTACCAGAACTTCAGTCATTAATTAGATTGAATTTTTTAGTGAAGGCAGGAAGATGGTTAAAAAATGATGTTTGTTCTTTTGCCCAGCGAAAGCAAGCCGGTAAAAAGATGTGTCCTTAGCTGAGCAGTTTGTTTTGAAAAATCGCCAAGTTACAGTAAGAAAAATAGTTAAATATCTGAGCGATAATATAATTATTAAATCCCTAAAATATCGTTTACTTTAGACTTTAAACATATGAGATATGAAAAAAAGAAGGCGTCCGTACTTTTTCCACATTTGATAAACGACACTCCCGAGACAGAGGACTCGGGTTGTGATGGTCACCATATGCTAATTCTGGGAAGGGATATCCTTATCCACCCATCCTATTGCCGAGATTTGGCCATTTCAGACAGATGGTCTGTTCTTATTATAAAAAATTACTTTCATGCTAAGAAATATAAGACTTGCAAAAATCTCTGAGCTTCTGTGAACAGAACGCTACGAAGCATGTCACGTGACCGCCTGGATCACGTGATTCGCGCATGGGCAGAACAATGACAGATGTGCATTAAAATCGGAGAGGACTACTTTAAAAAATAACAAGAAAACATTGATGTAACCATCAATTGTCGCCCGGGAAATAAAGTAAACAATGGAAATGAGTCTTGATCATCAAACCGCTTCGATATGTGTGAAAAAGGCATGCGTCTAAATGATGACGATAGTCGAGAATATTTTGAAAACCTATAGTCGGATGAAAATCGAGCAAAAACGATACCCTTTTAAACTTTATCAATTCCTCAAGTAAATGTTGGCTGCATAAAATATAAATTGAAACCAGACACATGCATCACCTATTTTCAAAAATTTCTATCACTTTAAGAATATAAAACACGAACTGTGTAAAGTGCGTTTTTACGTTTTTATGCGATAAGTAAAATTCGATGTTCTAAAAAAGGGACCTGTCGTTTTTTCGATAGTAAATGATAAGCAACTTTATATATTAAATATGAAAAATATATATATTTTTACAGATTCACTTTATGGAAGTAAATATATTGTATATCTCGTAATTTATAAAGGGAAAGAACATTCTGATTAACAATCTTTTTAATGTTAGAAAACCTTTAATTCTGAATAACTTCTCCCACCTCAATCCCCATATACCAACACTTAAACTTATATGTATAGAGCAGCCCGGTCCTCCGGGCTGCAATGAACACTGACACCTCATTTTATTTCATTTAAGGATGTAATTCAATTAGTTCGCGAGCTTTTTGATCACCCCTCGTAATTTGATTTTTATCATGGCATGAAAAAGTCCTACTTTATTTATTACTTTTTTTACTTTATTTTAGGAGGTACTGCAGATATAACAGTACACAAGAAATGCATTGACAATACATTAGAGGAAATCATGCCAGCTAGTGGGGGGCCTTGGGGCGGAAAGTCGGTAGACGACAAATTTATAGATTTCCTTTCAGAGTTAGGTGGCAAAGATGTGATGAAACTGCTCAAGGAAACAAACATGGAGGACTATGTTGAAATTTTACGAACATTTGAAAGGACAAAACGATCTATAACAATTGAAAAGAAAGGAAGTATCTTTTTCCGTATACCGCTTTCCTTCGTTGAACTCTGCAAAAAAGAACATGGCATGGAGGATTTTAGCCAAGTAATACTGAAATCACCCCACAAAGCTAATGTGAGTTATCTTCCAGGCAAGCTCAAAATGACGGCAGACTTTTTCAGAGGGTTCTTCAAGAAAACCACTGATGGTATCGTAAAGCATATTGAGGATTTATTTAACGAGGAAGCAGTCAGAGACGTCAACCACATTCTCATGGTGGGTGGATTTTCTGAATGTAAACTAATCCAAAAGGCCATTAAAGACAATTTTCCAGAGAAAAGAGTCATTATTCCAGAAGAGTCTGGGCTTGCTATTTTGTATGGTGCCGTTTACTTTGGACACGTCCCAGACGCTATTTCTAGAAGAGTAGCGAGGTTTACTTATGGAATTCAAACATGGCCTAAATTTGACCCAAGGGTACACAGAGAAGAAAAACTTGTTGATATGAAAGGAGAAAAGCGTTGCAAGGATGTTTTCTTCTCTTTTGTCCAAAAAGGTGAACAAATATCCAACAGTTTTTCCAAATCGCAGATATTTCGATCTCTTCATACAGAAGACGCCATACTTGAGTGTGGGATTTTCATTTCTACAGAGAAGAATCCGGAATATGTGGATGATGCCAGCTGTCGTCGCCTTGGTTCCTTACGGGTTTCCCTCCCAAAAGTATCGGATGCAACTCAGCTAGAAATAGAGGAAACGTTCTATTTCGGGGAGACAGAGCTTCGCGTTGTTGCTCGTGACGTCATGAGCGATTTATCTCAGGACATTGTCGTCGAACTATTATAATAACAAAAATATATATTTTATATTACATGTATCCGTAATGTATTGGGACTATGTATTTAATTTTGTCTTCCAATCTTATTCAATCTCATTCCAATTCAAAATTCAATCCTTTGATTGGCTGCTGAATTTAATGCCTCCTGTAGAGGATCAGAGATCTTATTAGTCCCCCTACCGATGAAATCGTGGGGGACTGTAGGTTTAGTTCTTGTCTTTTCGTCTGTCTGTCCATTTGTCAGTCGTCTGTCACACTCTTGCAGAGATTGAGTTGGTTTTTAAAGTAGTCACAATGCAGATTCTTACTGATAAATAGAAAATATCTCAGAAAACACTACCTTAATATAAAATAAAAATAAAATGTTAAACAGTGCTTTAATAAATCGAGTTGAAGGTCAGTAGTCTTAGAGGCATCTACGGAGGTCTTAATGCCACATTAACTCTTTTTATTTTTTATTTTCAAATCTTTTATCTGTGACTATTATACATTAATCTGTAAAATTTACGGACTAATTAATTAAATTACACTTTAATCTGTAAATTTCATTCTGTAAAATTTACAAATTAATCCGTAAATTTCACACTTTAATCTGTAAATTTCACTCTTAAATCTATAAATATGTAAAATTTACAGTTCAATCTGTAAAATTTACTTCAAACTGTAAAATTCACACTTTAATATATGTAAATTTTACACATTATTTTGTAAAGGATGACTGCACTTAAGGACATGCGAAATTTGCGACAAAATAAACTTTCAAAACAAGCATTTTTCTTGTCATTGCAAGAATGGTCAACATCCAATCTACAACTTTATGTAATTACGTTTAATAAAAGTGTGTATTTACGAAGTTCGAATCTGTTTTCAAACGGAGGCGTCATCACAATTTCTTGAATCTCCGTTTGATAATGAGGACGTCCACTTTTTTACTGACTTTATACATAGTCAGCGCATGTTTGTCTATTGTTCTACGTTTAACAGTAGTTGTATATTTGCATAAATAATAATGTATCAAACATGCGCTCATAGTTAAAAAGAGAAAATACTGGTTCTTCTTACATTCGCTCTCTGTGTTGTAACCAAGGATTGTGACATTTTGAATATTATAATTCACCACGTGATTTCTTACCTCAGGTAACTTTGTGAATACTAAATTCCGTCACGTGACTTGTAAGGTAGCATGTTTTTTTGCTAACTAGGACATTGTGTTCGAACACGTTTAGTCATCTGGCATTGATATAAAATCTGCTTTAATTACATTGACCTGCTCATATTGTTAATTTCATTTTGAAACCTGAAGTGTATTTGTGCCATACAGAATGGAGAGGGAGATGGGAAAGAGTGTTCACGTTCTTTTTTTCAAACATGTCATTGTTATTTATCTAATCTAATTTTAGACCCATTCTTACAATGTTAGCTCCACCTCTCATGCATATCTAATATTCAATCAAGGGCAGGTAAGTGTAAATTCACTATATTTGGAAAGCAGTAAGGAGAAAAAAAACATTGAATCATTTTATTGTATCACAGGCTAAAATCATTTCAAGATTTAAATTTGGTTCCAAATTGACAGGATTCTTTCATAAACATACAAAAGTGAAATAAGGTTCAGATATAATTTGAAAGCAACAGAAGCAGCGGAAAAAGACCTCAAAACAGACGTTAAGTGCAGTCATCCTTTCCACATTAATCTGTACAATTTACTTTATAATATGTATTAACCGAACAATTATATCATGGTATTATAACTATATATAATATTTGAAAATTATACAAACTGAGATGCCAAATGGTTGCATAAAAGTTAATATATTATAATATTACTAAAGGGTACTATTTATTAGATCGGACTGCCGCTTTTGTTCAGTCAGGGTTGTGCTATCTTTATTTTTTTTTCTTCCGTTTAACCATCTCTTCTCTATCTTTAATTTTTTCACTTCTCCCTTGTATCTCTCTTTTTTTTTTTTTTTTTTTTTTTTTTTTTTTTTTAGAAATGTTCTTTCCTTAAATTTATCTTATCACTATTTCTGTCTCAAGATGACCGTCGTTGCTTGAACTGGACAAATTAAAATAGTTCTTGAAAATTGGGTATGCAAGCTAGCTAAAGGTGACAGCTAGGCAAATGATGTTCTTACGCAAATCCATAGAGCTGACCTGCAAATTGAATTCAATCCCGATTCTGTAAACATGATATGGACAGGCAATTTTTATCAGCAGGATGCGAAAAAATTATTAAAGTCTTGGTATCAAATTCCCATATCTTCAAAAAAGAAATAATAACAATATGTTTAATCCTCTTTTGTGTGAAAAAAGTAAAATTAGTATCCATACATGTACTTTATAGCATAAACCAGCTATCTGGAGGGAGGGGGTAGATGACTACCACTTGTGTGTTACAAAATCCAGTATGTTGGCATTCTTTTCAGACCTAAATGTTTTGGGAGTTTTATAGGAGTTTTTGGATCAAGTACAACATGAAAATGTGTAGGAGTTAGGTATGTTGGCATTCTTTTCAGAACTAAATGTTTTGGGAGTCTTGTAGGTGTTTTTGGATCAAGTACAACATGAAAATGTGTAGGAGTTAAGTTAAATGAAGAATAAATACGAGCTATGTTTCATTTTAAAGATGCTGAAAGATATATAAGGGATACTTTTGAACACTTTGGTACAACCCTTGAAGATCTTAATTAATTAATTTATTGCATGTCTCTACATTTGGAAATAATCAAGAATTCTTAATACTACTGATTTACAAAAAGATAGAAAAATACTAAACTTAAGAAGACTTGAATTTTCATAGAAACGTCAATCGTCATGTTAAAGTTAGTAAATTGACGTTATTCAGTAGTGTTTTCTCATAAAATTTGTAACTTTAACTTTTTTTTAATTTTCAATAAAATATGGCGAATTTGGTACTGTTTTTCTTGTAATAGCAAATACTTTCTAACTCTAAAATGATATTTAGAATTCCAGACAATTTGGAAATAAAAGCTATGTGCTTGCATGTATAATTATTGATGTTTTATACGTCCCTAGCTGGTATATTTTGCTAATGTGATAATTTTTGCTTCATATATTTCAATAAAAAAGATTGAAAAAAATATGAATATCCCAACTACATTATTGTTGTAAATAAAACCTTGCTGGTCCCATCCTAATGAATCCCCGAAAAAGTATAGTTTGCACCACCCACTGGCGCCGCGCTCTTTCTCCGCGACGCAACAAGCCTATTTCTTTAAGTTGCGAGTCACATGTGTACCTGCTACCACTATTGAAATCGAAAGTAGGTTGAAAACCATGGATTTTGTTTTGCTCAAAAACTGAATAGAATTTTGTGGTAGGTAAAATTTGTGATGGATTGATTATGTATGAGTGTTTAAACAAACAAAATATATTATGGACCCCAATAGAAAAGAGCCATTAAGGCTTTTGGGGTTATCCAAGATAAAAGGATTACTATTACCAGTATTCCCGTACATATTTTTAGTTCTACCTTAAGTTTTTCAAATAATTATATATTATAAATACATTAAAGCTTTATCCGTGAATACCTACTTTAATTATGTGATTCATGATCTCTTTGTGTTATTTGATTAATATTTCTGTGATAGTCTCCAATGTGGTTGTAAATGTGTGACTGCTTTGTATCCTTTATTTATTCTCAGGCTGTGCTATTTTAAATTATGATTGTAAATTTGTCAATGCTGTTTTGTTTGACATGCCTTTTATCTGAATAAACATAATAATATATTAGATTTCAGAGATGTACATATTTTATGATGTGAAGAACTTTAAGTAGTTAAGATAATTATCCTAACATATTGTATTTTCGACCTATTAAGACATTATCTTTGATTTATTGCAAACTTTTACAAATATGGGAAAAAAGTCAAAGCTCGATAAGATAATCTTTGGTTTTATCATGTTTATTAATATAATATACCAGTATCATCCAAATTACAGTTTTGCATTAACTTGATTTTGTGTCATCCTCAAAAAGAGGGTGCAGTTTTTGCAAAAATGAAAAATGTCATGTGTTTTCAACTTAGATCAAATATGGACTCCCGGTCAGTATTGATGAGGAATAACTGTAGGATGTGCCACACAATGAAAATATGATCAATTAATTGTTTTCAGTAAAAAAAATCAAACAAGTTGATCTTGCTTACAGACAATTTTATTCATTTAATGGATACATGTATATACTTTCTCCTAAGGGGGGTGTCCTTTGGCAATATTCAATGAATTTACGGGGAATTTTTTTTTTTAACTAAATTTCTGGAAGAAAAATGCCATTATATGTATGGAAGAAAAATCATTTGATTCCCCCCTTTCATTGTAATATTAATGCATCTTGGTGACAGAAATCTATATTACTTCAAAAAAGAACATTAAATATTCAAAAATCTCTTAAATGAATTAACTAAAGCCTCAATTAATCAACAAGTAAAATGAGCAATAGTTAAAATGTGAAAATTTCTGATATCAGACAAAAATCATGGAAACAATCCTTCAAATTGATTTATTATGGTAATTTTCACATCATTTATATTCAATCTTGTGTTTTCCTATGTTTATCTGTGTGATATCTTCAAAGGAAGTAAGTTTAGGATATGAGAGGATATTAGATCTTGTATTAGACAAAATCAAAACATTTGCGAAATTCACTTCATTATTAAAAAAAAACGCTAGAGTGTTCAACAATTGTTCTCTTTTGTTTGTTTGTTTTTTTTTTTGGGGGGGGGGGTTGTTTTGGAGGATTTGGTGAATCTTCAAGCAGAGGGTGGAGAAAAGAATGTGGGAATATTGTTTTCAGTTTCGTGATCATGTTTACTCAAAATACCACATGTACATGTATATTAATAAATTATATTAAGTAGTATATAAATATTAAATTATTTTTGTGATTTTAATAGATGACAAAAATGGCCAGAAACTGTTACCCATAAAAACAACATGGAAAAATCGATCACCAGCAAGTGCAAAAAGTTGATAGTGGCTGCCATAGACTTTGGGACCACCTTCTCGGGGTATGCCTTTTCTTTTCGAGATAACTGGGGCAAGGTTCTGACCAATAACTGGCAAGGTGGCTCACTAATTTCTCACAAAGCTCCCACGGTACTTCTACTGAATAGTAAAGCAGAGTTTGTTGCCTTTGGATACGAAGCCGAGGATAAATATGCCAGCCTGACGGAGGAGGGGGATCATGAAGACCACTACCTGTTCCAGAGGTTTAAAATGATACTACATCAGGATGAGGTACAATTACTATGTACTCGTTCTCCCAAAACATCATTGCTATTCTCATCCATAATTCTACTTTCAAATTAACAGATATATCTTCAGTGAATTACATGTAATCATAAATTTTGCTTTTACTTTTAGTTTGAACATGTTTTTAAACAAAATGTAATCATTTTTAAGTTGAAATATCCATGTCTTTTTAGGAATTGAATAGAGGAGTAAAATGTAAGGATGTCAGTGGGAAAGAGTTAGAAGCTGGTCAAGTGTTTGCTCACTGCATCAGATATTTAAAGAAACACCTGATAGACGAGATCAATAAGAGTACACTAGGCACCACTGACTCCGACATCGAGTACGTGTTAACCGTACCTGCTATCTGGGGAGACAAGGCCAAAATGTTCATGAGGGAGGCTGCTGTAAAGGTATGTAAAAACTTTGATAATTCAGTCGTTTTATTTTACATCATGTCTCAAATAAATTTATCTCAGTGCCAGATAATTGTTGTTTGTTCAACTCAACTTTTTATTCTCAAATACTTTACCAATTTAATGATATACACATGACATGTACATAGATTTTGTTCTAAACACTTTAAAAGTAATTTTTTTTTATGTCATGAATTGAATGCTCTATTACTGAAGCTTTAGTATTAATCAATATGCCATGATGAATAAATAAATCTTTTTAATGTTTTAGGCTGGAATCAAAGCAGATCATTTGATAATGGCATTAGAGCCAGAAGCTGCTTCAATTTATTGTCAACACCTTCCTTTTGAAAAGCAAGATTTATCTGCCACAACACTAGGAGTTGTCAAACCAGGAACTAAATACATGGTGGTGGATCTAGGGGGTGTGTAAATCTTGAAATCAAGATAATTAGGAAAAAGCATCTTTTTTGAAAAAAAGTTGAGAAATTATAGAAAACTTTAATAGTTAAATTCTTTGAATTAAATTATTATTTAATATTATACCAACCGCTTGAAAAGCGAAGGGGATGGGTGGGGTAGGGGGTGTAGTGATGGGGGTGTCCGTCCATCCATCCGTTACGCTTTGGGGTACCCATCTCTTATCTGCAACTCCTCTTATACCACTGAATGAAATTTAATGAGACTTTCACAGAATCTTTGTTACATAGTGCCATTGTGAGCTCCTATTTTACTTTTTGATCTGACACTTATTTCGGGTATCCATGGCAAAACATGGATTTTGCCATTATAATCATATGGGAGGTGGGGGGTGTCATTTTGTGAGCTCAGTGCTCACAGTACCTCTAGTTTTGGCTGCAATGAAATTGTAGGTGGGTGTTTATATACTGGAACCACTGTTTCTATGTGTCTGCATAGCTGTAAACACAAGCCAAAGCCCTTTTTCATGTCTTGCTTATGTCATAGGGTATCGGATTAGTATCCATTTGATGAGTGATTAGTTTGTTCCCATCTTATCAGAAATGATGTGCAAGTTTAATGATGAGGAGCATGTATGGATACTTTTGTCTGAATTTGAAATTACCCTCTTTTGATGCTACCCTTTGTTGCTGTCTGCCCTATTAGGATATCTACATTTCATATATTTTGCTAAATAACATGCACATATATCTTTTATTGAAAAATAGGCATCAGACTTTAGTCTCTGCAAGTAGTGTTTAATTCCACATGTATTTATGTGACCTTTATTAATTTGCCCTTTATTTTATGTTTAGGAGGAACAGCCGATATAACAATCCACCAGAAAGCAGAGGACAATACCCTAGAAGAACTAATGCCGGCTAGTGGGGGACCCTGGGGAGGAAAGTCAGTAGATGATGCCTTCATGAAATTTCTCACAGACCTGGCAGGGGAAAAAGCTATGAAAAATTTAAAAGAAGAAAGCATGGAAGATTATGTTGAAATTCTCAGAAGTTTTGAAACCAAGAAAAGAACTATTTTACCGGAGAAGGAAGGTAACACAACCATGACTATTCCGCAGTCGTATTTTAACCAGAGTAAGAAGTGTCATAAGGTCAAGGACTTCAAGGAGATTATAGACAATAATACAACGAGTAAAGGGAAAGTATCATCGGCAGCAGGAAAACTCAAGTGGAAAAACGAACATTTTAGAGAATTTTTCAAAAAAACAATTGACAGTATTGTCAAACACATAGATGAATTATTTCACGAAGAACTGGTCCGAGATGTAGGTATTATTTTAATGGTTGGTGGATTTTCAGAATGTGAACTTGTACAAAAAGCCATTAAAGACCACTTTAAGGATAAACGAGTGATAATCCCTGAGGAGGCAGGGCTAGCCGTGGTAAAGGGTGCAGTATATTTTGGTCATGTACCTCAGGCAATCTCCCGTCGATCTGCAAGGTACACTTACGGAATCCAAACTTGGCCTGAATTTAATGATAATGTACATCCAAAAGGCAAGAGAATCGTTATCAATGGAAAGCCACGATGCAAAGATGTTTTCTTCAAGTACGTTAAAAAAGGAGAGCGGATCACCCCAGGTTTCTCAAAGTCGCAGATATTCCAAGCTCTGGGTGCTGGAGAGGATGGACTTGAGTGTGCCGTATTTATTTCAGATAATCCTGATCCTAAGTTTGTAGATGACAAAGACTGTAGAAGACTGGGTATTCTCAAAGTCCCTATATCAAAGAGAGATACTTACTCAGACATGCATGTGGAAATTGAAGAAACTATGATATTTGGAGAGACTGAGTTAAGAGTGAGAGCAAAAGATCTCTATACTGGAACTGTACAGGAGGTTATATTTGATTTGTTAAAAGAGTAGATCCTTTTTTACAAAGGAGTTTTAGTTTGAATCAGAACAAATTTTTGATAGGATTGATTATACAGGGCGTTTCAGCAAACATGTCCCAACTTTGCAGTTTCAATACAAAGTTAGAGAGTATTAATGTAAGGAAATTTTAGCAAAAATGAAAAATACATAATCAAACAATTTTAACAATATGAAAGTTGAAGTAATGCAGCATCATTTATTTTTGAGACAGGCATTTTTTAGGATTGGAAATCAGCAACAGTTTTCAATTTATCTTCATTTTTTATGTCTTTGAAATGGCTGCAATGTTTTCATTCAGCAACCTCATTTTGTCTCTGAAGTTCTGTATTGCTTAAACTTTTACATCATTTAAAAAGTCTGTTTCCTGGAAATATGGTTCTTATATGAGCACTTCTTTTTTCAAAATCTTATGCACTAGTAATTTTGGAGATTTTTTCTGTTTGCACAGTTTAGTTAAAAATATCCATAGATTTGGGGGTAAAAAAAACCCTGACAACCTGACTTTTGAAGATGTAATCAAAACTTCAATGGAAAAAAATTAATGATGTTATTTTATATTGTTTATAGCACAATTATATTGCCGGAAAATGTACTATTAAATACAGTTATAATTTTGTAAATATTGTTTTATTGTGCAAAAATATAGACATGTTAGAGTCGGGACGTGTTTGTTGAAACACCCTGTAATATATATAGATCATCAAACATTATTTATACTATATCTCTTTTTGGAAAACAATAAATAGAAATTAGATTCATGTATATTAAATTTTAACTTGGGGGGATGCATTTGTAACTTTCTTGAAATCAATACTAGTAAAGTATATGTACTTTTATTTATATATATTAAACCTTTAATCCTAACGGGAGGAGGGAGTTAGTAAATTTCTTTGTCTTCAATTTATAAAATAAAAGGAATTCTTATATCAGTGCAAAAAAGAACTACTGTGTTTAGCCAATTTAGCCTGCAAATACTGTAATTATTGTTTGGATCAGAAGCTGAGCTTTTCCTTTTTTACAGCAATAAAATATACGAGTGTAATTTGTTTCTAATGCTATTGTGTTCTAATCACACAAACTATATACAAGTAATTTCTGTTAAATTAGTAACTTTTTTTAGTGTTAGATATTTTTCTTGTATTTTATACTGCATTAGTTGTTATATTAAATGTCCTGTTACTTACTAGAAGTGTTCTTCCTTTCTACAGTACATTAGAGGGAAAGTCTCATCAGCAAAAATTTCTCTGCATCTGTCTGGAATGTTACACCCTTAAGAAAGGACGATCAAAAAATTTATATAATGTTCAGTTATATACAGAAATTTCAAATGTACCTGCAAAAGATCGGAGGAATAGGAAATCCTATTAGTTTCAATCTATGGAGGAAAAAAAATGAAAGGCGTAATATTTAACTTTTTTCCCAGAAGGCGTTATAGCGCGAAAAAAGTCATAAATACGCGAAGTGAAAAGTTTCTCCTGACGAGTCCGTTTTTACACGAGCTTTAAATATATATGGAGCGCCAAATTAATAAAATTATGTTAAATAATTAAAGATATCTTTTAAATAATTATATCAAGAGATCATCAATTCATTTGAAAAACTTGAGAATTCAATTTAAAAATTTCTTCGAATAATTATTGATATCTTCCATTCAACTGTATCATCAATTTTGCTAAATCGATGCACTCAAAAATGGATTGTTGCTGTATTCAAATAAATTAACTACAATTGAACTTCGGTATCTCGAACACTTATATCTCGGATACCATGGATATGTCGAAGTGAATTGTAAGTCCCAACCCCTTATTCTTTAAGTATTTTATCCTGGATATCTCGAAGTTTTTTTTCGATTACATTGAGTTCGAGATAGCGAGTTTTGACTGTTTATCAACAATAGAATTGATGCGCACAAGAATTCACTTATAAAGAGAGATATATACATATAGGTAATTCAATTTAGTTCTTTATTACACATTAATTATTGCAAGCAATAATGGAAATAATGATAGGATTTTCCTTGGGGTCCGGAGCCCTGCTTTACTTAAGCTTTCCATGGGAAGAGGGGGGTCCTACTCTAGAGTCAACAACTAGAGAATCTCCCCCCCCCCCCTTTAACATTATAATTTCAATGAAGTTAATATGTTCTTTAAAGGATGTCGATGCATGTTGTATGATTTTTAGGAGAATTTATTGCATCCTAGTCTCTGCAGATGTAATGCAAACCCGTTCCCATTTATTTTACTTGCATGTATAACATAAAACACCAAATCCAATAATTAAGTATTAAACTACTTTGATTAGTAATTAGCTTTGATTGTGCCAATATTTTCACAGAGCCTTTTTTAAAATGCATGTCCGGCTTGATCGTACGCTTTTGGCATATTACAGGCACGTAATATAAAGGGGGGGGGGGGGTCTGCCCCCGACTTTTTTTTTTCAAACATAACCTTTTACTATTGAAAATTTTCATTGAAAGCCCCCCCCCCCATACTTTTAAATTTTGTTGTAACAGAGTTAAATCATGGTAATTTAATGTATATTTATAAAAATTGTTGAAACATACCCCCCCCCTTTCCCAAACATAACCTTTTACTATTGAAAATGTTCTTTGAAAGGCTGCCCCCTTTTTTTTGTTGTAGCTTAGGTAAATCATGGTAATTTGGTAAGGTATATTTGTTAACCCCCACCCCACCCCCACCCCCTTCTACGAAATAGGATTTTGGAGTTTAGACAATTTTCCTTTTTATTTTCTTTTTTTGCTTCTCAAAATTTGTTCAGGTAAGGTGTCATTTTTTTTCTGGCTGCCCCCCCCCCCTTCCCGTTAAAAAACGATAATACTTGGTGCCTGGATCATATTGTTTCAGTATTTTAACACTGCCCCTTCAACATCAGTAAGTTTGCTGATGCGAGCTTTTATAGAAGCAACCTAATTTTCTGATTTTACAAAAGGGTAGTCCGAAATATCTTACGTTTTCCGGGCTTTTTTCACGATTTTGATATTTTACGTGCCAGGAAAACGTGACCCTATCATTTTTTTCCCTCAAATTTTGGATCCGCCACTGGGTTGTGTACATGTTCAGTTAATAAACCGAAAGTAGAAAAATATTCCTCGAATTTGCGTTTTAGTGTACAATGATCTTAGAATGTTTACCAAATAAAAATGGATACAAAGATTGCTAGTAAGTGTCAAAAGCTTATAGTGGCTGCGATTGACTTTGGGACTACATATTCCGGCTATGCATTCTCAATGAAACATGACTGGGGTAAAGTTATGACTAACGGCTGGCAGGGAGGGTCCCTCCTCTCTCACAAGGCTCCAACATGTCTCCTTCTGAAGAAGGATCAATCCGTATCGCTGTTTGGTTATGAAGCAGAAGACAGGTACTCGGAACTCACAGCAGAGGAGAGTAAAGATCATGAAAATTATTATTTCTTTCAACGATTCAAGATGATTCTACACGAAGACGTGGTAAGTACTCTAAATACTGATATTTGACTTCATTAACTTCGTCATTACTTACATTTTACTTACATTTCATGGTTAAAGTTGTACTTACTCATGTTACAGTATGTCAAGTTGTCATGGTAACTGACATAACTCGGGGGAGGGGGTATGAATATCAATGCATGCACCAACCAGTAAAATAATTTTGTATATATGAAATTTTATATGTACAGCAGGTTTGATCACTGTTAATGAGATATTTTGGAAGATCATGTCCATAGAGTGAACAGAACATTCTATTTGTTTTAAAGCTACTTGAAAAATTTGGACTGTCTGAGAACTGGGTTTAATTTATTTTATTTCTTGACAAAAACCACATGTGGTGCAAGTAAAAATACATACAGTATACAAATATAGTCACATAGATTTTCTTATGTTAATTAAATGCATCACGTTTGAATTAAGTCACAAATATTTCTTGTTTTAATTAACATCTGCTGGATTAAGAATTTTATAAGATATAATGATGTATGTTAAAAAGTGTACAAATTCACTTCATAGTTGTTTTACTTGTTTATAAAGAGGACATACAAATAAAAAATGATGTTCATCTTCAACATCAGGTATTTGACAATACCTTTAAAATTATAAGTAGCTAGTCCTAAGACACAGCTAATTAAATTATTCTGACTAGAGTTCAGGGAGCCTGGGTTTCTCATGTTGTTTTAATTCTGGCTCTAAGGAGAGGCCATTTTAAGATGGACAGATGAAAAATCTATATATGCTTAATAAATTGAATGTTTACAAGATTGACCTTGATTTTCTGTGCTTGGCATACAGTTAAAGTAGGTCTCCAGTCTTGAAGGATACATGTATATTAGTGTTAAGTGAGTCTATACCAGAAGGGAAAGCTAGCATAGATATTTGAAGATAGGCTACGTATTATATCAAAGATAGCAGTTAACTATATATAGTTACCACTTTGCATCAGTTGGTAGTACCAGGACCTGAAATGTAGAAGGAGTAGCATGAAAAAAATATTTACAGACAAAGAAACAGCTAGATTGATGACTGACACTTTACCATCACATAAAGCTCTTCTGGGGTTTGACTAGTAGAGCTAACAAATGTTTGGATGTGTTTGCATCTGATGGAATGCAGCTGAAGAACCATCAATAATATAAGTGGTAGACAAATTTTGCAGATATTTTATTTTTTTTATGTTTGATTTTTTCTAGTCGCTAGTGTTTGTGTGTATGTGTAAAGATTGCTTTTAGATACATAAGCTGAGTTATAGTGCCCACCCTCCCCACTATTATAACTGAAATTAGACAAATTAATTTATAACAAATGATAAGATATCAAAATACTTTACTTTTATAGTCCGTCAGCAGGCATATACCATGCAAGGATATAAAAGGAAAGACTCTGGAAGCTGGTACAGTGTTCATGCACTGCATCAAATACCTTAAAAACCACCTGTTTGAGGAGATTAAGAAAAGTGTAGTTGGCATCCCAGAGGAAGACATAGACTTTATCCTGACAGTGCCTGCTATCTGGGGGGACAAAGCAAAGATGTTCATGAGAGAGGCAGCTTTAAAGGTATACATGAATCAATTCCGTGTTAATTTGTTCAGTGCTTCTATGTATACTTTATAATTTTTAAAGAAAATTTCGACCTCATTCAGTATCAGTATTAGTAAATCTTGGCTTTGCATGACTAGAAAGTCGGTCTTTAAAATATGATTAGAAGGGTTATTATGTAGTATGTGAGGTACACCCTTCCTAACTTTTTAAAATATTCATGTATATATATTTCAACCCATTAACATCTGATGAGGCACAATTGCTACTGATCTGAATTCATAGAAGCCCAGTTGTACCATTTCTGTTTGAGATTTACAGTTACAGAATTAAATATACACTCAGGTATCTTTTTTTTAACTCCTTCCAGCAATAATTTCAACCAGACTTAAAGTGTTGGAAATAATTTAACAATATTTTAGCTACATTGTCAAAAAATGGGTTATTTATATTTTTATTCAGGAGATAATTGTTGCAACATTGCTGAAGAAATACAGAACACACTTAAGTAGGTTGTGTAAAAATTTTTATGCAGTGATTGCAAGCATTGTATACCATATGACAAAACAAAGAAAGTCATGCATTTTTAGCACACTTGATCAAGTTGTTTAGCATTCGCCTACTATGTTTAGTCATCATCTTTTACATTTTTGACTTCTCCAGAACCACTAAGCCAGTTTCAAACAAACTTGCCAAAAAGCATACTTTGGTAAATGGAATTCAAGTTTGTTCAAATGAAGAGGCATGTCCTCTTTCAAGAGGAGACAATAAAAAAAATTGATGGGGTCATTTAAAAATCTTCTTGACCACTAGCCCAGAAAAGATAAAACAATATGTTAGCTTTTTGACAAAGTGTAGATTTTTGTTTGTTCAAATCATGACCCCCAGGAGTAGGATGGGGCCACAAAAGAAGATTATCATATATAGAAAATACAGTGTTATGCCTCACTAAGATATCAGATGTACAGTCTAAGAATATTAAAGCATAATGATTAGTGTTTTGATGTTTTATTAGGCTGTAACATTGTTTATCATTCATAAAAAATACAATAAACAGCTCCAGATGAGCATTGTAAAATTCTAACACAACCAGTTGAGAAATATATGATGTATTATTTGTTCTAATTAATAACTGCAACATAGGAGATGCACATTAAAATTAGGAATAGGTTGACATGATTTTTTCCTTGCACTCTAAACTGTTTATGGTAATTGAACAATATCTGATTTATATAAATGTAATATTATTGACAATCCTTATTGTTCTTGTGGTAAACAAGAAGATGCCTATCATTTTTTCTTTGTTTGTAAAAAATATCTTAATGCTCGAAATAATCTTTTTGACCTTCTTTTTCGACTTGATTTAGATATCATAGATGTACACCTACTACTCTGGGGCAACGAAAACTTTTCATTAGAGTTAAACATTGGCATTTTTGCCGCTGTTCACAGATTCATAAATGAATCTTGTAGGTTTAGCTAGATATACTATACTATTTGCATTTATTTGTATATGTTTTCATTATTATTTTGCATGACAAATATTATGTGTTTTACAGGTCCAGCACAATCTCTTGATTTAGCTATATAGCTTGAAAAAGCTATATAGCTTTATCAAGCTATTCAAAATAGCTTGATAAAGCTATTTATGTGCAGTTTTTCAGAAAAAAAAATTTTGTAAGAAAAAGACAAAAAGTCACACGTATTAGACTATTCATATATGTACTTTGGGCTATCAAAACAACAACTGAAATCAAAGATAGTTCTAACATTGCAGCATTTGAATTCTTTTAAGCAAAAGATGAATTTCCATTGTTTGAGTAACTGTACACCACCTTGTGTGCGTTGAGGCATGGATAAGTATGATTGCTTCTCATTGTACTGAATTATTACCAATCCATTATCTTGTTGACCATAATTGGCCTCTTTTATAATTTCAGTGAAGAAGTAACTGTATCAATTGCTTTATATAGCCCCAAAACTTTTAGAACTTTGAGTACAAAGTCTATTAAGGAGACGCGATTTGATGAGTGATTTTTACATGCATTGTTTCCAGAAGAGTTCAAGGTTGAATATTATCACTGCACCAAGGTGCGACTTTTTGTGCATGCTGAGAAAATAATACATTTAAGAAAAAAGTGTGATAAAATAGCTAAATTAAGCTATTCTGAATAGCTTAATAAAGCTATATAGCAAAATCAAGCTATATAGCTAAATCAAGAGATTGTGCCGGACCTGTTTTATTAAGGAGAAGAACTCGTAAGTTGTTAGAACTTGTTTCTTATCCTTTTGCTTGGCAATAAAATATGTTCAAAACAAAACAACAATATCTGATGGGCATATCATACACTTTGGAGGTGCACTTTATTACACAGGTAGACTATCATAAGATGCATTTTTTTTAAATTTATGGGATACAGTCTTGTCAGAAACTTCTGGTTTTCTGTTTTCTTCATCAGTACTCCACTACTCCTTCAATAGTATTGAGAATTCTTAGATTTATATTTTATTTACTAGTATTATAGATAAATCTAAGTATTCATTAAAAATTATAAAATATTGGATGATACTATGAATAATATTTTCTTCAATAATAAGTGCACAATGCACACTAAAGAGTTCTGATTTTGTGGGGTTTTTTTATGCAAATAATCTGCCCTTTGATATAGAATAAAGTAAATTGAGATGTACATTTTATTACTTAATCTGTGATCAAATCAAGCATTCATGAAATTTTAGTAGGCCAAGATAAATAGATTGGAGACTTTGTTTGCAGGTATCTTGCCCACTTTAGTAAACAACAGTGATTTCTGTTCATCAGTACTTCATTGTCTTTGAACATTTTTCCTTGGGGTAAATGCAAGGTACCCTATGTTAAAATTGTAATAGATAAGCTCGATATTTATACCTTTATTCACTATATTTTTTTCAATGTCCAAAAAGTTTTTTTTTTCCTTTAGTGTATAGAGGGTCCTTAAACTCTTGAAAAGGTGTGTGAAATAATTTAAATACCTGTTTAACAGCTATACATAGTACTATATCCTAATATAACAATAATATAGTTCTATATACTAATATAGCAAACCAATGAAAATTGGTTTCCGATATGAATATTAAACAAATACGTATTCGATTGAGATACCACAGACACATTGGGGCTGGACCCCCCCCCCCCCTTCTAATTTTACTTTTTTTTTTCTTTTTTAAATCTGGGGTTGACACACCTTTATCTATTTTTTGTACTCTAATATGCAATACCTGATATTGGTAATGTAACCCTTTTCTCTCAATAAGCTGTTTTTAAATATATTGTTTTCGACTGATACATAAAAAGGTTGGACCTCTCCACCCCCACCCGCCCCCTATTTCCATTTCTTTTTACATCTGGGGTCGACAAAACTTTTTCCTTTTTTTGTATTCAAATATGCACTACCTGATATCGATAATGTAACCCTTTTGTCTCGATAAGCTGTTTAAAATATATCATTTTCGACTGATTCGTAAAAAGAGAGAAGGCTTGCAACTCTTTTCTCGTCATTCGCCTCACCTCACTTAAACTTCGCGTGATTATTTATTGAAAGTATAATAATAATAATAATAATAATACTTTATTTAAAGAAGGTAACCTGATTAGTGCAAGCACTATTCTTCCCCAGGGCCTTCTGTCAATAAACATTATAAAGTTAACATAGTTATACACATACAAACATATAATAAATATATACATAAATATACAAAGACAAATATGAATCACAAATTATTCTGACATTGTTTTACATAATGTTTTACTTGTTTCTTGAAAGCATTAAGAGTTGGTGACATTTTTATATGTATAGGTAAATCATTCCATAACATGGCACCAGAGTACTGGAAGGAATTTTCAAAAAGTTTACATTTATGAATTGGCACACACAAGTCAACATTAGATTCAGATCGGAGATTGTATTGGTTATTACTTTGAAATTGGAACATGTCATTTAAATAAGTAGGGCAAGAATTAAAGAGGGATTTATATAGTAATACATATTTATTTACAGTAAGTTGTTCATAGACAGTTAGCCAATCAAGTTCATCAAAAAGAGGTCGTGAGGGTGCATCAGGGGGAGCATCTAAAATATACCTTGCAGCACGTTTTTGAAGCTTATGAACTCTGTCAAGATTTGATCGGGATGTATTGCCCCAAATTGTAAGGCAGTAATCAATAGTAGGCATGATATATGCATTATAAAACAGCTTGCGTGTTTGAGTGGGAAGATACTTTTTAATTCTTCAGAGGGTAGAAATTTTATGTGACAGGGACTTACACACATGGTCGATATGTACATTGTACTGTAGAGAGTTATCTAAATATACTCCAAGAATCTTCTCATGTGTTACGTTGTCTAGCTTCTGATTTGATATGTATAAAGAAAAATCATGCTCTGAGAATTTTGATCTCTTCTGATGTGTGCCTATTAACATGCATTTAGTTTTTGAAGCATTAAGTACCATTTGATTCTGAGAGCACCATTTTTCTATACAAGCGATGTCCATTGATAATGCATTTACAATAGATTGGGAATCTTTGCCGGGGACATGTAGAGTGGCATCATCTGCAAACAAATCTATGTTTGAATTTTTAATATTAAGTGCATGGAAGATCGTTAATGTAAAGTAAAAACAGAAGAGGCCCTAGTATAGATCCCTGTGGAACTCCCGCTGTGACTTGCTGATAAGATGATTGTTTGTTAGACAGATGGACACTTTGAAGTCTGTCACTTAAATATGATCGAAACCACTGTAAAGTTAATTCATTAAAATTATAACACTGTAGCTTTTTAAGAAGAATTTCATGATTTACTAGGTCAAATGCCTTACTGAAGTCAAGAAAGACAGTACCAACAAGTTTGCCTTGATCCAATTCATATAACCATTCATCTGTAATTTTTGTTAGGGCTGTTTGACATGAGTGCAGTTCTCTGAAACCTGATTGAGATTCTATTAGAAGATCAAAGTCTGAAAATAGAGATCGGATATATTTTGCCACATGTTTTTCTATAATTTTTGATAATGTCGGTAAAATAGAAATGGGTCTGTAGTTATTTGGATCCAGTTTGTTTCCCTTCTTAAAAACTGGTGTAACTTTGGCAAGTTTAAAACTCTTAGGAAAAATACCAGTTGTAATACTAGTATTTATTATGTGGGTCACAGGTTTATGTATTATTTGTGCAGTAAGTTTTAATAGACGTGGACCAATGGTATCTACACCTGATGATTTACTAACGTCTAGCTTATTAAGTAAGTAAAGCACTTCATCGGGACTTATAAGTGGGATATCAACTATTTCTGTACCCATTTTAGATTGTACAAAATTCAAAAGGCCGTTAATGTCACACTCCTCTTTATTTTAATAAAATATGGAATATGCATACATCAATAAATTTGTTTAAAAAACGGAAAAGGGGAGGGGGAGGTCCAGCCCCAAGTGCCTGTGTGACATACATGTTACTTTGACTGCAATAAATACATGCACCGTCTTTGAAAAGAATGTTACTCTTGAAATACAAGCTTATAAATATGTTTTTTTAAAACATTTTTTTTAAGTTGACTATAGTTTACAACAAACTAACATGGCTAGGCCACAAGATAAGGTAGACACTTTCTTAGGTACGCTTTCCAACTAGATATAGGAATAATTGGTAAATAAATGAATTGAACTGAATTGTTTGCTTATTTATATTTAATTTAATCCCAAACTGGTATAGCAGTAATTTAAAAAAAATTGTGTGCAGACGGACTAATGTAAGATGGATAATTAACCAATACAAAAGTCCTTTTGGTCCCTGATGAACAAAGCTAAAATTAATGGACATGTTTCTGTGTATAACTTGGACCCTATGACTTTCAGCCCTATCTAGTAACAGTTGTTGTTGAGTAATTATTCTGAATTCCGAATTAAATTTCCTTGCAGGCTGGAATAAAAAAGGACCGTTTGATCATAGCATTGGAGCCTGAGGCAGCATCTATCTACTGTCAGTATTTACAGATCGCTAAAGACGATGCCTCGTCTGCTCTAGGAGTGGTCAGTGCTGGTACTAAATACATGGTCCTTGACTTGGGAGGTATTTCGCATGCATCTCTAACCATGATCTATTGATACAGTGAAACACAAGTACAGCGCTTACAATGATTTGATTTTCCTTCCCTAATTAAACTTATACTGGATATAATGAAATACGTTTATAATGAAATATATCTATAATGAAATACGTCTGTAATGAATCAAAATTGTTCATCCCTGGTACTTTAGTATAAGCGTATTTTACTGTATACGAATATCACTATAAAATCGATATAGGGACGTCAGTGGTGCACCCCAACAGAACCATGATAACAATTTAAATTTAAGGTGTAAAAAGCATATTTGATGCAGTTTTCCACTTAAATAACGGTAGCTTTCATCGTAGGCTACACTCTCAGATCCTCATTCTCCGGGGATAAGGTGGCTCCTACACCCTCTCCTTCCTCCTGAAAGATCAATTTGACAGCTGTAAATATTGATGTTCAGGATTTCTTTTCCAGTTTCAATAAATAAATAATCTCTATTGTAGGTGGGACTGCTGACATCACAGTTCACCAGAAATGTGAGGACAATACACTAGAGGAAGTCCTCCCCGCCAGCGGAGGTCCATGGGGAGGGAAATCTGTGGACGATGCCTTCTTAAAATTTCTGACTGAATTGGCAGGGGAGAAAGTAATGGAAGCCTTTAAGCAAAAATACATGGAAGATTATTTGGAAATTATGAGAGTGTTCGAAACAAAGAAAAGAACTATAAAACCAAACAAAACAGGGATGACAAATATGACAATACCACAAGCCTTTTACAAGCTGTGTTCTGAAATGCATAATGTAGGAGACTTTAAGGAAGTTATTGAGAAAAATACAATGCATAAAGGTAATGTGAAATATGGTGGAGGAAAACTTAAGTGGAGTAATGAATACTTTGCCGGATTTTTCAAGAAAACCATTGACAGCATTGTGAAACATATCGACGAATTGTTTGATGAGGATATGGTGAGAGATGTAGAAATTATTGTTATGGTTGGAGGATTCTCGGAATGCATGCTTGTCCAGGATGCCATTAGGAAAAATTTTGAACATAAGAAAGTTATCGTACCAGAAGAAGCAGGGTTAGCTGTTTTAAAGGGTGCTGTATTTTTTGGCCATGTTCCTGATGCCATCTCAAGGAGGTCAGCGAGGTATACATACGGAATCCAGACATGGCCAGAATTTAGGCCAGGGTTTCATCTGGAATCGAAGAAGGTCAGCGTTCGTGGATCCATGCGGTGTCGAGATGTATTCTTCAAGGTCATCACTAAAGGCGAAAAGATCATGCCAGGTTATACTAAGTCCCAGATCTTTCAAGCTCTTAATAGCGAGGAAAAGTGCCTCGAATGTGGCGTATTTATTTCTGATCAGAAGAATCCAACTTACGTCGATGAACATGGGTGCAGGTTACTTGGGGTTTTACAAGTTCCATTATCGTCTGATGGCAAGCAGACATCATGTGAAATAGAGGAATCTTTAATTTTTGGAGAGACAGAACTAAGATTTAAAGCAAAGGATGTTTATACCGGTGTACAACGTGAAATTATGTTTGATCTTCTGAAAGACTGATCAGATTAATATTATTATACTCTAACTATATCGGTTTTCTTTTCTGTGATATACTAGTAAACCAATATTAAAATTCTCATCTGATTGTCGTCAGAATTAATTGTCACCGATTTTCAGTAAAAAAAAAAAAATTATGTAAATATGGAAGGCTTGAAGGGGGGGGGGGGACTGAAATGAAATGGGGAAAAAATGTTGAGCTCTACAATGGAATAACAGAAGCTTAAAAATTTTATTTAGTACTTTACAGATCTCATATGATTTTATTATTTCATATATTTTATTATTGTAATATTATATTTATAAATTATTTAATTCAGAACACAGTTAGAGTAAATATATATCTTTTTGCATCTGAAAAACTTATTTAACATTTACTATTCAGTTGATTTGTAATCGGAAAAAATCAAAATGGATAGCTACATGTACATACATTCACTTAACACAGATGAATCGAGGAAATTCGAATTAAGAAAATAATTGTTTTTAGGATTCGATAGACCATGTAGAACCGCTTAACCGATCAGATGAAAGATTTACGAGCAATAAATTCATGCTGCTTTGAATTTTTTTTTTATTGGTTGGGAAGTTTAAAGAAAACAAGAAGCCCAAGGGCCTTAACGGTCACCTGAGTATAATGTTACGGTACATAAATTAAAACAAAATAAGCTGATAAATGTTTTTTTATAAAGCAATGTTGCCCAAAAGCAAGAGAAATAGGATAATCAGGAATCAGCAAAATATTAATTTAGTACTCAGTAATAAATCTTAAAATTAATCTATTTTTTCCCTGAAAGAGGCACCCTTCCTCATCATAACTATGCATTCAATTTGTTTGCTTAATAACCAAGAGAAGAGAAGATTTTTAAAGAAATAATGCATTTTCACTATATATTCAACAAAGTTCCGCCCTATCACCGGAACCCCTGATCCTGGGGCCATGAATTTCACAACTTTGGTAGAGGGCTCAATGCTTATTACAATTATGCCAACAGTTTGACTGCTTGATGTCCAGGAGTAAAGAAGAAGACTATTAAGGATTGCATTAAATTTAGTGGTTTTGGTCCCATCCCTCGGGCCCCAGGGGGGCAGGGACCGTGAAATTCACAATTTTTGTTCCCATTCACCCATAGATTCTATGTGCCAAAATTAGTTGAAATTGGTTCAGCGGTTTCAGAGAAGAAGCTGAAAATGTTCAAATGTTAACGCACGACGACGGACGAAACTGATAGCAATAGGTCACCTGAGTAAACTCAGGTGACCTAAAATTGAGGAAAATATACATGTATGGCTGCTTCTACAGCATTGGGAATAGAGTCTTATAGGGCGGGCTGAACCCCCCTCCCCCTTTACACACACACACGCACGTGTAGACCCTAAAACCTCTGTAAAACGAAACCCTTGTTTAGGTGTATAATTATAGTTATAATTCGATTAGAAATTCCTTAGATGTTTGGGAAAGCAATTAAAAAAGAAAATATTTTCACCAAGTGCCAGGATAATCGGGGAATTATAAAGATGGGGAAATTCCCCGACCCCTGAGTCGTAGGGACAACCATATAAATTATATGCACGTACTCGAAAAAGTAAGAATAAATAAACTTGAACATATAAATTACAATATTATATATAGCTCGGTACCGTATAACATTTCCATTATATGCTCAAATTGATATTGATAATCAGCAGGTCTGTAGTTCTCGAATCGGAAAGGGGACCCGCGCCACCGTTTTGCTATAAAATTAGCTTTCAAATTCAATTAAGGGTTTGAATTAATTTTTCCTGGTAGATCCTCTTTTTTTGTTGCGGTATGATCGAACCTCTTTCTTCATTGCTTGCTTGTCAATTATTTCCCCCCCCCCCCCACACACACACACCTTGAATTGAAATTATTTTTCTGTCTTCTCCTCCACATCACACACATTGAAAAATCGATGCTAGTTAGGCGTTTGTTTGGAAATGTACGAGGGGTTATCAAAAAGTTCGTGGACTGATGCTATAGAATTAATACTAATCTATGCATGCAATAAAATTAATACGTACTAATCTATGCAGGTGATTCTTATAAAATTGATCTGGAACATAAAACAACAAAAGTTTAAGTGTTAAAAATTTTAGCTTGATACACGTTAATAATTTGCCAAATTATCATGAAATACAAAAGAAAGACTTTATAAGATCACTCGAGACGCTGTCGCCGTTGAGTTTCAGAACATCAGACGGCGTCGTTGTTTCTCAATGTCCGCTCGCCGGAATATTTGACCGGTTTTGAACGTTATATAAACAAAAGGGCACGTGAGTTGAGAAAATTTAATACCTATTTCACACACAGGGAAACCTTAACAATTAAAAGATAAGTTGATAAAATGTAATCGTGCGTTTAATTTTTGCCGATTACAGAGCTAATAATCGGTCCTAATGTAACCAGTTCTTTAAACATGATTTTGAAACAGTACATGCATGTGTCTTGCATTATCATTTTTGTCTTTTTGTGCGAAAAATAAAAGCATTAAAGAAAGGCCCACAAAACTGTTAAGTGAACCAATCAAACACCTTTCAATATTTCAGAAATAGAACTATTCTTCACCATGAAGAATCGATTCTTCATAAGAATTGGAAACATTTGATGGGCTAAATAAGTGGGTTAAGTTCTAATGGTAATAAACAGTTTGCCAGTACATTTAATCTGAAAGTGTAAATGCATGAGTGCAATTCTGGGGAGGGGGGGGGGGTACTCCATCTAATTCGGAGCTGAATAGTTTGTGTTATTATTATTATATTATGGGCTAAAAATTTTATTACCAAAACAAGTGCCTGTGATAAACTCATATAAACAAGACGGGGTTAAATCTTTTCTTAACTCCAGGGAATCTCATCAAGAAAACTATATTAAGGGAAAGCGAGCAGACATTTTTCATGCTGATCAGAATATCGCCATCAGTGTTTTCAAGTAAAATCGAGTTTTTATAATCTGCAAGGAATTTTAGACAAGGAAAATTATGTTCACAAAACCAAGTTTCGTAAGGCTTATAAACCCATGGCCGTAGGAATCGGGGGCAGGGGGGGGGGGCGTGCCTCCCTTCCAATAATTTTGCCGATATATAGATTACTATAGAAAACATAACTACTATATGCTTGTGGCCCCTCAATAAAAACGTTTGATGACCTTTTTTTTGGGGGGGGGGGGCTTTTCAAGGAATTTTGGGAGTTGATAATGCCCCCCCCCCCAACTGAAAATGTATGGTTGTGCCCCCCTCGAAGTGAAATTGCTTCCTACGAGCCTGAAACCTATACAGTGGTGTACATTGAAGATCATTAAAGCTACGTTTTTGTCATTTTCTACGAAAATTTAAATGAAACAGGATGCAATCAATTTTTTAATTATCTAAATAAAGATTATCTGTTCCCAATCAACTTTCTTTCTATTGTAGACACATGAAAGCAATTATAACATACATGAATCCTTTCTGTAATAAATACAAACACGAACATGCATTACTTGTGGACAAGACCCCCCCCCCCCTCCTTTCCGCTCCATAATCGATGCATTTAGGTAGTCCGATCCTCAGGCTCTGAAAATCAGCTTTTAAGTAATTGAAAATGCTCGCAAAAATGACTCTGATTTCACATGGAAACCTGAATTTACCCATGGTATTTCTTCAAAGTTCATCATTATAGTTAATCAGATTATATAGGGAAAATTATCAAATCTCGAATATATTTTCAGGAAATGCGAATAAGAACACCAGCTATGCATTTTCAATTGAAAATTGATCAACAAATATAATTTAGGATAAAAAAAAAAAGTAGGCATCCAGACATTTGGAGAAATTTGCACCTTTTTAGGTCACTTGAGTCACTCAGGTGACCTATTGCTATCTGTTTTCGTCCGTCGTCGTGCGTCGTCCGTCGTGCGTTAAAATTTGAACATTTTCAGCTTCTTCTCTGAAACCGCTGAACCAATTTCAAAAATTTTAGTAAATGGCATCTATGTGTAAATCTAATTATTTTGTTGATCCTGATCACCCAATTTTTCTTGCTTTTGGGCAACAATTTTATATACTCTATGGATCCTCTAAATTGTTGAATAATACTCAGGTGACCGTTAAGGCCCTTGGGCCTCTTGTTTATGTTTATACAGTATTTTAGTCAATGTTATATAGTACATAGTATAAAAAGCTTGTGTTATCATTGCTAAAACCATCACGTATCACATCTAATTTCATATCATACTAATAAGCATTGGTATCTAATGCTAGATTAAAGGAAATTCGGTTTCTCTTAAAATGTTTTTTTTTTTCTTTTATGGGGTGCAAAATGTCAACTTTTTACAAGACATTTTTTCAGACTTCAAAGAACCTTAAATCACACTGAGATGCATAAAATGAAAATTGTGCACGAAAAGATCTCAATTTCAAGCTTCATTTTGAGACTTTTTAAATAAAATATTAATTTTAAGAGTTATCCTCCCTGGCTGAGAATCGGATATCCTTAACTAGATAAGGATTCTTTCAGAAATTTTTTTACCTAGTCATTTATAAGACATTCCAAGTTTTGAAAATGAAAAAGAAAAAAGATTACTCTATAAATATTTACATGTTTAAAAACCAAATATACATAACTATATTGTTAAGATAAGTAAGCGAGTATTTTTAAAAGGATTTTAACCAGATTATCCACGAAATAATAGACTCATGAGTATGTCGTAGTAAAGAAATATCGATAGAATGTTCAGTATTCCAATGCTTGTTCATAGGGGCTGAAGGAGACCAAAAATAGTGAATATCAGGAGTTCAAGTGATTTCTAATATAGGATTATTATAGGAAATACCATCATCAGGAATCTTACACAAATGCTCGGTAAGGTACCCCAATTTTTTGCGAGGGGACTTCTTAAAGTAGAAATATTTCAATCACAAAATATTGGGAAAAGTTAAATATTTTTGATGAACGTGTCGTCTGAACTTAATACCTACTACATGTGTACATGTATACTTAGTTCATTAGACTGGTTCTCTGGTATTGGTTAACGGGTGCAAGCACTTGTAATATTCCCAGCGACTGGAATCAAGGGCAGAGAACCTGTGCTATTGATTGATTGTTTGTTGCTTAACGTCCCTCTCGAGAATTTTTCACTTATGTATGTGAGTATGTAACTATGTATTTTATACTAGAATGTAAAATACCTATAATCACTTTAAAAAAGGTTGAATTGAGTAGGTACATAATTATATGTTAAGTATTTTTTATATATGTTATTAGTTTTGCTATCACCCAAATGATTCTGAATGAGTAGTGTCTTGAATACTTATGGTACAGGTGTGTCAGTAAAATTGACTATGCAGAGGCATCGTCCCCTGGTGCCCTCTGTATTCAAGCCACACTATATACATGTATTAGTATACTGCTATTATTGTCAATTTCTTTATCTACCTTCAGTTTTCTTCCTACTCAATATTTTTGATCCAGTTTCAGACTATTGTGATTATGTTGCAAATCTTGCATTTTCATGAGTATCCTACTCGTGGTATTGTGCATCTTTCATTTGTACCCTCATGATAGATATGATTTATATTCTTTCATATTACAATATACTTTAATATTATTTATATGTAATCATTCTGAAATAATTGTATATGCCCCCTGAGGGCCCTTGATTGGTGAATAAACATATTCTATATATGGAGACGCCACCACTTGCCGATGGAGGGCTAAAAATTCTGACCTATACTCGGCACTTACGGCCATTGAGCAGTGAGGGATCTTTTTCGTGCCAGCACCTACTGCGACACGGGACCTCGGTTTATATGGTCTCATCCAAAGGACCGGTCTCCACGTCCCACAGTGGGATTCGAACCCGCGACGTAAGGATCAACTCCTTACTCCGCGAATACCGGTGCTATTAGTTCATCACTTTGAACCGAATAGTGTTTTGTTCGAGTTATCTTGAATACAAGAATCGAGCTCGATCCCGATCGTGTGCTACTTTCACTTTATCGAAACATTATAGGTATATAAGCAATATTTATGTATTTGACTCCTTTACCGTTCTTCTCTTTAGATAAAAGTTTAATATTTACGTTGAATGTGTCATATTTATTATTACCTTTGTGTGATAACGTTAGTCAGGGATTTTTTAAAACAATGTCTTTCAAAGTTGAGCATGTTAAGCAGAGACATAAACAGGTTGGGACCAATCGTGTATTTTTCATAAATCCGCATCCAGATACTTATAAAGGAATAACTTTTGGTTGACAAGTTTTTCTGTATGCCCACTGTTTAGGAGATTGATCCATCAGAAGATCCTAAGCTTCTTGGGGATCAATCTAACAAACTGTATGGGGTTGCAAAAAAAAAATTGCTTGCCAAAAGTTATTACTTTTTAAGTATTTCGATGCGGATTTATAATATCTATAGCCAAAATAATTTTTTTTTCATTTTTTGCACTGTAAATTTATATCCCATATTATATCCCAAGTGGGTTATTATATTATCTCGTGGGCGATTCATGCGATTGGTTCCAACCTGATAAATCAAATAAATAATGTTCTTGAAATTTTTAAAATATAGGAGAAAAGTGTGCAAATCTTTTTTTTTATGTAGTGCATATGTCCTTAAACCATTTTACTCATTGTTAATAGATTATGACGAAGCGGGTCCTTGTTACGGGTGCTTCGGGGCTCTTTGGAAGATCCATCTACAAGGAGTTCCTGAATGATAATTCCTGGGAGACACTGGGACTCGCTTTCAGTCGTGCAAAAGACAAATTAAAGAAAGTGGATATAACCGATGAAAACCAAGTGAAAGAAGTCATCAACTCTTTTAAAGTGAGCTTTTATGCTGATTTATGTAAGAAATATTTATTTACACGTGTTGTAATATAAAAGCCTATTCAAATAATTTATATAATGTGATTTTTAAAACAGCCATCAGTTATAATCCACAGCGCTGCAGAGAGAAAACCTGATGCAGTGGAAAATGACCCTGATGGCACCAAGAAACTTAATCTGTCTGCCACAGAATACATCTGTCAGGCTGCAAGTAAGAATAAGGGGAGTTATATACTTGTACAGTATGTATACAGGTAATTCTATCATTATTAAGTCATTCAGTTTGAAACAAAATGTCAACTTAATAAGTTATATATTTTTATATAATCTAATAAATGTATATAGTAGGAAGTTTCCAACAAATTACATGTAATTCCACAGATCTTGTAATTGATGATAAATAATGTGCTCAAATGCATGGTAACTTACACATGTACATGTAATACTCTGTATTAAGGAGAAAAATGTGATGGATTAGACCAGAATTTAAACCTACAACCTTTGAACTATCTGCCAACTGCCCGATCTTCACATTCCTCACTAACCCAGACCCCTCTCTTGCAGGTCTTTTATTTGACACTTTCAGGGAATGTGACAGCACAAAATATAACTGTTGAGGAGAAAAATGCCATAGAACAGACCAGGATTTGAACCCAGGCCCCCTGAATCACTAGACAGATAACACAGTTGTTAGAACACCTGACTAGTGATTCAGGGGGCCAAGGTTCAAATCTTGGTCTGATCAGTCACATTTTTCTTCTTTCTGGTTACAACTTTACATGTATTGCATTTTAGAGGCCATTGGTGCCTGGGTCCTGTACATTAGCACTGACTATGTATTTGATGGGACTTCCCCTCCTTACGAAGAAGATGCTAAACCTAACCCCCTCAACAAGTATGGACAGAGTAAACTAGATGGAGAAAAAATTACACTAGAAGCATCTTCAGGTAATTATTTGTTAATAAAATTAAAAACCTATCCACAGTAAAGCTGAAGACAGTTTTTTTCCAGTATGATACTGATAAAGCAATATTAAAAAACAAAAAAAGATGTACTTCAGTACATAATTAAAACAAAAATTTGAATTTGAGCACAACTTAAAATGTATATTAAAAACTGTATTTTCAGTTCTTTCAATATTACTTGTGGATTTTGGATCAGAGGTTGTGCTATATTCAAAAATCCAAAAATAGAAAAACAGCTTAAAATATATAGACCATTTCAGAAGAAATTTACTTGCAATGGGAATAATGATGCCATTCATGACATTACAATAAACAGATAAGCAAGAAAACATTTTCCACTAAAAATCAAAAGTTTTTTCAAAAAAATTTCAGAACTTTACATGTCAGATGAGGATCATTGATAAACATGGCACTATTTGAAATTGAAAATTTAATGTGCTGTGAAATCACTAATTTTCCTGGGGGTTTAATTTTCGTTGTTTTCCGAGGTATGGTGAGACCCACGAATTTACGAACACCACAAAATTTTATACTTCATATGCATTACTACTAAACATTTTCCAGTCAAGAAATCAAATCCCCACAAACCAATATTTTTTCCTCAAACCTAGAAAATATTACCCCACGAAAATGTGATTTTACAGTATATATTTTACCAAAATAAAATCTGTTTATATTTCTAGCAAGCTTGTTTGTATAAGCTGTTTGTATTTCTAGCAAATCTCTAAAAGATTTAAACTGGAAATACTTGGTTGATTTTCAAAACAGATAACTCTGTACTGCGAGTACCCATCCTATATGGAGATATTGAATACCTCTCCGAGAGTGCCGTCACGGTGCTGTTTGAGAAGATTATGACAGGATCTGAATTAATAGCATCTGATTATGAAAAGAGATACCCCACCCACTGCGGTGATATAGCTGATGCCATTAGACAGCTAGCAGACAAAAGGCTACAGGTTAGCTCATGAACTTATCAATGCCAATTTTTTCTGCTCTGACACTACTCAAGTTTCATTGATTTTAGTCTTTAACACAGTATCATTTCATTAACAAATTATACCTTTTTATTCCAGGATCCTGAGAAAGTTTGTGGTGTGTTTCACTGGTCATCTAAAGAGGAAATGACTAAATATGATATGTCTATTGCCATGGCCTCAGCCTTCTCATTGAGTACAGAGAACATAAAACCTGATAGAAGCCCCTCCAAGGGGGCACCCCGCCCTTACAACACACATCTATCCTGTAAGAAAATGGAAGCTTTCGTCTCTGGGAGAAGAACACCATTCTCAGAGGGCATCAAGGCGGTCCTGCAGCCATATTTTAAAAAATGAGTAAAATGAACTGGAGACTGGAATGCTTGAACATGAATTTATTTTCTGCTGGTTGGTTTTAAATTAAATGGGTAAAATTTATGTAAGTCTTTTTTAACTTGTTATTGTAAATATTGCCTATGCACATGTACCTGTCAGACTTGTGAACTTTTTAAAGCTGAAAATATATGGATAGCTTCATGTACATGCAAGTTATAAAGCTTTGTTTTCCAATATACGTTGAACATGCATTAGTTGATCACTCTTGGAAAACTTTGTCTATGCATGCAATAAACAAAATGCTTTTTCATTCGTTAAAACAAATTCAAAACTGTTTTCCCCATAAAAAAATTCTGAATTGTGTTGGGCCAGTAAGTGAATTTCACAAGCTCTTGGAGACTCAGTTTTTATCTCTATGTAGGATTCATGTCATGATGTTCAGCAACATGTGTATTACATCATATTGTTCCATCACACCCTCACTTTATATAGGCCAGCTGCATTAGTTCTAGACTGGTGAACTTTGGTGTTTTAACAACATAAGTGTCCTGTACTGGTGATCGAATTTTAATTCTACGAAGGTGTGTATCTCGTCCATTTTGATGATTTGAAAGTACAGCTATCTGAACCATGAATGTCCGGATAGGTTTATCATTGATGTCTTTCATTGGGACACATACCCAGCCCACTGGTTCACTTAGTTCTATTTGATCTACCTCAATGAGGTCATTAAAGTGTGTACCAGCACGCAGAGAAATCCTGAAAATGTATAAAAACCAGATAACAGAAAAAAATTTCCATGATGAATTATGTAAATGAAAAAAAAATCCAGAAAAAAGTTTACCTGTAAAAGACATATTCAAGATCAAAGTTGCAACTTTCTTGAATGTTTTCATTAAAACACTTGCACAGATTATATAATAGTGTATAAATCATTTATGTGGATTTGATGTTTGTATAGTCTACCAGTAAGACATCTAGATTTGCTAATACAGCTCTTTCAAAGATAGTCAAAATTTAGCAATTCTGTTGCTTATACAAGGTATGTACTTAGTACATTGGTATAATTAACCTAATTACCTGTTCATAAATAGTCATTGACAACCACACTGTAAAGCATATCAATATTATCTGAAATACGATGGTGATACATGTTTGGTGTGCAATTTTGATATCTCTGAGGTAAGTATTTTTGATATCTATGAGGTGTGTAGCTGTGATATCTATGAGGTGTGAAGCTGTGATATCTATGAGGTGTGTAGCTGTGATATCTATGAGGTGTGTAGCTGTGATATCTAATAGGTGTGTAGTTGTGATATCTAATAGGTGTGTAGCTGTGATATCTATGAGGTGTGTAGCTGTGATATCTATGAGGTGTGTAGCTGTGATATCTATGAGGTGTGTAGCTGTGATATCTATGAGGTGTGTAGCTGTGATATTTATGAGGTGTGTAGCTGTGATATCTAATAGGTGTGTAGTTGTGATATCTAATAGGTGTGTAGCTGTGATATCTATGAGGTGTGTAGCTGTGATATCTATGAGGTGTGTAGCTGTGATGTCTTTAAGGTGTGTAGCTGTGATATCTGTAAGGTGTGAAGCTGTGATATCTGTAAGGTGTGAAGCTCTGATATCTATGAGACGTGTAGTTATGGTATCTTTGAGATGTGTAGTTTTGATATCTTTAAGATTTGTAGGTTTGATATCTCTGAGGTGTGTAGTTGTGATATTCAAGTGGTGTGTAATTTTGATATCTATTAGGTGTGTTGACATCTATGAGGTTTGAAGTTCCTTATCTATTCTGAGTAAAGCTGTAATATCTATGACGTAAGTTAGATAGTGTTGATCAGGTGTGTAGTTTTGATACCTATTGTATGTGAAGCTGGTGTTTTATTACCTTTTAGGTGTGTAATTTTGATACTGAGCTGTGATATCTGTAATGTGTGTAACAGTAATATTGATCAGGTGTTCAGTTTTGATACCTATTAGGTGTGTGTCTGAGGTGTTCAGTTTAAAAAAATATATATAAGGAATATAGCTCAGGTGTTCAGTTTAAATAACTATAAGGAATGTATCTGAGGTGTTCAGTTTTTGATACCTATTAGGTGTGTAGCTCTCGTCAGCTTTATAATCAGTGTAGATACACACATCGTGGATGGTGGTCTTCCTTCTGAACTGGATATTGACGAGATGTGGTTGAGGTCCATCTGACTGCCAGTAAGCATCCACTGTATTATCCAGTAGCTGCTCTACCCCAAAACCTAGGGCCAATTATGATTGTGTTATTATACATATTTACAGATATTTAATTTTAGTCTATTTTTTGCTTGTTGGTGACCGCAACCATTCAATTCTTGAAATTAATATTATTTCCTCTTTACCATAAAATCACATATACCAACATTGAAAACTTTTAATCTTCAAACAATACCTTCCAGTACCAACTTCTTAAACTTTGTTATACATGTATAATACATGTATTTGACTGAATATACATGTAAATACCTCTAATTATTTTTCTCATGCCTACCTGGTTTACAAGAAGACAATGACCACACAGCCTGATTTCCAACCTCACGAAGTCTACCCTCTCGTTCATCTTTCAAAATATCCACCTCTGGATTTGCTACAACCTTGGTGGCCATGATACTGAAAATAAATTTTCAGTCATTAATTCATCTGAAGCAATAAATACATGTATAGGTTATTAAAAAACTATGCAGTTCACCTCAAAATACTTGAAAAGATATGATGTTACAGGGTCCCTGGGATTTCAACAACCTCATAAAGTCAGCATTTTGTAAATTCTATGGTCATTATAATGACCTTGTTAACAAATATAACCTATCATTGGGTCATATTTTGGCTGACACGTTTCATACTCTGTAAGGCTTTTGTTGGTATACTAAATGTTACGTCTATCTGATCAATACTTGGGGCTGTGGGCGTGACATACCAGTGAGCAGATGATGCTCACTCTTGCTAGGCACCTGATCAGACCTCTGGAATTTCCAGGGGTCCGCGTTTTATGCCCTGTTCACAGATTTGTACTGTCTGTAGAACTTTTGAGATTGATCACTGTTCCTTATCTTCACCTTTTTTTATTACAGCTGCAATTAAGTTCTTGCTAAACAGATTTTTTCCTATATTTTCCAATGTAAAACTTTGATCCCCCATTGTGGCCCCACCCTAACCCTGGGGGTTATGATTTGAACAAACTTGAATTTACACTACTTGAAGATGCTTGACCATTTCAATATGACAAAACATGGCTTTGCTGTTCTTGAAAAGAAGATTTTAAAAGTTTTTTTCCTTATATATTCCTATGTAAAACTTTTGATACCCCATTATGGCCAGCTCTACCCCTGGGGTTCATGATTTGAACAAATTTGAATCTACACTACCTGAGAATGCTTCCATAGCAATAAGACTAATCATGGCTTTGCTGTTCTTGAAAAGAAGATTTTTCAAGTTTTTTCCTATATATATATTTCTATGTAAAACTATGATTCCCCATTGTGGCCCCACCCTACCCCCAGGGGTCATGATTTGAACAAATTTAATTCTACACTACATGAGGATGCTTCCATATCAATATGACAAAACATGGCTTTGCTGTTCTTGAGAAGAAGATTTTAAAAGTTTTTTTCCTGTATATTCCTATGTAAAAATTTGATTCCCCATTGTGGCCCCACCCTAACCCAGGGGATCATGATTCGAACAAAAGTTGAATCTACACTTTCTGAAAATGCTGTCATATCAATATGACTCATCATCGCTTTGCTGTTCTTGAGAAGAAGATTTTTAAAAAATTTTCCTATATATTCCTATGTAAAACTTTGATCCCCCATTGTGACCCCACCCTACCCCTGTTAGTCATGATTTGAATAAACTTGTATCTACACTATCTGAGGATGATTCCACATGAGTTTCATCTTTCCTGGCCCAGTGGTTCTTGAGAAGAAGATTTTTAAAAGATGCTATTAATTTTTCACTAATTTGTAATTATCTCCCTTCATTTGAACAAATTTGAACCCCCTCAACCCAAGGATACTTTGTGGCAAGTTTGGTTGAAATGGCCCAGTGGTTCTTGAGAAGAAGTCGAAAATGTGAAAAGTTTACAGACAGACGGACAAAATGTGACCAGAAAAGCTCGCTTGAGCCTTCGGCTCAGGTGAGCTAAAAAATGGAATTAAATTAACTGGTAATAATTTTTAACAAAGCAAATTTATCACACCTATTTACTCTTCAAAACACACATGTAATGGACTTGGGTATACAAAATGAATTGGAGTAATACCGTCTTGGAATAAAGTAAGGGCCTATCCTGAGAAGCACATTATTTGACTAGAATTCAAGTAGTTACCTGTTACTTTACAAAAGTATATTTGCATAAAACGGGTTATAATTACGGCATATTTATTTAGATTCTACCTCTTATTTTATAAACTGAACATTTTAAAAAATTAATTGCATGCTCTTCTATTATAACAATTTATAGTAACTTCTTGCTCAGGTTTCATAAATCAGTGTGTTGAAATAAGTACACATCAAGATATAATTTTATTAGCTGTTGAAACTATCAAGCAATTTGGAACCTGTTTTCAGGACTTTTTTCATTTATTCAAGAACTCTCATCAACTTTATGAAACCGAATTTCCTCGATACAATATTATACGAAGTGAAAATAGTTGCATTTACTGGAGTTTAAAATTGAAATGTTTATTTACATATAACAAACCTTTCAATATTACTAATTCTTCACGAATATAACAACATATTTCTCTAGGTTCTGCCAAAAATCAGTGTATTTCTCAGAGCTAGAGGTATTTAAAGAAAACCGGAAATGGAGTTGAAAAGTAATTGACAAGACGTACATTGATAATTTTGAATTCCACTCTGCGTTCATGCGATTTTCAGCACATCAAATTGATACTACACGCTATCAATATATTTCTAAACTTTTTTTGATCACTCATTCTCTGTATTAATTCAAAGTCGTTATAACAAGCATTTTATTGACTTTCCTTGTTTTTAAAATCGGGATCAACATTCCAATTTTTTTTGTTTGGCTTTGATAACTTGTACGCGAAGTGTCAATATTATGTCAATATAATAGCTGATAATAGTCTAGACAATATGAATATTAACATTTGGCATTAGAAGAATTATTAATTTATTTTTTCATACTCATGTTAAAAATCCTATTTTTTGCCAGCTAGGTTATTTATTTGCTTTTCTCATATTCTCCTGACGAAGTTTATTCCCTAATGTCAACTCTAATAGAACTATTGGAAAGGAAGAGGACAGAGTGGCTGGATCTAGTAGCTGTAATATACGATGACGATCATTCAAAGCAATATCAAACATACAGGAAGTTATACAGCTTTGCAAAAAAAGTCAGAAAAAGCTTCATTAGTCAATTAATTTATCTTGTGACACAGCCAAAAAAATAAAAATTATCTTGAAATATTTGCTTGACAATTTTACATTTGGAAACACTCTTTTCAGGTATCTGATGCTTTATACATGGAAATGGTTCATAACTCAGTAATTGCTGTATGTAGGAAAACTGACCTCTTTACGCCTGCCATCCTCTTTGGGTAAGTCTTTATGGTAAATTACATTGGTTGACGGACATGTCGGCCCAACATCACCTACACCCGTCACATAATATTTCATTATAAAATAAATATTTTAAAGGTAATTTTTAACTTATGCCTGAAAACAAGTTTTTACAGATGAACATATTAACTTTGAAGAATATATATTATATACTAATATCTGAATACATTTCTTTGTGTGTATGTATTAACAATGCCTGTTTTTTAATTAATTATTTTTAAAAACAAGAATGGTCATTTTGAGTTGTTTCCCTGACAACCTCAAACATATGAGATTGGATGATAATTCCTGAAAAGATATAAAGGGACTTATTGTTAATTAATGTCTCACAATGATGCATGCTCTTAATTACCCCTCATTGTCACCAATGACACACACTTTATACTCCAAAGGATGCACCACAGCATTGTGTTTGTTTTGTTTGTTTATCAAATAAGCACTTTAATTGTCTTCTCTTTCCTTGATTATCATTAGTTTACTCATGGAAGGTCTTATAATTAATTAAAACTTGGATCATTCATTCAGTTTATACTTATTCTTTAATCAATATTTCATTCGAAATGCAAATTGGAAATGTACAATAATGAAATTTTGCTTTGGCCAATGTATCTTACATGTACATATGGATAGACCTGTCTTAAACCTGGGCTGACTTGTCTAGGCCAAGATGTAATTAGTCCTAAATGTCCATGGGCCAAGGTGTCATAGGGCCAAAGTGTCTGACATTCTGTTTCATGCATCGTGCACTGTCATATGACACTATGGCAGAGTTATATACACTCATTCAGTGAAATAGAAGAATTGTATTAAGCACCTTTGGAAGGAGACAAATGTATATACCCTGGTATGTCCATGTGTAGCTATTAAAATGCACAGTCTACCAAGAAATGTTAATTTGCTTATTTTTTATTCTCAATCAGCTATTAAATATCACCAGGAGATGTAGTTACTTTCCTCCGTAGTTATGTTGACTTTTTCGGAATGTTGGAACTCTTCCTCAACAATATGCTTGATTAATATGCAGAATTGTACTTATTATCATATTTCTTTTAAGATTTTTTTTGTCATGAGTAGTTTGCATTTATTATCAGTAAAATAAAAAACTGAGGATAATTTCGTAAATCTGTTTATTCAGAATAGTCCAAAGTGGTTATGCTTTCTTTAATCTTGACAAGTATGGTGTAGATGGTACCACATCATTATTCAACAGGATGAATGTCAGTATAGTCCTTGTTCAGAATGATTATACACAGGTGAGTGTAGAATATGAAATGTTATTGTCACAGATACAATGTCAAAGCAGTCAGTATAATTACATGCATTTGGTAACTACAGGTCATAGAGAGTCTGATACAGAGGTTTGATGGAGAGGTGGCTACAAACTCATTTTTATCATCTCTAGGATTAGTTCTCCTCAAAATTCAACAAAGAAATGAGAAACAAGAAGGAATTCCTAACATTGCTTATTGTATAAGAACATCTGGTTCTACAGGCCAGCCCAAGCTAGTGCAAGTGCCACACAGCTGTATTATACCAAATATCACAGATATCAGGTAAACAGCTTACAGGGTAATCCCCACCCTGCTGTATAGGATCTTGTTCCTACAAATAATTACTGCTTGTGCACTAGAAGCACACTGTTTTTGCTTATTGATTCTAATACAAACTCTTGGAAGTGCATACACTTGTTTGTTTTTAATTTTTTTTCCAGTTTTTGAAAATCTGTAAACAAGTTTTGAACTTATATTTTTCAATATTGCACATATTTTATTGTCAGTGTGGGATTAGACTCTTTGACAAGTACTAAAAACCTAGGTAATCATAAGTTGTAATTAAATGCAAATAATTCTCAACTTTCAGGAACATTTATGAAGTGAAGAGCAATGATATGGTCTTTCTGTGTTCACCTTTGACTTTTGACCCCAGCATTGTAGAAATCTTTGTGACTTTAACAAGTGGGGCCAGTCTTTTGATTGTACCAGATCATGTTAAGGCCCAGTCCAAGAAATTACTGTCTGTAATATTCAAGAGGAATAAAGTCACAGTCATACAGGTTATATTTTGGGATAATGCAGATATATTCAATAAAGAATTGTAGCATATTACATGTACATGATTAATGAGAGTATTATACAAATACTGGAATTTATATATCCTAGACCATAACAGCATTTCATTGAATTTAGATCATCATGATTATTGTTAAAGAATGTATTTATTTATGTCACTTAGGCAACACCCTCCTTGATACAAAGGCAACCTGCTGCTGATGTGAGAAATTCCATCTTGAGTGCAACATCAAGTCTGAGAATACTTGCCTTGGGTGGAGAGGAGTTCCCTCCCCTGAGTAAGATTCGTGAGTGGAGAGCTCCAGGCAATCAGACCCAGTTTATCAATTTGTATGGAATCACAGAGGTCTCCTGCTGGTCATTATATCACTGTATGGAGGAAAAGGAATTCTGGTAAAAATAATCATTACATCTCACATGTTGTACATACTAATCTATTGATGCAAGTAGATGAGGTATTTTTTTCAAATCTTTAGAGTATATAACTCTTGTTTAGGTATAGTGATGAAGAAGTTCCCCTTGGTAAACCATTGTCACAGTCCAGTTACAAAATTCTGAATGAAGAAGGTGTGGAGGTAATAGAGGGAACAGGAAAGTTATATTTAGGTACAAACTAATCTACTGCATTGTACATCTGTCAGACTATCTAATTCATATCAAGTGAATACATTTCTAACTAGCTTGTGAATATTTACTCACTATATCAAGGACAGTCAGCATTAAAACATATAAAAAATGAGGAGATGTGGTTGAAGAATATTCTCTGTATGACTGAGGGAGGAGGCTAAATAAAATTTGTTATTTCAAAGGGGGTCCTGGCAGACAGTGTATAATAGACGATGTGATTTCTGATAAGCTCCAGGACTTCCGAGATTCAGGTGATATTGTTAGAATTGACTGCCGAGGCAGAATTACTTTTGTTGGCAGACAAGGCAGACAGATCAAGAGAAATGGCTGCCGACTTAACCTCAGGGAAATTGAGAAGGTCAGTTATAATGAAGCAGCCTTTCCTTAAGTTTATTTATTCTCCTGACAGGACAACACAAGTTACTAGCAATCAATTTGTACTTATTTCAGGTAGCACTAGCAGACTCAACAGTTTCTGAATGTAAAGCAGTGTTCCATCAAGGAAGACTGATTATTTTTGTAGTTCCACATCAGAAAACACAGAGAATAAAGGACCAGCTACAGTCAGTTCTAGGGAGAATGCTGCCCAGGCATTATATTCCAGACAATATTGTTCCCGTTCAGGAGATTCCAATCACCAAACATGGTAAGACTGAGACTGTAAGATACGGAATATAACAATCATTGCTACTGACAATATGACAGATTTGCATGTGTAAATTTTACAGGTAAATGTGACTTCCATGCTTTGTTGTCCCAATGTCTGAATAATCAGGATAAATTTGATGATCAGTCTTCAGCTACCATTGAAGACATTGTAAGAGAAGAATGGAAGGTAAACCAGTTAAATATAATAGCTGTAGTTTGAGCTTTAACATGCTAGTTCAATGTACATGTACATTATATGCAAACAATACATCAATGGAGATTTTCTGTTTTAGAAACTACTCAGAGGTTGTGATTTAACAAAGGACAGCAATTTCTTATTGAGTGGAGGTGACTCCTTATCTGCTGTAATGTTAGCTAGATCTATTGAAGATCAGTTTGAATTATCTGCCCCTGATTTGGTTGACATTATTTTACATGATACATTTCTTGATATAGTAAACTGTACAGAAAAACAGAGAAAATTGTTTAAGTTAAAGCGGTCCACGAACAAGGGAGAAAACCACCCTTTATATCAAGATATGACTTCTGGGAACAAGAAAAGAAAAATTGACATCATTGGTAGATTATGGAAGGCATGTTGTTGTGTCAATAGTAGTGTGATGAGAGGTAATCAGTATTTCTGTAAGACTTGTATGACTACTGTCTGTAAACTTATCCTGACTACTGACAGTAAATCTAACTTGACTATTGACAGTAAATCTAACTCGACTTTTGACAACAAATCTAACTCGACTATTGACAATAAACCTAATAAGACAAGTACCAGTAAACCAAACTCAACAGAGCAGGTGTACAGCACTACTGAGAAAGACGCATCTAGAAAGTCTTATACACCAGAACAAGGAATTAGTTCTGCAGAAAGAGACAGAACAAAAGTGAAGCTGAAACAGAAATGGAGTTTTAACACAGGAAAATGTGTGGATGCTTCTCCTCTTGTTGTCAAATCCAGGTATCTACTTCTGTGGGGATGTCAACAATTCTAGAATGATGTACCTTTCTGTACATCCAATTAAGGCATCTACATGTATGCATTTACGGACTTTAACCCTGTCTGGAATTAAATCAGTGAGATAAATACATTACATACTCTTTTACTACAGTTCTGGATTCCATGAGGTATACATTGGATCACACTCCCACAACATGTATGCTCTGGTGGCTGAAACGGGAGAACTGCTGTGGAAAACAGAACTAGGGGACAGGATCGAGTCTTCTGCTTGTATCAGTCTGTGTGGAAAGTATATTGTTGTAGGTATGGATGTGGATCATTCTGGTTAGGAGTAGTAAAGCATTTATATGTAAGAAGTCTAGTGGCTGTCTTCTGCAAACAATGTCAGATTAAGGCAACTGTGATAATGAAAATCTTTGCAAATTTAATCAAATCTAGACAAGGTATTCCATGAATTCTTCCAAATTTTGATTTATACTTGCAAGTAATGGTAAATATGCATGTATATGTAGTACATATTAAGTAGCATTAGTATTGATTGAAGTAAGCATTGTTTGATTAGGGTGTTATGATGGTGGAGTGTATACATTGACTCGAGACACTGGGAACATAAGATGGCGGTATAAAACTAAATCAGCTGTGAAGAGTTCTCCCACTGTGGACCCCATAACTGGATGGATATTTATAGGGTCACATGATCATCATGTTCATGCACTCAGTATTGAGGTATTTGTGTGGGTCTTTGTTTGGTAGTATATACAGTAACAAAAAGTAACAAAATATGGTAATCTGAAGAAAATGTTGGAATTTAAAGAATGTACATATCACGTACCCGTCAGTTCCTCTATTTTGCATCTTATATACCTGTACCAAAACATTCTGACAATGATAACATGATCTCAGTCCATTGAGTATTTTAGGCTATTATCCACATACATTTACCAAAGATTTTACATTTTCTGTATCATCCCATTTAGTTTGTGAACTAATCCATCACATTGTTATTAAGTATAATTATAATGAAAAGTGGTGACCAGTTCCATTGAGTTACATGCAGTAAAGATGTTTTACTCAATATCTCTGATCTTACTCATAAATAATTGCAAATATACTACAACTTTATTAACTAGTCAGAGTAATATTCTAGCTTACATTAGGTTTATCATTTCATTATAGGACCAGAGGTGCTGTTGGAGAGTTGAGGTTGGTGGGGGTAGTGTGTTTTCCTCCCCAGCTGTGTCTACTGCCCCTTATTATGTCTGTTCCTGCTCCCTCTCTGGTCACATTGCAGCCATACAGCCAGTATGATACCTACCTCTTGTCTTAAATTTCAAAGCCTTCTTTCTATAGAAACTTGTAATTTCCAAAGAAATAGAAGATATTTCCTTTTATACATTAAATATGCATGGACATGCACATTCTGAACTTTTAATTGTTTGAGAATTGTAATTTAAAAGTCTTGATTCCACATACATGTATATTTGAAGTTCACTAGAACATTTCTACTTCAGATCTGTGGCTACATCCTTTGGATGTACAATACAGAGAAGCCGATATTTTCTTCGCCTGTTATAACAGACACTGGTCCCTGTGTTGGATGTGTGGATGGCAATTTGTATCAGTTAGATCATCAGGGAAATTTGGTGGGTGAAAATGGGGTATTTTTTAACTCAAGTATTAATATTGCCTTGAGCTTTGAAATTCGGACAGTTTTTGGTGGTGCATTCTAGTGACAATATTTCAAAAGAGTTGTCTGCTTTTACAGTATTTCAGTCAGTGTAATCAATATAAATTATGTGAATTTAAGAGATACTTTCTTGCATATAAAGTCTGGGAGCATGTGATTTGACCTTGAACCTTAAGTTATTTTGCACAATAAAAGTCAGTAGCAGTGAAAAAGAAACATCATGTTCCTTGGAGAAATAATGGATGTTTAGGCTTGATACAAATATTGCTGAAGACCTCTGTGTGTGTTATGGCCCTAACCAAAGGTCATTTTGGAAGGTTCAAGGTTGTTAGCATTAGGGCTGTGTCAATATATCAATTTGTACTGATATTCAAGAATGTATCGTATCGAAAAAATAACTACCAATATGTATCAGGCATGCAGTTTTTCTTATACCTCTGTGAAGAAGTTGTGAATTTCAATCACCAAAGATAATATTTTACTGTTTTGAATTAAAACTGATCAATAGTGATAAAAACATTAAGGAGATAGCACATCTTAAATAATTGTTACAAAATACATGGTAGACAACTATATTTTAACATGTTGGTTTTACAGTCGTTAAAGTGTATTTTGTAATGACAGGGAGACAAGAACTTCAAAATGGGTTATAAGACACAGTTTTTACAAAATTTATGCATGAAGTCTTTTTAAAAAACCTGATAAGAATCCAATATATCCCATATGGCTTAATTAAATATTGTATCATATCATATCGAAATATTTTGCTCAATACACAGCCCTAGTTAGCATCCATAAATGAATAAATAAATAAAAGTAAACTTCATTACCAAAACAAATACAAGCCTGCACTTGACACAGATTTGTAGAATATTGTGTCATAAACCTGACCCCAAGTTTGTTTATTGAGGAATAAATATATGGGTATATATGGGTATAATTTTACAGCTAATAATAATATTTATGGTATTTCATGTTTTAAGTTTAATTTGCAGGTGTGGATTTTTCCTACTTTGGCACCTGTGTTTTCATCCCCATTGATAGCACCTGTCATTACCTCCTCTGATGTTGCCAGTTTATCAATCCTAGTGGGATCCCATGACTGTTGTGTGTACTGTTTGACTCCAGATGGCAAACAAGTTTGGAAGCATCAGACAACAGACTTTGTGTACTCCACCTGTTTCTGTTTTGGAGATATCTCTAATGACTATAAACATGACAATAAACTATTACATGAAGGTGACAGTGGATTAAAGATCTCAAGTCACACTCATAATCAAATCAAGTCTAGAACACTCAACTCAACAGCTGATTTTAATCCTGAAAGCATGCAATGTAGATACCAATATTGTGTGGTCACCTCAAAAGATGGTAACATAACAATCATTGACACAAATAAAGGTCAAGAGGTGAATTCAATTAAGTTATCCTGGGAGGTATTTTCCTCCCCTGTGGTGGTGGGTAGCTTACTTTTTGTAGGATGTAGGGATAATAATGTTTATTGTTTTGATATCACTTAGAAACAATAGTGTAATTTGGAGTCATCATCAGTTTTTGTGAGGCAAATTGCTATCAGTGATGAGACTCATTGCTGTCATCCTGCATCTCCAGTACTGCAGTGACGAAGGATTCAACAATGTTTACGCTACTGAAAATAGTGCAATTCTATTAATTATGAGATAATAACAAGATCATCAATATGTTCTGCTAATTCAGTGTGATTTGAATTGAATATAAAGGAATATTTCAGTATACATGTAATAAGTTATCTTAATTGTTTATGCATGATAAAATAAAAAATCAAAACGATGTGTTTATTTATAGTGTGTGGAGCATAACGCAGCCCTGACAGAGGTCGCGGATGACCTGATATATATGGCACGCCAATTTCACAAAAATTAGCGAAACTTAGTTTCACAGTTGGTAAACTAGGTTTATCGACTGTAAACTATAGTTTACAAACCGTGAACTATAGTTAACGATTCGTTAACTATAGTTTTCATCTGTAAAACTATATTTAACGGTTGTTAACTATAGTTTACGAATGCTAATCTAAGTTTATCTGTCTGTAATTAAACGTTAACAATAGATTTTGTTGATAAACATAGATTCACATCTGTAAACTATAATTTACAATCGTGAACTATAGTTAAGAGTTGTTAATCATAGTTTCACAATTCGTGAAACTATATTTATCAGATAAACTATGTTTTACATTCGTTAACCATAGATTTCGGTTGTAAACTATAGTTAACTGTCATTTATACTCACAAACTATATTTAACAGACGTAAACTATACTTATCGATCGTAAACTATAGTTTTGAGAGCTAAACTATGATTCACATTTGCCAATCATAGTTTATCGTAATAAACTATAATTCACACTCGTAAACTATAGTTAAGAGTTGTTAAATATAGATTATGAATCTAAACACCTGTTAACTGTTAACGATAGTTTTCAATTCGAAATTTCGCGGCACCAATCGCGAGAAGCAATAATAATATTAAGGACACGTGTTGGGCATTATCTAAAGCAAAGACCGAGTGATATATAATCAATATTACTTTCTCTATTTAAACAGGATTAATTGTATTTGTTTTAAAATGTCGTGTATATATACATTTCCTATGGGGAAAATTTTAGAAATATGATAAAATTTTAATTTTTTAAAAGACAGAATATTACGAGATTTTTGCTCAAGCAGAGGAGGGTGAAGCGCGTTTTACAATGTGCCAAGCATTTTCCCGCCACATCTCATCACCAAAACAAAGAAACTGCAGTGGCGGATATAGATAGGATTGTGGGGGTTTCAACGTCCTCCTTTGAATTTAAGAGAGAGAGAGAATGAGAGAGAAGTCCCAAATATTTGTTGTGTTTGTTCCGTGAAAGGCCACTTTTATTTATGTATGAAGAAAAAATAAATTCCGCGCCTGCAATGTTACATGTACTGTGTTATGTCTTTATTTACAGATGAATATAAGATATACATGTATTTTATTAATGACAGATCACGCATTTCGGTCTCTATTTTTCTCTTTTAAATCAAAAAAAATAAAATTTTAATCAATAATTTTCCAGTCATTTTTCTTTTTATTTCCAACTAGATTTGCTTTAAAATAATAGAACATTTACTTATAACGCCAACAAGAAATATACATGCATATATATTTAACAACAATTGTCGTTACATAGCAAAATCTTATAATACTGTAACTAGGATTAGCCGATCTATAATTTACAAAAAAACTATTGTTAACTATAGTTTTGATCGTAAACTATGGTTTAGAGTCGTGAAATCTAGTTTCACAGAAAATTGTGCATCTCCGATACAAAATAAGAGATTCTGTTCCTAAACTGTGTTTCTCAAGTGTAAAACTATGTTTATCGCATTTTTGTGAATTTGGCGCTTTGTATGTCTGTAAAGTATACTTTACAAAGCCTAAACTATAATTTACATTTGTTAAGTATAGTTTAGAGTTGTAAATCATATAGTTTACAAATCGTGAAACTATATTTATCAGATAAACTATATTTTGCAGTAGCAAATGATTGTTTTCCGTATTAATTATAGTTTACGCTTGTGAAACATAGATTATCGTGTAAACTATAGTTTACATATGTGAAATATAGATTATCATCGTTAACTATAGTTTACGGTCTGTAAACTATAGTTTACAGTCGATAAACCTAGTTTATCAACTGTGAAACTATGATTAGCTCATTTTTGTGAATTTGGCGTGCCATAGATATAATAGGCAGAGTTTATCTCCATCACTGTCAGTAGCAGATAAGAAATGCACTGGGCAGAGTCAGCTGTTTACAAATTACCAACAGTGAGACTATTCCATTCCATTTTGTATGTCATTAAATAAACAACTTAAATATGGATTTTTATTTTAGAGCTAAATTCATTTACTTTGTATAGTTTTTTAATGTGGGTAAAGCATGGAAATAAGAAATATTTCTTGCCAAACAAGAGAAAGTTTCAATAATCCTCAAAATGAGAAAATTAAATGAAATCAAATATCTAATATTTGTATGTGCCTCTTAGGCCTCAGGCCTTTGATTTTTCCATCATGTGTAATTAAGAATTTGATGAAACCTATTAAAAACAAGATGTGTTTGTGAAACACTGATGCCCTCGTATGGCAGCTTATTGCGAAGGTTAAATTTTCTCAAATGCAAGTCAAAATCCAGGTCAAGAGATCAAAAATCTTGGTACCCAAAGAAAGGTCTTGTCTCGAGAAATATACTTGTGAAATTTGAAAGCCCTAGCTCCAACTATTCAAAAGTTATGGTGAAGGTTAAATTTTTATAAAAGTAAGTAAAACGTCAAGGTCAAGGTCAAATAGGGCCCCAAGGGAAGGTCTTGTCACAAGTGACACACATGTTCCTAAAATGTGAAAGCCCTGGAACCAAATGTTCACGTTATGGCCGAAGTTAAAGTTTTTAAAAGTAGGTCAAACTCCAAGGTCAATGCCAAAATTGTTGGTATCCAAAAGAAAGTCTTGTCCCAAGGAATGCACATGTGAAGTATGAAAGCCGTAGCACCAAATGTTTAAAAGGTATGGCAAAGACTAAAGATTTTCAAAAGTAGGTCAAACTCCGAGGTCAAAGGGTCAAAGTTGTTGGTATACAAAGGAAGGTCTTGTCATAAGGATTACATATGTGAAGTATGAAAGCCCTAGCATCAACCATTCAAAAGTTATGGCCAAGATTAAAGTTTTTCAAAAGTAGGTCAAAATCCTAAGTCAAGGTCAAAGGGTCAAAGTTGTTGGAATAGAAAGGAAGGTCTTGTCACAAGGATTACATATGTGAAGTATGAAAGCCCTAGCACCATCCATTCAAAAGTTATGGCCAAGGTTAAAGTTTTTCAAAAGTAGGTCAAAATCCTAGGCCAAGGTCAAAGGGTCAAAGTGGTTGGTATCCAAAGGAAGGTCTTGTCACAAGGATTACATACGTGAAGTAGAAAGCCTTAGCACTAACCATTCAAAAGTTATGGCCAAGGTTAAAGTTTTTCAAAAGTAGGTCAAACTCCAAGGTCAAAGGGTAAAGTGGATGGTATCCAAAGGAGGTCTTGTCACAAGGATTACATATGTGAAGTATATAAGCCTTAGCACCAACCATTCAAAAGTTATGGCCAAGGTTAAAGTTTTTCAAAATTAGGTCAAACTCCAAGGTCAAAGGGTAAAGTGGATGGTATCCAAAAAAGGTCTTGTCACAAGGATTACATATGTGAAGTATGAAAGCCTTAGCACTAACCATTCAAAAGTTATGGCCAAGGTTAAAGTTTTTCAAATGTAGGTCAAACTCCAAGGTCAAAGTTGTTGGTATCCAAAGGAAGGTCTTGTCACAAGGATTACATATGTGAAGTATGAAAACCCTAGCACCAACCATTCAAAAGTTTTGGCCAAGGTTAAAGTTTTTCAAAAGTAGGACAAACTCCTAGGTCAAGGTCAAAGGGTCAAAGTTGTTGGTATCCAAAGGAAGGTCTTGTCACAAGGAATACACGTGTGAAGTTTGAAACCCCAAGCACCAACTGTTAAAAAGTTATGGCCAAGGTTAAAGTCTCATAAAATTTTACATGTGAAATATGAAAGTCATAGCTCCAACCAATCAAAAGTTATGGCCAAGGTTTAAGTTTTTTGTGGACAAACAGACAGACGGACGGACAGGGCAAAAACCATATACCCCCGAATCTTCTATATGGGGGCATAAAAATAAAAACATAACAAGAACTTGATGAAACCTATTTAAAAAAACCATTAACATCTATTTTAAGGAAATCTGCTCCTCAGTCATGAATGATAACTTATTAAATTTAAACAGTCTCAAAATGAAGCTCAAAATTGAAATCTCAAGCAACAATTTTCATTTCATACATCTGCATATGATTCAAGGTTTTTTGAAGCCTTTGAAACGGTCTTGAAAAAGATGATATTAGCACCTCATAAAAATACAATAATTATACATTTTTAGAGAAATTGAATTTTCTACATTAATTTAGCCTTAGATACCAATCCTTATTAGTATGTGATGAAATCAGAGGTGATCTGTTGCAATGACAGCACAAACTTTCTACACTATGTATTTTACAACAATTGAAGGACATAGAAGTAAAATACTGAAGAAGTATAGAAAACATGCAATTTTCCCTGAATGCCTGGATACCTATAGTTTTTTTTTAATCCTAGAATATGTATGTTGATCAATTTTCAATCAGAAAATACATAACTGTTGGTTTTATTAGTGTTTCCTGAAAATATATTTGATATTAATAATTTTCCCAATATATTTAACTAAAATGATGAACTTTGAATAAATACAGTGGGTTAATGCATATTACTTTGTGTTTTTATAGACATTTTTGTGAGAATTTTCAATTACTTATTTAACTGCTGATTATCAGAACCTGAGGATCAGACACTTTAAGACTAAGCTCTACTGTTGAAAGTAAATATAGGTTGCACTTGGCTCATACATTTCCCTTTTAATTTTCAGTTTTTAGGTCACCTGAGCTGAAAGCTCAAGTGAGATTTTTGATCACCTGTTGTCCGTCGTCTGTCCATCTGTCTAGCTGTCCGTCCATCTGTCTGTAAACTTTTCACATTTTCAACTTCTCAAGAACCACTGGGCCAATTTTAACCAAACTTGGTACAAAGCATCCTTGGGTGAAGGGGAGTTTGAATTGTTAAAATGAAGGGCCAAGTCCTATTGCAAGGGGAAATAATCAAGAAAAGGCAAAAATAGGGTGGGGCCATTAAAAAATCTTCTCAAGAATCACCTAGCCAGAAAAGCTGAAACTTATATGAAAGCATCCTGGGGTAGTGTAGATTCTAAATTGTAAAAATCATGACCCCCGTGGGTAGGGCAGGGCCACAAAAGGGAATCCAAGTTTTACATTGAAATATATATGAAAACTCTTTAAAAATCTTCTTCTCAAGAACCACTGGACGATAAAAGCTGAAACTTATGTGAAAGCATCCTTGGGTAGTGTAGATTCTAAATTGTTAAAATCATGACCCCCAGGGGTAGGGCGGTGCCACAAAAGGTAATCCAAGTTTAACATTGAAATAAATATGAAAACTCTTTAAAAATCTCCTTCCCAAGAACCACTGGGCCAGAAAAGCTGAAACTTATGTGAAAGCATTCTAGGGTAGTGTAGATTCTAAATTGTTAAAATCATGACCTCCAGAGGTAGGGCTATGCCACAATAGGGAATCCAAGTTTTACATTGAAATATGTTTAAAAATCTTCTTCTCAAGAACCACTGAACCAGAAAAGCTGAAACTTATGTGGAAGCATCCTTGGGTAGTTTTGATTATAAATTGTTAAAATCATGATCCCCCAGGGTAGGGCGGGGCCACAATAGGGAATCGTTTTACATTGAAATATATAGGAAAAATCTTCTCAAGAACCACTGGGCCAGAAAAGCTGAAACTTATGTGGAAGCATCCTTGGGAAGTGTAGATTCTAATTAAATTGTCAAATTCATGACCCCTGGGGGTAGGGTGGGGTCACAGTAGGTATTACAAGGGGGGAAGCATGGCCAAAGTTTTTCAGGTGAGCGATGTGGCCCATGGGCCTCTAGTCTTGAAAATTGAGTCAATTCCTCCCTATAACAGACAGAAAAGATGCAAAGTGCCAGTGATTTTGACACACCTTCAGATTATTGGAAACAGCTGAGTTTAATTTCCAGTCACAAGTCCCAAAAATACTTTGTTTTGGACAATTGTATATGTAAATGTGATGTTGTAAATGATTCCTTTCATACAGTTTTCTAATTGCTAATTTTTATTTTTCATCCATTTTAAAATAAATTACAAATTGAAACTGCTAATAAGTTTATTAACACAACTGGTTTTACCAGAATATAATTCAAAAGTAAAAATTAAATTTTTCAATAAATTGCACAGAAATACACTGGTTTATTATGAAAAGTCTTTTAAAACTTAAGGAACAGGTTTGTTCCAATCCTATTTGTGAATACTTTGATGGTAAGTCCTTAAGTTTCAGTGTAACGGCTGGCGATTAGGTGGTTGGTAGAACTTTTGCTGCCTGTCGGTTTGATCCGGCCGCTTGCGATGGAACTCCATGGTTTGGATTTGAGAATTACTGGATGATCCGTATTGTTGAGGTAGTGCAGGGGGTCCTAGGCTTCCTCCAGACTCCTAAGGTACAAATTTAATTTCATGTACATACACATAAAAATATATCATTAAACAGATATCTACATACAAAAGTTCTTTACAGATTCCATGATAAACAAGCCTGTATCTGTTTCTTAATAAGAATGACAAATGGAAATTGCTTATTCTTACAGCTGTATGTAAACATGAAGACAGCTAAGTATTAAACATAAAGGTGTAGCCAAGTATTAAACATAAAGGCAGCTAGCTAAGTATTAAAGACAGCCAAGTACTAAACATAAAGGCAGCAAAGTATTAAACATAAATCACTTCGCAGGTGGTGAAGCTTCTTGTCATACTTTTATAGAAACTCTAATATTTAGTTATTTCAATTTCCCAAGATTTTTTATTTGGATATTATAAAATAAACACTCACCAAGAATTGTGGATCAGGTCTGACGTCACTAAGTCGGACTTCTTCAGAATTACCATAATCTGGAAAGTTCACAACCACGGTAGGGTATCGGGGATCATAGTTCTCCACAACTGCTGGATAGTACTAAAATTACAAACCCCAAAAATCACTTCGTCACTGGAAATTGTCCACAACCAAAATTACATATTATACCTTTTAATGAATTATAATGTGTACTCAGATGTCTATAACAGACCATTACCTTGTTGTCTTCCCAGTACTTGGCCATGCATCTATCTCCTCTCTTCCATGTTGTGTTATAAACCTACAAAAAAAATACTAACTGAATGACTTCTTGTACCTTGTAAATATTGAATCCAAGTCTGTTTAGAATAAATGTCACTGCAACTTAAAACTCTTAAGCATTCTCAGTTGTAAAATTCCATTGTATCATAAACACTAGTCTGTTTTTGACTGTGTGATATTGGTTAACATTGAGGGTATTTGCATCATTTTGGTTCCCTGAGTAAGATATATTTCCATTTCTATTTGTTTTCTCTGTGATAACTCTTTGAAAGTTAGGAGAGTTGATTTCTTGATCATTCTAACGGAATGCAAATTTTGCCAAGCGAAAGGTCAGGAGCTAAGAAGGCCTAATATGCATGTAATTCTCCTGGAAACGTGGGATAATTTATGCATAACAGGCTTCGTCCGTTATGCAAATTATCCCACGTTTCCAACTATCGTTGATGCCCTGGCATACTCTACTAACTAGACAGTGATTCCTTAAATATACATTATATTTTATTTGCATTTTCTAAGGTGAAGCCAAAGGAAACAGTTTGGATCTTCAGGAATCAGAATCTTGCTCATGAAGAGATACTGTAAGGCTCTTTAAATTGGTCAACTTCTCGATGATAAGTTTACTAGCCATTAAAATACTGACTTCGTTTATAGAGACTCACCCCTTGATTTGGCACTGATGTGTTAAATTGTTGAGGAAGTGGGGGAGGTGGGACACCAGGGTCATACTGTGGCACTGAGGCTGGAGGCATTGTATACTGGTTGTTATACTGCATATTTGAATCATACATCTCTATGGAGGGAGGAGGCTGGTTTCGTTTATTCTGATAAGATGAATCTTGTCTTGAATCACGACCAGACATCTCTGATTTAGGTCGATTCTGTTGGTAGTCCTTTGGCTTTCCTTGACGTTTGTCTTCATACCCAGTTTTAGGTCTACCATCGCTGTATCTCTCTGAGTTACCTCCCCTATCACTTTTATTCTCTCTGTTTCCTCTTTCGTTGTAGCCCCCTCTATCTGATGGTCTCTGTTCTAAGTTACCTCCCTTATCACTTCTATTTCCTTTTTTGTTGAAGCCCCCTCTGTCCGATTGTCTCTGTTCCAAGTTACCTCCCCTATCACTTCTATTCTCTCTATTTCCTCTTTCGTTGTAGCCCCCTCTCTCTGATGGTCTCTGTTCTGAGTTACCTCCCCTATCACTTCTATTTCCTCTTTCATTGAAGCCCCCTCTGTCTGATGTTCTCTGTTGCCCTCCGTCTCTCCTGTGGTCATTTTCATACTTGTTAGATCTCTCTACACTGAATGCTTGTCCTTTACCACTCTCATTATACGATTTCTCTCGATCATTATTTCGGGACGGCTTGTCTGAATTATAACTTGGTTTATTTTCCCAGTTGGATTTATCACTCTGTCTAGATTCTGGTCTCCGTTGGTTAGCTCTATTGTCATTTCTTCCTGATCTGGGGGGAGGATCCTGATATTTTGTCTGTGGTTCTCTCCTATTATTATAACTCCTATTATCACTAGATCTATTGTCAGCATAATCATAGCTTTGTAAAGGCTGGGACCCTCTTGACTTTCCTTTTGTATCTGTAAAGTACAATAGTTAACAGAAAATCCTGTGGATGCATTTCAGAAAATACGGGACAAATTTAACACATATATAAGTTAAGGCTAGATATAGGTGTTTCTATGCAAATAAGCTAATAAAAATGCACAAGAGGTATATCTATCATACAAAGTTTTAATTCATTTGTTTAAAGTTCATATACATATCATTCGTACACAAGACATGTTAAAGCCAGTACACATTATGATGTCATATTATGTTAAAACTTTTTTTTTTTTCCTTACCTTTTTCATCCTTTGAAGGTTTAATTTTTGTTTCTAGGAAATCAAATAGAGTTGTGGGCCCTGATGGTCTGGACTCCTCATTTTCTACGTCATCTCGACTTCTGTTATTTCTGCCACCTAGCATAAATACAAATATAAAACACAGAAACTGAGACATCTCAATCAAAATGTTACTCTTAAATGGCCTTGCAATGTATTAAAGACACTTGTGTATACACGTACACCAAACAATGAATGCATTTCAACAAACACTTTCTAACAAAAGTTTGGGTACATTGTTGTTATTATTGTCCTTCTTCTAGTCAGTTTTTCTTATCATAACTACTCCTGCAAAAAAAAGTAAAAGTAAAAAAAAAATATTTAGAATATGATGGGTTATATCATACATGTACAGATTCTCTGGGTCCCCAGGGGGAATAAAACATAGGTAATCAGAGATTACAGAGCTCCTCCATGAATGTTGTCTTTAAGTAAGGCAAAGTCCCACACTAAACTAATAATCTAGGAGTGTGCATCCCTAGATGCAACATTTATGCAATTTTGGTCTGATATGGCTTGCTGCTTGGGAATGGACTTATCTAAAAACTTAAAACTAGTCACTCATCCAGAAAATGCAAGTCAAATCTAGCATCTGAAGCAAGTTTGAGAGTGTGCGTCCCTTGATGCATCATCCATGCAAGTTTGGTTCAGATAGGCCTTATAGTTACTTGGAAATGAGTTCTGCTCCAAAAACTTTAACCTGGTTACTCAACCGGAAAATATAGGTCAGATTCAGCATCCACAGCATGTCCAGTAGTGTGCATCCTTAGATGTATCATCCATGCAAGTTTGGTCAATATAGGGCTTATAATTACTTGGAAATGAGATCTGCTTCAAAAACTTCAACCTGGTCACGCATCCGGAAAATATAGGTCAGATCCAGCATCTGAAGCAAGTCCAATGGTGTGCACCCTTAGGTGTATCATCCATGCAAGTTTAGTCAATATAGGGCTTATAGTTACTTGGAAATGAGATCTGCTCCAAAAACTTTAACCTGGTCACTCACCTGGAAAATATAGGTCAGATCCAGCATCTGAAGCAAGTCCAGTAGTGTGCATCCTTAGGTGTATCATCCATGCAAGTTTGGTCAATATTGGGCTTATAGTTACTTGGAAATGAGATCTGCTCCAAAAACTTTAACCTGGTCACTCATCTGAAAAATGTAGGTCAGATCCAGCATCTGAAGCACGTTCAGTAGTGTGCATCCTTAGACGTATCATCCATGCAAGTTTGGTCAATATAGGGCCTATAGTTACTTTGAAATGAGACCTGCTCCAAAAACTTTAACCTGCACCAAAAACCTTAACCTGCTCCAAAAACATTAACCTGGTCATTCTTTTGCTGAAATTGAGGCATCTTAAACCTTGACTGGTACAATGAAACACACCAGAAGCATCCTCCATGCATCTCTGATTGATATAGGGCATAGAAGTACTTGAAAAGAAAACTGCTCCAAAAACTTTCACCTGGGACACTGACGCCGAGGGTATTACATAAGCTCCCCCAACTTAGTTGAGGTGAGCTAAAAAGGTAAAGTTTAATAAGCAAGGTTGTCACTGGAACTCTGAGATTTTCAGTCAGGAATATGTGTATGTGTAGTAAATAGTAAGGTTTCGGAAATTTGGTGACTGATCCAGTCTTTTGAAATCTGTCCTCACAATGGCTTAAATTACTCTATGGTTCAGTTGTCCTGAGGTTGCAGATGTGCAAAAAGTAATCAGGTGGATATTTGTAGCAGATCTTGTATATCCAAGAATAAAAGTGCTTCCTGGATTAATTTTGCCTAGACACTATCTTTGGATGCAGACTACATGTACCAGTCATGCTTTTGGCACCGCATGAGACCAATACTTTCCCAATGCATAATGACAAATTAAACTTGCACAGGTACAGCAGGAAAACATCCAAGTGTTTATAAGTATATAGACTGTTTCACGGTAACTGCGGTACTGCTTTTTTTTTTTTTTTGCAGGGTAAATTGATATGCAATGTAATTTGGTGAATATGGCGTAACACGTAACAGCAATTGTTTACTAAATGTCATTTGAATTAAATTTATCGGCCAACAAAAACTTCGCCAAATTTAATTTGTCCTGCATAAGAGCAGTACCACAGTTATTGTGAAAGGACTAATAGGCCATAATATAGATAGGTCCAAGACTTAAATTTCAAATTTGAATATGTGTTGGAATGGGGAATACATATATCTATTGATTTTGAGATGCTGTATGTGAACTTCACAGCTTAATGCTTTTAAGCAGCTCTATTCTTAAAGTTTGTCCAAGTTATGAATCTGAATTTGAATTTGCACCACATAAACAATCACGTCAAATACAATAACATGTACAATTCATGGCTGAGTAGATTTTAAATGACCATTTCTTGGGTAAATAAAAGCTGAGAGGCTGTATCATACATGTAATTGTCATTTCTGATAGTACATTGTAGATAATATTTAATTTGGGTAACTTGGAAATCTAATCGTGGCTTGTTCCAGAATTCTGAGAAAATATTCAAATATTTTACACACTCGGTTATTGTAGTACAGTGTACAATAAGCTGATGACTGACCTCTTTCTCTCCTGTCCTCTCTACTGGGAATGTCTCGCTTCACATCTCCCCCTCTGTCCTTTCTTCCTCCAAACTCACCACCAGACCTCCTGTCATTGCTTAATAATCCATTAATGGCCTGACCTAATTCTCCATTGCTCTGTTTTAATGCTTGGTTGGCTTGTTGAGTGGTGAATCCCATTTCCACAATTCGAGCAACATCCTTGTCCTGGCCCATCTGTAAGACATTTCAAAACATAATCAAAGATTACAAATCTCATCTCAACAAATCATTTATCAGTGTAGAAGTCTCATATCAAATGCATAATAAGATCTATTAGTTGCATATAAGATCAACATTAAAGCACATTCATTAAACAGCTGAAAAAAATTGTCACTTGCAGTATTTTAATTAAGAACATCTCTAAATGCATCATACTGCAAGTTTGGTGCAGGTAGGACTTGTGAATGGACCTGCATGCTCCAAAATTTTAACATGGTCACTCATCCAGAAAATATAGTTCAGATGAAGCATCAAAGCAATTCTGGTAGTGTTCATCTATAGATGCATCATTTAAGCAAATTTGGTTCAAATACTGCTCATAATTACTAGGCAATGGAGGTACTCAAAATCTTTTACCTGGTAATTCTTCCTGAAAATATATATCAGATGCAGCATCCACATCAATTCTGGTAGCAAACATCCATAGATGCATCATCCATGCAAGTTTTGTCCAGGTAAAGCTCTTGCATGTAGTTACTTGTGAATGGACCTACTCCAAAATTTCAAACAGCTTTTTTCCAAGAAAATACATGTCAGATGCAGCTTGTACAGCAATTCTAGTAGTGTGCATCTTTAAATGCATCAGCCATGCTAGTTTATTTGAAGTACAACTTGAAGTAACTTGGGAATGGATCTGATCCAAAATTTGAACTTGGTCTCTCATAGAGAAAACAGAAATTAAATGCAACAAGTTTGGTCCAGATAGGGCTTATACATTGTGGTTAGTTGAGAATGATCTTGATTCAATAACTTAGGATGCTGTCTAGCAGAGGTATAGCATGAACTCTCCCTGAGGTAAAAATGTAAAACTACTTGAACCTTGTTATCTCAAACACTGATATTTAAAATACCATGGATAAGTTGAAGTGATTTGCAAGTCTCATCCATTTATTAAGTATTTTACCCTCAATGACTCAAATCCTAAGACATCTCTAAGTTTTTTCTTCGAAATAGTGAGGGTTAACTGTAATGTAAAATGATACCTTTGCATTTACCAATGATTTTCTTAGAAGTTGTACAAATCTTTGGTAGAAAGTGTTTTAACCTGTTTTTGACCTCCAAAGTTCATAGCTTTTCCTTCTTCTTTTGCCTGAAGAGCTTCAGCAATTGTAGCTTTTCTTTGCTGTTCAAATTCATCATCCTCTGACTTCTTCTCTTTTGTTGAAACTTCCAGGGATTTGAAGTTCTGGGTTTCTAAATTTATCAGATTTTAGCTAAGCATGAAACTCAGCTTTTTTGGTTTATTAAAATCATCTTGATTATGAGCATGTTAAAATCCTATGAAATTGGATTGTTGTTAAATACAAAACAATTCTTTTTTTTTCAGGGCGTTAAGGGAAATTATAAAACAATACAAAGATTCTATACAAACCCTTTTTTACTGTTGTTGATTTGTTATCTCTTGGTTTTTGTCCAAATGGAATAAAAGGGGGTGGACCTCCCTCAGATCCCACATAAACTCGAGTCTGCTTTGATAGTTTCTAAAAAAAAAAAAAAAAAAAAAACAAAAAACAAGACATAATTGTGAAACATTAATGCCTCTGTATGGCCATGGTTTAAGTTTTTCCAAAGGTATGTCAAACTCCAAAATCAAGGCCAAAAGGTAAAAAATGATGGTACGAAAAGAAAGGTCTTGTGACAAGGAATACATGTGTGAAATATGAAAACCTTAGCTCCATTGTTCGAAGTTAAGGCTAAGGTTAAAGTTTTCAAAAGTATGTCGGGCTTCCAAGGACAAGAGGTCAAAAATATTGTACTGAAAGAAAGGTCTTGGCACAAGGAATACACATGTGAAATATGAAAGCACTAGCACCATATGCTCAGAATTTATAAGCAAGGTAAAAGTTTTTGACCAACACACAGAGGGACAGACCAAAAATTACATGTATATGCATCCAAATCTTCGATTATGGGGGCATAAAAATTGTTTGTTAATCCCAGTATTGGTGGTCAATCCTGTTTGTCATTTGACCAGTACATATAACTTTGACTTCAATCTACAAATTGACTTCATCATTAGTGTAACCTGACCATATCTGATTTATCTGTCTTGTATTAATTACAGGTGACTCAAGACGGCTTAACTCCAATCTCTCTCGCTTCTTTATCTTACGAAGTAAAACCCTGGTCCTGTTTTTTTCTATACTTGTGATCTCTCCAACTTCTGATCTCGAGAACCAAGACCAGGGTCCCATTACACAAATTTCATTGTTTTTTAACTCTTGATCTCAAGAAGTGTTTTTTGCGCATACACAGCAATCAGTCAAGCGTGTGATTAATTCGGGTTGGATTTACCTGGATAATGGTGAATGCCTGGAATCCCTGGAATGAATGGCAACCATTGCACCCAATTCCTATCTCAAGAACTTAAAAGCAACACCAACCAATCTAGTGAAGACCCCAACTCTGCCTGGGGAGATCTGGCATGCTATTCAGAATTTAATTTTGCACCAAATACCATCTGAGTGTAGTAATGAATTGAGAACAAATTAACATTGAAACTTAAAAGATTTTTTTTATCCATTTAAGATACTGTACAATGACTAATTTTCATGGAGGTTTCATTTTTGTTGTTTTCAAGGTATGAGGAGACCCACGAATTCATGTCCACCACAAAATGAAATGTAATTTTTCACATATATTTTATTTTTCAACAATTCTTCATCCAAAAATCAATTCCCCACAATTCCATATTTTTTCCTCAGACCACAAAAACATGTGACTTTACAGTACAATCTTTGTTGCTGAAATCAAATGAATACCATTAAAAACGAATGAAAATGTCCCAGAATGTTTTCAACGTATACTTGTGGTAAACATAACAATTGGACCTGAAAATTCTGGACTTCATTCCCCTATCGATCTCCCAAACCCCTCTATCTCTCAAACATTTCTAAAGGTCCCTTGAACTTTGAGAGAACTTGAGTCACCTGTAATTTTCAATTGGTACTTCTACCATCAAACTTACCTTTTTCAGTTCCCAGTTATCAGCAATTCTGTCTACCCTTCCCCCAATGAAGTTTACATTCCGATTATATAGCTTTAAGAAGCCATGTTCAACCTCTACTTTCCCTTTCAAACATATCTTGCTACCAGGTGGAGTGTCTAAGCTTCAACAGAAAATATGTACAGTTAAATCTTTGTTATATAATAACTGATTTCATCCTCTCTAAAGAAGATATCATACCTGATTCGTTCTAGTTTCTCCATTTCTAATGCATTGCATGTTGCTTGACCATCAGTCAAAACCAGCTTCAACATGCGGGGAGCATAGTTTGACTCTTCATTGTCTTTTGGAGCTGTTACATTACGAATCTTCTGAATTTGAAGAACCCCTGGTCCTTGAACCTAATTTTAAAAAAAATTAAATCATCAAATTCAATTCACTTAAAGGCAACTGCCAATAAAAATTTAAGTGAATGGATATCATACATTTCTATTTTTATTGATTGATCAAATTGCCATGAAATTCGGTATCCCACAACTTATAAAACGGCCTTAAGGATGACATTCTGATTTTAAAAACTCTGATAAAAAGTAAAGTGGTTCAACATTTCATAAACATATGTCTCACATCTGCTGTACAAACATTTTTTTTTCCTGTGCTTCATACCACAACTTGTGTTCAGAAAATGACTAACTCACGTATTCACATTTTCCTCTGTTGACATCAGCTGGGAGCCATCTTTCTCCAATATCCTTCAAATCAGTCTGAAACAGTAGAACAAAGAGTCTTGTTACTAAGTATATCTCCTCATAAGAACTAAGTTCTAGGTACATGAAATCATATCATTTAGGTACTGTTGTTAAGTATAATTATTTATCCTTATAAAACAGGTAAAGTTTTAAGGGTACCTAGTTTTTACTTTAATTCAACAGAAGAAACTTCAGATATCAAATCTAGAAGTAAGTAGTTACTGTAATAACACTCAGACATCAAAAAAATTCTCATTGTGTTTTCCTTGCATCCACAAATAGATATAAGTATGGAAAAACATCAAAATGAACAGATAGATGGACATTACACCCTCAACTTTGTTTACAACCACAACTTTGTTCCTAGGTAATTAAAAATATATATCCTTTTCACAGCCACAACATAAAAGTGCTTGATGGCTGAAAACAGAAGATTCAAACCCCATGCGCTGAGCCCCATGGGAGGATATCATTTTGGAATGGATTGTAAGAGAAAGTTGTATTCTATAGGTTAATAAAGTAACAGAGCTCTGCCTTTATTCTAATTTTATTGATCCTCAGAAACACAAAAGGCATGGGTGTTTCAAGAAAGCATTTTTTCAAATTTCCATACCCTGAAAACTCTTGCCAGTAAAATGTATAGGTTCCGTTTAATGGGCAGATAGTAAAATGTATAGGTTCTGCTTAATGGGCAGATAAACAATCTAGGAATCTGAAAAAACTCAGTAGAAGGTGACAAAGGAAGAAGGATAGGAGAGAAAAATTGCACCTTAAAAAAAATGAAACAAGAAGCCCATGGGCCACAACACTCACTTGGGTAATTATGATGCTTCTTGTTTTTCATCAAAATATTCTTTTTCCTATATATTCCCATGTAAATCTTGATCACCAATTGTAGCCCCACCCTATCCCCGCTGGATTTGAACAAACTTGAAGCTACCTTATCTGAGGAAGCTTCTTTATAAATATGACTAATCATGACTTCCTTGTTCCTGGGAAAATTATATTTTAAGATTTTCAACTATGTATTCCTATATGAAACTTTGATCACCCACCGTGACACCATCCTACCCCTAGGGGTCATGATTTGAACAAAATTGAATCTACACTACCTGTGGATGCTTCCATATAAATATGAATGATCATGGCTTTGCTGTTCTTGAGAGGACAATTTTTAAAGATTTTTTTCTATGTTTTCCTACGTAAAACTTTGTTCGCCAATTGTGGCCCCACCCAACCCCCAGGGGTCATGATTTCGATAAACTTGATTCTACACTATGTCAGGAAGCTTTCACTTAAGTTTCATCTTTTCTGGCTCAGTGGTTCTTTAGAAGATTTTTAAATGACCCCACCCAATTTTTACTTTTTCTTAATTATGTCTCCATGAAAGAGGATGTGGCCCTTCATTTGAACAAACTTGAATCCCTTTACCCAAGGATACTCTGTGCCAAGTTTGGTTAAAATTGGCCCAGTGGTTTTGCAGAAGAAGATGAAATTGTAAAAAGTTTATGACAACAATGACAACAGACAAATTTTGATCAGAAAAGTTAAAAGAGCCTTTTGTGCATACTTTTAGTTCAGGTGACACTTGTGCCATGACCTTTAGACACTGTTGAAATGATCACAATGTTCATTCTATGGTACATTAAACATAGGTTTTCTTGATGCAGAGTATTTATTAATATAGTAGTTTAATATATTTTTTATGATTTTTTTCCCATACTACGCCCCTTCATATGAAAATTCTTTCAAATCTCTGGCCATTGAAAGTATATATGTGCAACAAGAAAGGAGAAAATGTATGTGTCTGGACCGAGAATTGAACCCACTGCCCCCACCTCACTAGTCAGATGTAGAGCTGCGCAATAATATCGATATTCCGGTATATTGCTGATTCATTAACAAACAATATCATATTGTGATACGTTTTTCCAGTACCGATATACCGGCAAAATGATTGGGATTTAGATTCATGAAGTAAAATATGAAATTAAAGATGTCATAAACGTTTTCAATCATGCCAAACAGTACCAATAAATGGTTACCGTAAAGGTTTCTGTTGTATGGTTGCATTTCATTGCCAAACTGTAGTGAAATCAACAAGAACTTTTTTGTTACAACGTATTTATAAAAGTTTTATACACTCTGCTTATAAATGGAGATTAATGAAATAAGAAAAGAACATTTTAATTGTTTTTAAAAATATTGCAATACATATCGCAATACAGTTAAAAATATTGCAATACATGTATATCGCAATATGAAATTTTCAACCGATACCCAGCCCTAGTCAGATGCTTTACCAACTGAGCTACCCAGATCAATATCCACAGCCAAAATCATTACACTCCTCCCTCCTTAAATTGTCTTTGCACTTGAAGACACAACCAATTTTTATTTGCCCCTGGCAGGACTTTCACCTGCAAGTCCAGGGATGGTGAATACAGCACCCAGGAGAAAATCAAAATGTATGCATAGCTGGACTGGAAATCAAACCAAAGACCCCAGCATCACTGGTCATATGCTCTACTGAGCTATCCAGGCTTTTTTACGATTTGATATTTTACGTGCCAAGAAAACATCAGAACTGGCGCCATTATAAAAACTGGGAATTCGCTGCCTCCAACCAGAGGTGGCATTTTGGGGTTGATTTTCGAAACTTGCGAACCGAATTAAATGTCAAACTCACAACTTATCGATAGTACAATACTTTTAGTACTCACCAACATCGTTTTTTTTTTTGGTTCGTTTATAAAATATACAATCCGATGAAAACATTTTATCTGACAATCGAGATTTGTTCTCATTTTGTGCATTTTAAAATCTTGCAATTCCTGTATCGAAATGTGGAGTGATGTTTTCTTTTCATTGATATTGGTGAGTATTAGAAGCATTGTGCTATTGATAAAGTGTGAGTTCGGCATTTAATTCGGTTCGCAAGTATCGAAAAGGCAGAGAGCGGAATTTCCAGTTTTCGTAATGGCGCCGGTTCTGACATTTTCCTGGCACGTAAAATATCAAATCGTAAAAAAGCCAGGAAAACGTTAGATATTTCGGACTATCCAGGCCAATATCCATGGCCCAATAAACTATTAAACAGGTTGGGCACACCCCACCAAATGGTCATTTATCCCCCGTTTGGTGGACAATCTCCCATATCGGAGACGAATTTTACTGACCATTTGGGAGAGAAAAATGGTTGTGTTCAATTCCATAGAATGGCGTGGAATGGCGCATAATTTTAAACCATGTGGAATAAAATATAGATATTTATCGGTGTTTTGAGTGAAAAAAATCGGAAATTCAACGTGTAATTTTTTGCGCAGAGTCGTTCAAAAATTTGACAAAAAATGTCACGTATGTAAACAAGTGCAACGTTTCTCCGTTTTTACTTAAAAAGAAAATTTCCTCCTTCTTCAACGATGCTGCACCTGTCAATCATGTTGTTTACTTTCTATTTCGTTTATCCGGGCAACCAATCAAATAATGCAAACCAATAAAAACGATGATCTTTTTTTAACCTGGTCAAAAGTCGGATTTTACTACGGAGGCACATTAGTGTCAATTTCCAATTAGAAAATCAAAAGAAAAATAATTTTTCGCCTTTATTTCGTTTTATTTTGTACACAATAGCTTTGTTCTCAATAAAAATAGTAAATGAAGTTAGATTATGATATAATTATTGTTTTAAAACGATGTACTTCGAACGAATACAAGAATAATTGCAAAAGTCACTTTGTAAATCTTTTATTGAAAATTATTTATCAAGTATATTAAATTCATCAGTAATATTCATATTAAACCACAAAAGGTCGTATGGAATATGAAACTTCATCCTAAAAGAAAAATAACAACAGATATTACGTTCAAGTATAGAAGTATTTAACTTTATAGCAATAAGTGCCCACCATACCAGTAAAGTAATGAGGAGCTTGTGCTTAACGGGATTTTATGGAAATAAATATTGACGAAGATCCAAAAAGCAATTGAAACTTAACTTATCAAGAGTTAAACCACTGGATAAAATAGAATTTTTATCCTACTAGACACAATCAAATTTTTTTGGTCGAGTGATCAAGAAGTTCGGCTGTTACGGACAACTATGGGTACCGTTTTTTAGGAAGTTATGGAGAAATTGCACATGGGAAATCGACCGAACTATGCTAATTGTGCGACGAATATGTTCACTAAAATTCCCCAATGCCTAAGTAAATGCGCTTTTGCTTTATTTTAATAAAATTTGGAATAGAATAAAGAAGTCCACCATTTGGTCAGTAAAATTCGTCTCCGATATGGGAGATTGTCCACCAAACGGGGGATAAATGACCATTTGGTGGGGTGTGCCCAACCTGTTAAATAAGCAATTTTACAAAACAATGACATTGTGTACCTACATCCTTGGCAATTTCTGTTATTTTGTTGATAGGAGCATTTTCATTTTCTGCACTACATTCTTCAATTCCACTGGTAGTCAAGTACCTCCACAAAAGAAAAGAAAAAAAATTACTTGAATTTTCACAGACTTTAAAAATTAATAATGGTATTTTAATTTTCAAAGCATAAATTTTACCTTTTATGGTTCCAGTAAAAACTAATCAAATTGATCATTCAAATATATTATTTACCAGCCCATATCCTTAAGTTTTGCGATAGCTGCCATCTTCAATATCAAATGATGTTATCTTGTTTTATCTTATTCTCCTGTTACTGTCATTTCCATAAGTCGATTGCAACTTTCAACATGTGGAAGAAACGTTGGGTAAAAGAAGGGAAAGGATAAAGTTCGATGTTTCTTCTTAAATAGAGAGTTTTATTTTTTATCTTCTTGGTGTAGATTTCCTTCAAGTATAAATATACGAAAAATTCTTAAATTAATTATATTAACTTGTTTAAAGAATAATAGAATCTGTTTCTGTTTAAATTTGTAGAGTCTGCTTTTACACAATGCCTTCGGAGAATTGTAAAATATTCTCCGATTGGTTAAAATATTTGAAGTTGTAAATAGACAATGGCGGAAGAAGTGAGTTGAAGGTGGCTCTATAATTAGAAAAGATGAACTGATTGCTTATTGAATAGGATTTATATTTTCCAATATATCAATGACGGAAATATTTGAAAGAATTAATTTTGACACCCCTTTTGTTGTGCCACGAAATGGATAACATGTTCACTTTAATTTAATAATTGTTAGCTGTTGGACAAGTTTTGTGTTTGAATCATAATGTTTTAATCCCTTAATTTGAGTTTTTAAAGTGTGAAGAATCATGGACAAAAAGGATAAGCGAAACAGTTTCGTAAGTACATTTTTAACTCAATATAATCAGAGGCGTGCAGGTTTGTCAAATTTTACCTAACAGTCTTCATAATGAAAAAAGAGTGAGAAATTAAAAAAATTAAAACAGTAGCACATCCTAGATCCTGTCATTATCAAATAATGAATGAGACGACGACTCCTTTGTTGTTATTCAAAGTTACTGAAGTTTCTATATGACAAATACATGGACAAAAACTGAAGTATCATTCAATCCATTTTTTATTCAATTTCCTAATTCTATCTAACATAATTATCATTTGGGGAAAAGGTTGCCAGCACAGGTCTTTCAAAAAGATTAGAAACAGGCGATACTTCAGCAAAAATAAGAGGTAGTCGAATCCAGGACTCTATTCTCTTTAGAGAAGTGGACAGGCTTTTGCGTACATCCACGTGGATGTAGGCGAAAGCCTGTCCACTTCTCTAAAGAGAATATCGGGACCCCTGCATCACTAGTCAGGTGCTCTACAGACTGAGTTACCCAGGCCATTATCCATGGCCCAAACCAAAATATTACACATAATATCAGTCTGTTAAAAGTACTGAGTAATTTCAGATTTTGAAAGGCTAAAGGTTGAGTACAATTTTTTTTTAACATGCTGAGAAATTGAAAAAGATTCACACCAGCATTATCATAAGTGCTTTAATTTTCCGTTGGTTGGCATCTTGGTTAGGGGTATTAACGGTATACCGCAAAACACACAAAAATTGTACCATTCCCCGGTGCAAAAACCCTATGTATCTGTTTATCACGATATATGACATTTTAAGCAATTTATGCTACATGCAATTATAATAAAAGTGATTTTCTTATTTTTATTTAATGTTCAGAGCTTATTAAATTTTACATAATGCATTTGTGAACTGAAGAAATAATCTTCACCTGAAATATCATGATATGTATTATGATACACTCAGAATGTATTGTGATATGCCAGGATATGCTTTAGCTGTATTGCACCCCTAATTTTGGTATGATGTTTGGTCATGAACTAAATGAAAAGCAGAAATATGATTAATTGGAAAACCTTAATTTTCTTGTCTGTCATGAATAGCATTATATTTCAGTTGGACAAGGTGGTACGCAATACTGTCAGGATAGGAAAAGACAAATCCTCAAAGTCAAAAGAAAAAGACATCAAAGCTGCCACATGGTCTAGTCGCCTCCCCTCCTCGGGGGACTCCGAAACCACCAATGGGACGCAGTATGGTTTTGGACCTTCTCCACAGGACAACATTGGCACCTTGTCAGACCTAGAGGTCCTTGAAAGATTTGAGAAACTGCTGGTATGTAATCAATTACTTCTTTTGATTTTTAGGTGTGCATATATATAGCTTATATATATTGATTCATATAGATTATTTAAGATAAAACTGTGTACAGTGTACATTTACTTTATTTTGAGTTGGGTGTGTATGAAGCATCAAAATATAAGTTGTGTGTCTTTAAGATTTTTAAAAAATTTATGTTATTTTTTCATGACATTAGCATCTGAAGTGTCACAAGCACTTAACAACGAGATTGAAACCTCTGAAGTACTTAACAAATCCCTCTATAAACACGACACTTATATTTACTAAATGATAGATATAAAGATTTACATTATAAATATTTATGTTCCTGCATTATACAACATATCTGCTCATCAGAGACAGAAAATTCTTACTGATAACTGGTATTGGTAGCTTATTAATGAAGTCCTGTGTTAATGGGTCAGACTTTATGAGTTTTTCCTATTTTAAGTCATTAATCCTACTGTGAACAATTAACAGAATTTAACATTTGTATATTCACAATTCTGCAAAATCATCTTTTATCAAATATTGGTGATAGCAGGGTTCGAAATTCACTATATACAACTCACAAAACGCGAGTTAGAATTCCCCAATTGCGAGTTAAAAATTAGGTAACTCGCAAAAACTTGCGAGTTGATTTTTTTTTTTGCATTGAAACTGTAGCAAAATTATATAATATGACAGAACACAAAGCCTTTGATTTAAATCAGTAATTTAAAAAAAAAGTCACACTGTAGTTGTATTTTGTGTATTGTACAGTAGTTACTTTTTCTTTAAGTTACATGTATTTAATTTATATAAATTTAACTTTATATGAAAATTGTGAGTAGTCTTATAAAATTGCGAGTTCACTTTCTTGGTACTCGCAATTATTTGTGAGTTGTAATTTTAGGGAGTTTCTAACCCTGTGATAGTCCTTACAACTAGGTTTATAGATAAAATGCATGGTATTGAAAAATAATTGTGTAAAAATAATGTAAAAGACTTTTTTTTAATGTATACACTAGATAATTTGCAGAACTTGTTAGATCTCCCTGTGGCATCACTAGTCAAAACATTACTATGGCATTTTTTTGATTCAATGGGAAAAATCAATGCTGATTAACTTCAGTTGAACAGTGTAAATGATTCATTATTGAGCTGATGACTAAAGTCAACAACTGAAATAGTTGTATATAATGTTAAGCTGGCCAATCAATAGAGGAATTAAGTCCTATTATGTAGCTCCTGAAGGTTTTCTTCTCAGCATCACAAATGTTACCAGCATCAACATAATGTAAATATATATTGTTATTCGTAGATTTGATTTAGCAAAAAAATCTGATAAATAAATTTAAATATTGATCTTGCACCAAAATTTTGAACTTCTAGCATATTAGATGGATATAGGAAAATAACATTCTTGGGAAAAAAGCAAACAAACAACAACAACAAATGAACAAACCAAAATTAAGAAAAAGCAAATCAAGCATAATCATAGGGATGGGTATCAGCAAAAATTTTCGTATCGTGATTTATCACAATATTTTCCAAAAAAAAATATCACGATAATCGTGATATTTTTACACACAATTTTTACTACAATGTCAAATGAATTTCCAAAATATTTCTTAAAAATATGCTATAAAACATAAATTTACTTTTAAAATTTTTATTTACATAATATAATGTATTTTTGGATGCCATTGTTTTAACTGTTTTCAACATTTTTTACACTTCCTGGAATTGTCATTCAATAGTTTGAACAAATAAATGAATAATTTCCGGAATTTATAGTTATGTACCAAATACCGGTATTTTAGTCTCCGTTTCACGATACATATCACGCAAAAAAAAAAACGCGATATACCAGTATACCGATAAAATCGCGCATCCCTACATAATCATATTATTTTGATTTCATGGATATTCTCTTTTTAGATTATTTATTTGTCTTAGATTTGTGAAAATTCAAGATTATGTGTTAATTAAGATGTGTTAAATTATCCTAACTATGTGTGGTCAAGACTTGGCATCATATACTACACATAATTTTTGTTAGTAAACAACTTGTTTGTTAGCTGAGTTGAGGTATTTATAATGTGACTCATACTTGTATCCAGTTAAACCAAAATATCCATTTACATGATAAAAATTAATCCTTGAATGAAGTTTAAATTGAAAACAGAAGGTAACCACTGAGCTTGGTACCTATTGAGGATTTGATGGATCTCTCCCTCCCTCTGGGCATCTACACACTGACTTCGTCATGTTTATTGACAATTTGTCCATGATGGAAGCCAGAATAAGTAGTCAACATTAGCTGTACTCTAGATAAGATAAAAACACAACTTTTGGGGAGTTTATGTTCTGCAGTCAAACTTTTTTGTTGTTTTTCTGTTACATGTAGTTACTTTTGGCACAGTGTTTGCTACAAGAATCAGATAGCAGTGTAATTTTAGATTATGGGGCCTGGTTGTGAGCCATGCATGATCAGCAAGAACATAATGCTTGTGTAGTGTATTTGTCATTTTTATAATTTTTCCATAAAATAAAATTGGAGTAAAATGTAAGTCAGTATACACACAGATATTTTATGGATACTGTAATACACATAACTTGTCATCTACTTGAAGTATCTTGGCTGATGACAATAACCTTGTAAGAATTTCTAAGGGTGTGTATGTTTTAACGCTGAGTGTTCTTGTGACATGGTACTTGTAGAGACACTGACACTCATACATCTGAAGCATACTAAATCTATAATACTGCAGTCTGTCTGCATGTCTTTATAGGAGTTGTAGTGGTATTCAGATCAGTGGAGGTCTCCGAACTTTCCATATTATGTCTGTGTTAGAGCATAAACAGATATTTCCTTATTTTTATCAGAATACTTTGACATATGCAGGATGATATTCAAAGATAGGGAACCCCTTGATAAATTGCATCACAAGCTTAACAGTCTATTCTGATGCACATAACCATGATAACAGGTGTCTAACACCATATTTAAACATAGTCACTGTGACTTAAAGTCACTGTCACTTAAAATTTTAAAGCTGGTAGCTGAAAATGTTTGAAAAACAAAATTGTTCACACACATGATTGGTTGACCAGGTATGGCCAGGTGAACTTTTGATTGATGTGAGGGTAGCATCACATGTGAAATACAGGTTTTCCTTCTGAGTTGAATACCTTTTGTATTCTTTACATTTTGAGACTCATGTGGTCAGCTGTTGATCTTTCTGTGATTTGTCATAATGGAAAAGTGAATACTGAGTGGTGATTCAAAGGTTACCCTGCCCTGTCTACTAAATATGCAGGGAAAAAATAGTGGAAACATCATAAATAAATGATTATTAAAATGTTTTCAAATAAGTGAAGCATAGAATAATAAATAGCAAGAGCAGTCACAATTGTCTGAATGTAGGTGATTTTACAAAATGCTTTGATACTGTTTTTAAATTTTATCCACATGTAGCATCTAACTTAAAAATAATATTGTGCTCAACTTGAGACAAGAATTTTTCATTTTTTAAAATTCTGTAATTAATTAATTGTCATTATGACAGGAACTATAAATTTCCTGCTCCCACACTGAGTAATACATGAGAACTTTCACTGATTCCAACTTGATGACAACAATATATAAATGTAGGGCTGATATAAGGGGGCGGAAATGGCATAGTTCCTTGTTAAAATTGTCTGATGATGACTCGCTGTGAAATATTTAAGATACATTAAGTAACATGTGAATGCCTGCATAATTGATGCAGTACTTAATGCTTGAGTTATAATGTTTTGCTATAGACTGTGGTTTTATGCAAATTTTTCACAACATATAACATAATGATACTCTGGAATAATAAAAGGAATCTAGAAGTACTCTTTGCTCACAATGCATTGTAATTTGATGGAACAGATGTGATTTTGAAACCACTCATATCATTTAAATATCATTATAATGTTCTGAAAATGAGAGAGACTGAGAGAGAGAGAAAAAAAGGGGGTCTGAAATTGGAAAAGAGATAGTTACATTACTGGTATGAGGCATACATTAGTGATATGATAAGGAGAGGGCCTCTGGGTTGAGTAAACAAATTCATTAAATAAGTCATTAAGTAATGAATTTGTAGCAATCCTTTTTGTCTGTGAAATATTTATTATACCTATAAAGTAAGTGTGTCATGGACATTAACCTAAATGACCAAAGCACCCTTGCTCACCTGTTTACAGCTTTACATATGATTTGTGATTAGTTACTGTGATTGCTCGATCGGTGTACTGATTTAGGAAGTAAAACACTTGACATCCCTATACAAAAAACAATAGAGGATTATAGGATTTTAGAATGCAATTAAAATTTTTCCATAAAATACCAGTTACAACTGAATCTTCCTGCTGTCTCACATTTTTTGCTTTAATTAACCTACATAAGATGTACATTGAATTAGATAAGCCTTGATAACTGCCTTTCTTCACAACCTTTAATTTGACCATAACTTAGATAAAGTAGTTTTACTCATCCATAACTTAGATAAAGTCTTTAGACTCATTATAGTTGGTATTTCTATTTTGCTAATGAACCAGATATAAAAATCAAGGTCAAGGTCATAAGTAAAGCTCAAACATAAAATACAAATTTGTTTCCACACCAGTTTGCTTCAGTGGGGAAATTGTTTTATGTAATCATTTTTAGATACACTTAAATTATTATATCAAAGAATAACAGAACAAATGTTATTTTTAATGAAAATACAGATAACCTAATTGTAGAAAAATGTATCTTTAGTGTGGATAAACACAAAAATTAAATTATTTTAGACAGAATTAAAATCTCCTATTTCTGTAGGAGAACAGTGAGTTTTTAGATGATTATTAATGCTGTTTGCTTTATTTGTAGGATGACATGAATCTTACGGAGGAGAAGAAAGCCCCACTGAGAGCTTGGGATATACCAGCCAAGAAGAAAATGCTGGCCATGCAGGTCACTGCAGTCAAGGTCATCTTCATTGTCATGTATTGACATGTGTATATACATATACAAGGGTTGTCCCAGAAAAACATGAACTTTTTAAATGTTTTATGAACTACCTGACTAAAATTATTCATTTTTGGCACAATGTTGGGAAATGATATTTTCGTCATTTTGACCAAATACTATAAGGTTGGAATGTCATATTGCATTTAGAAATAGCATTTAAAGGGTGTTAAATATCCATGGTCGGCGCATGGCAAGTTCTTGACTTTCAAAATTAGCATTGCCATCTACATTTTTCTTTGTTACATGGCTATATGGAAATATAATGTGACAAAAATTACATCCATAGAAACTGTACGATCTAGAGTACTCGTGTGTAAAAATGAATACTTTGACTTCATAAATGACAAAAATATTATGTTATCTGTCCAAACACTATTAGTTAGATATTGTCAAAAACAGCGACGTCCTGCAATAATGCGACACACCAAATTATCGCTCATTACTGTGTGGAGCAGGGTATGACTCCTTTTAACACGGGAAAGAGCTGGAACGAAGGAACAACACAAATACATGTATCAAACACTGGTTTATACATAGTAAAAGAGGTTCAAAGATGGATGGAGTGATTATCCAAAGGAAGAAGTGCTTGGTAGACCAACAAAAATGACGACAAACTGAAAAGTCTAGAGCTGGACATCATACATGGAGACCGCTATTAACTATACAAGCATATAAGTTTATGATAGGGGTTGGAAAATTGTCTATTAAAAGAATTAATTCCTTGATTTATTCTTAACTCTAGTACATGTGAAATGGATAACTCAGTAACTGAAAGAAAATCAAATGCAGTATACAATTTCTGCTTCGAACAAATTTTTAAAGATGCACAATTCCTGAACAAATTAAAAAAACTCCTATGAGCTGTGTTTTGACGTCGTCAATGTTGCGCCGTGAGCTATTTTGAATGATTCGTTTATCAGAGAGAAAAATGGTATTTATAGAGATATTTTGAAATTTCTGTGAATTATGTAAAAAATGTTGATTATGATGCATGCCAATTTTTAACTTTATGATATAAGTGAATCGAAAAATATTGAAAATGTTCACGTTTTTCTGGGAAAACCCTTGTGTATCTGATTGTATGTGTTACTTACATGAATGATATTGCAGGGCTTTCAAACAGATGAGAAATAGCTGTTACTTTTACAAAAATAGGAGGTACCTTGTGGAAGCTATTTTAATAAAATATGTTACCAAATTTTTCTCCAACAAATATTTTGGCTGGTACAGTCATGATTTCAGCTGGGTAAAAGTAACAGGTAACGGCAGATTTTGTAAGGCCTGATTTATTGTGACTTGTAACACTTATGATGTGAATTGAAAATTTATGGCAAATCAGTCATTTTTAAATGCCAAAGATGCAAAACAGAATTCAGGAGGAAAAATGCATTACTATACAATTTCCAAGATTTCATACAACTTTTTTTTGTATTGTAGGCCAAACAGAGAGATCTAGACACACCACAGAACTTTGTGGCAGAACTTCGTAATGCCGATTTAAAGGGAGAGAAGCGTCTCCGAGTCTTGGAATCCCTCCGAGTGTCTTTGACAAGTAACCCTGTCAGGTGTGTGTTACAAGCCTTGCTTATGTTTTATTCTTATAGACAATTAAGTCACTCAGCCTCAAGTCACAGAAGTACAATAAAAGCATACTTACTGTGTTCAGATTGTTTTTATTTTGATATTTTAGTATTAGCATTCTTCTTCTAGTGATCTGCATTTTGAGAGTACAACATGTACTGCTGCTCCTAAGATTACTCTAGATTCTCTGAATGTCTAGTTTTGTTTTCTGTGATTTATTTTTGTTTTTATTTCACAGCTGGGTGGTTGAGTTTGGACTTGATGGTCTCAATGGTATCTTACGGAACTTGACTTACTGCTGTGACTCGTGAGTACTGTCTCCAGTCATGTATTTGAATCTGGATTTATCCTGTATTCCTTCTGATCAGAATCTGGATTTATCCTGTATCCTTCTGATCAGAATCTGGATTTATCCTGTATCCTTCTGATCAGAATCTGGATTTATTCTGTATTCCTTCTGATCAGAATCTGGATTTATTCTGTATTCCTTCTGACCAGAATCTGGATTTATCCTGTATCCTTCTAATCAGAATCTGGATTTATTCTGTATTCCTTCTGATCAGAATCTGGATTTATCCTGTATCCTTCTGATCAGAATCTGGATTTATTCTGTATTCCTTCTGTTCAGAATCTGGATTTATTCTGTATTCCTTCTGACAGAATCTGGATTTATCCTGTATCCTTCTGATCAGAATCTGGATTTATCCTGTATCCTTCTGATCAGAATCTGGATTTATTTTGTATTCCTACTGATCAGAATCTGGATTTATTCTGTATTCCTCAGGGTTCTCACTAGGATTTTGCTAACTTGAGTCCCAGGACTCAAGATTTTTGAGAAGGTTGCGTCCCAGCTAAATTTGATGCGTCCCAGAAAAATTATGTTGAGTCCCAACTAAATTATTGCAGTATCCTTCCATCTAAACATCAATAAAAATCTTTATCATTTTATCAGTTTGTTTACGCAATATTATCATATTCAAGTATATAAACTGGAAATGCATTCAAGCCATATTCTAAAATACACACGTAATCAATTGCCATAAAAATAACTTGGTGTTTATAAAGCTAAAATTAACTGTTGCATAATCAACTAGTACCCAAAAGTTTACTGTATACAATCACAGGTGTCATGTGCAATGAGGCGTAACTAATCCTGTCGGTCGTCTGCACTGGGTGAAATTCACGAGATAATCAAGCCGCATTGTGTATACAAGCAGTAATTATGGTTTCTACATGTAGATAACACTCAGATTCAAAAGTGGTTTTACAAAGAAAGCTGCAGTGTGTTTACAGCTGTCGGAGTTTGGCATGCGACACTATTATGACTATGGACTAATAAACATGAAATATCTTAATTATGATCAATCCCTGTTTAAAAAAAAAAGAAGAAGAGAAATAAGTACAAGAAAAGTTGTTTCTTGGATAAACTTTATGATAGTTACAGGAAAGTTTCGATTAAATATTTCTTTGACAAATCCTAAATCTAAATTCCCTGTTTTCTAGATCACCCGAATTTTCTCGCTAACGAGGACGCGTCCGACCATGAGTCCGCGGACGCATCGTTTTTAAAAACCTTGCGTCCCAAGTAATTTTGCTGCGTCTAGGACGCGGATTCTTGCGTTAATGAGAACCCTGATTCCTTCTGATCAGAATCTGGATTTATCCCGTATCCTTCTGATCAGAATCTGGATTTACTCTGTATTCCTTCTGATCAGAATCTGGATTTATTCTGTATTCCTTCTGATCAGAATCTGGATTTATTCTGTATTCCTGCTGATCAGAATCTGGATTTATTCTGTATTCCTTCTGATCAGAATCTGAATTTATTCTGTATTCCTTCTGACAGAATCTGGATTGATCCTGTATCCTTCTGATCAGAATCTGGATTTATCCTGTATCCTTCTGATCAGAATCTGGATTTATTCTGTATTCCTTCTGATCAGAATCTGGATTTATTCTGTATTCCTTCTGACAGAATCTGGATTTATCCTGTATCCTTCTGATCAGAATCTGGATTTATTCTGTATTCCTTCTGATCAGAATCTGGATTTATTCTGTATTCCTTCTGATCAGAATCTGGATTTATTCTGTATTCCTGCTGATCAGAATCTGGATTTATTCTGTATTCCTGCTGATCAGAATCTGGATTTATCCTGTATTCCTTCTGATCAGAATCTGGATTTATTCTGTATTCCTTCTGACAGAATCTGGATTTATCCTGTATCCTTCTAATCAGAAGAGGAATAAGAAAGTTTATTGTAGCAAATAATGAAACCAGTAATATGCGTAATAATATAATTGAATTGCAAAATTGAATTTGCCATGGAAAAGGAATCCCAGGTCACTGTGAGCTTCACTGGGACCAAATTTGCATGAATGATGTCTCTAGGTATACACACTATCATTCCTACTTCAGATGCTGCATCTGATCCACATGCATGTATGTGTATAAACCAGAACAATGACCAGGATAAACTTACTGAAGCAGGCTCATTTTTAAGTACAGTGTACATGTAACCACCTGGTTTGTATGGATAGTCGTCTAGGGTTGCATACTACCAAACTTGCTTCAGTTGATGCATCTGACCCCTATTTTCTAGATGAATGTTCTTGGTAAATTTTTGTTTCAAGTCCATTCCCTAGTTATGTTAACTTTTACCTGAACCAAACTTCCATTGTTTTATATGTATCTAAGGATACAGTCTGTCAGACTTGCTTATGATTCTGCATCTGTCCCTTATTTTCTGGATGAGTGGCCAAAAGGTTTTTGAGTATGTCCATTCCAAAGTAAAATATGCCTTCCTGGACCAAACTTGCATGGATGTTGTATTTAGGGGAACATAATAACAGTTTTGCTTTAGATACTGCATGTGACATATTTTCTGGATGAATGGTCAGCTTTACAAAGAAACAAGGTTCATTGCTTTTCACATTGCAATATGGATGAACCTTGGACAGGGCATTCTTGTCCTATGGACATATTTCTAGTTTGTAACTAAGGTACAGTCCACATATGTACCTGTGCATCCCATGAGCATTAAGAATTTTCTCACATAGCTTTTCCCTACATTTTGTGGAGCAGTCAAGAACTCTTCATATGAAGATTTGTTTGTTAGATTTCATCTTGCAGATTTGTTTTGTATTTTCTTGAACTTGAAAATAAAAGTAGATTTAAGAGTATGCATACCTTAAATAAAGATGTAATTAGTTTCATTTCATTTCAAATATATTTCAAAAGCATTATTTGTTTTCAAACCTGCATTTTTCATTCTTTACCATGCATGTTTGTCAAACAGTGTACAAACACAAGTATATTTTAAACATGTTAAATGAGTTCAGAACTGGGTTTTTTTCATGGACTACTTTCTGGTTGTTTCTAAAAATAAAAAGTGGGATGTTCCTATATTTTCTGTTTTAGTTTTTTTTTAATCTACCTTAAAGTACTCTTTGATTATTGAACAAAATCTAAGTGTGAATTTTGTATGTGAATTGAGCATTCCATCCTTTGTGTGATTCTTTTACAGTAAGACAGAGAGGAAGAGCACATATGAATGTGTCAGATGTCTAAAAGCTTTCATGAACAACAAAGTAAGTGTTCTATCCATTTCTCTCATTTTTCTTCTGCTTTGATTTAGCAATGTTAATTTTTGGATTGGAAATTTTCAATGAATGGAGGTTCAATTAATCTGTGTGAGTGTTTCCTTACCCATGTCAATTTTTTCAGGATTGTTTTGTAAACATTTTTTGAATTCACATTCAGATCCACCAAAAAGTTTGTTTACTTCTAGCAGGTCTTTTTATACGCCCGTCTTTAGACGTGACGTATTATGTTATGGCGTTCATGTCCATCCGTCCGTCTGTTAGCTTTTTCGTGTCCGGCTCATAAATTTAATACTATTAGGCCTAGGATAATTAAACTTTGTCAGTTGATACTTCTTGGGTAGAAGGTGTGTCACACATTTAAAGTAGGTTGTTCTGACCTATAATTAAAGGAGGACATCGGAGTATAAATAGCAGCCAATGAAATAAATGGTGGGTTATTTGATTTTTCTGGCCACATTCAGATTGCAGAGAGTTATTTACAAATATTAAAATACTGATTCCCCTTTATCATCAGATGTTTGTCATGCTTGTTCTTCTCATTAATGTGCATCCTTGGTCACAAATTAAATTTACTGTAAAATTTTTTCTTAGCTGTATTTTTCATTGAAATATTTGAAGCAGGACTTCTGTTTCTATTTGAAATTCAAAACTGACAGCAGTGGGCGTGATTTAGTTTGTTATTGTTTACACCGGATGTTGTCTACATCACATGCTGGCATGGCGGGCAGAACAGAATGCTGCAGTGTTTGACTTACTTTCATCTCTAGATAAATCCAACTTCCAAAAGATAAAATCCATGATTCAGATTTTTGACATCTGTATTGAAATTGGAATAGTTATAAAATCCTCACAATATATGTACAAAATAAATATCAAGTCAAAACACCTAGCCTATACAAACAGAAACAAACAAACAAAGAGAAGAAAATATCAATTTGATCATGTTGATTGACTGTCAACTATGAAATAAAAATTATTCCCACAAGTGACCCATGTATTGTACATCTTTTGGATTTGGTAGCCATGTTCTCACAGTATTCACTACACATGTCGGCATAATGTCACGTCTGTGCCATTCCTGTCCTGGCTGATAATGTTCCAAAGGTCGCATTTTTTTCTCAGCATATCGGGGATCACTCCAGACTCCACGATGTAAGAGCATTGTCCAAAACCTTTTATATTTCTCCTTTCGTAATTTTGAATTCCTGGGATGGGGCGGTCTGAATGGTTCCACTTCCCACCATAATTGCCTGTTGTTGTTGTCTGTGACGCAGGGTTTGCAGAGGCAGAATGGACATTCCTCTCTGTTAATGTCTTGAAGGATGACAAATTTTTCTTCATCATTATTGCCACTGCATTCAGCTTCTATAACTCCAGTATCTAATTCTATATTTGTCTGCACACCTTTGTCTACACATTCTGATCTTACACAAGTGTTCCCGCCAAATTTCTCTTCCTGTGATGTGTCAATGGGGCGAAAATCCCAGTCACTATGCAAAAAGAAATGTTTTATGGCCTCCATTTGCATTTCACTCACATCCAAAATTAATCTCTGTCTTTCCCCCATTTTGCTTACAAAATACAATAACAAATTAATGGAAAATGGCCTCTAAATGATTACAGTGTAGGTACTAATATATGCAGTGTAGGTACTAATTGATGCAGCTGTGTGAAGTCCAACCTCCCCACATGATTAAATGGGTGATAAGAGAATGGTTTATTAGTTACTGCAATTTTGTGAATAGGGCCAAACAAAGGAGAATTTTATTTATATTAATATATATTTTCAATTCTGTTGATTTCTGGAAATAACAACTTAGAAATAAAAAAAAATTGATAAATTAAAAAAAAAGGGAATTTTCAAAACTAATAATGTTATAGTGAGGTTACACATCTATTTCTCTTTTGTTATCAATTACTCTCCCCCTTGGCCTCACATAGAATATAAGGATGGTTTTGGGTTACTGATAACCAATATATATGAATACAATTTCTCTCAGAAACATCAAAATCTTGTATTTGAAATCATGGCAAAAAATGAAGAGTCCGCAAAGAAACGTCCACCAAATTTTAGGCTTGAAATTCCTGGTGATGGGGAATTTAAAACTAAAATTCAAGGAAAACTGCAAGAGGTGAAAACATTTCTCACTTCTAAGCGCAATTCACCTGTAAACAATGCTGTAATAATCGAGGAACTTTTGGACTTTTGGTTAAAAAAACACTCAGAGGACCAAAGTGTGGAGCTGGATCAAACACAATTTCCATCAACATATCTTCAAGTCAGGAAGAGGGATGTAAATCAGAAAATGTTTGTTTGTGCAGAGTCATCACTTCTAAATATATGTGAACTTTGTGAAGCTCATACCAAGAACTGTAATGGAAAATTGAAATTCTTTAAGAAAACGATGAAAGGACATGTTATCTCTTTGCGCCTCCAATGCTCCAAGGATAAAATACACAGTTATTCCTGGTCATCATCACCATATCTGCCCAATGATGAATATCTGGTCAACCACAGAATATGTCATGGTCTCATGTGTAGTGGAATGCTACCATCTCATTACACAAGATTTTCCAATGGAAGTGGATTAGGATGCATCAACTGGGCCAGGAGAAAACATTTTTTTGAAGAATATAAAAATTCTGTTGAGGCCGAATATCAAGATTCCGTCCAAGATGCTCTACACGAAGAAATCGGGAGTTATCAAGACTTGGATGGCATCAATATTTTAACAGATGCTAGACATGGATGGCAAAAAAATGCAAAAGATACATCTGTAGTGGCCATAGGTGAGAAATGTCATAAAGTTTTGGATTGTGTCCATGTCACAAAACAACAAGATCCCGTTTCTCAACGACATGAAAGAATTGGCACAGAAGCTATTTATGAAAATTTCACCTCGCAAGATGTCACCATCAAGATTCATTCTCATGACAGAAATCTTAGTATCAACAAATTTATTAAAGATTCAGAAGAAACAACAAATCAGAATGATTTATGGCACTCAGTGAAAGCACTGAAAAAATCACTTAAAAATATCTCCAGTGGCAGTAAGAAGTCTGAGGGTTTTACCTGGAGTGAGCAGCTAGTGAACAAGACCGAACCGATTGCCACTCATATTCATTGGGCTGTTAGGCATTGTGAAGGAAATCCAAAAAAGCTACAAGAATTTATAGAGAATATAATTCCTCACTATGAAAACTCGCATGAAAAGTGTCATCCAGAGTCGAGATGCAGAAAAGATGAAAATTATGAGCCTTCCCGAGTTGTGTTAACAAGTAAAATTGCCAAAAAACTTTTAGAAAATGCACTGAAAGGATCAGTTATTTATAAATATCCTGAGGATTATGTTTTGGGTAAAGATACTTTTTATGTAGAGAGTTTTAATAATGTCATGAACATATTCCAGGACAAGAGAATAGTTTTTGGAGAAAACCAATATAAACTGAGATCAAACTTAGCTGTGTGCCACTGGAATGAAAATGTTGACAGGGAGCACACCTCAGTGTATCATTCAAGGAACCCAAATGCGCCACGAAGCCAGAAAGGGAAGAAAGTGTATAAAAAACTAACATTTAAATACAGAGATAATATCTGGTGTAAATATGTAGAAAGCTTTTATTGAAATGAACTGTCATAATATTGAGCCGAGATTATTTTGTACATTGAGTATCAATATTGTAATTGAAACAAGTTATAATATTTTTATTTTAATCAGAATTGTATATATATATATATAATCAATTATATAGTCAATCAATAAATCAGCAGTATGTCTTGTAAATCCTGCTTTGTATATATACACTGTAAAGATTATCACTGTGGGTTACTTGTTTAGCCAAGTAACACGTGTGCTGTCTTCTGTTATCAGCATGCTGGAGTTTATTTTTAACTTAGCTGCAGCAATAAGCGCCGCCCTACACCAAATTTGCTTAATTGCACTACCACCGGATTTTCAAGTAGGTCAAGCTCGGCCTTTAAGATGCTATGGCCAAATATGGAAAAATCCTGTCCGGCTCATAACTAGAAAACTATTGGACTTAGAATCATCAAACTTGGCCAATTTTTGTATCTTAGGTAGAAGTTGTGTCGCGACCTATTTCAAGGTCACTGTGACCTTTAATTTAAGTGAAATTAAAAAAAAAACTCTTTTTACTATCAGATTACACAATCCCAAAAAATGCAAGAGTGTTGCAGTATCCTTATTAAAAAAATGTTAAATCAAGAAAATACTTATTTTTTTCATTATATACTTTACAGCAATCTATAACAGATGTAATGTTACAAGGGAAATTCCACCTCTCCCATGGGTGTAATTATCAAGCACTGGTCAAGGAGAATTTGATAACAGAAAATTGCATGTCAAATTAGGGAAATTAATGAGTTTAGTGTGAGGAGCTAACTGGAAGAGCATCTCTGATCAAGCAGGTGTTATCTATATCTCTTGGGAACCGGGCAAAAAGAATCAGCCATGTTGGATTAAATAGTTGGCTAGCCTAACTTTTAAAATGAATTTGGTGAAAAGTAATTAAAACTTATTTGATATTGTATGATAAATTAATTTGATATTGTATAATAAACTAATTTGATATTGTATAATATAGTTAAAACTAATTACCGGTATACTCAGGAGGGGGTGATATTGGAATCAGCATGCCCGTTGTTCATATGAATTGCAGCTTAAAACCAGTCTGACATTAAATCTAAAAAAAAATCAAGTATTTAAAAAAAAAAATGTTTTAATTATGGTAGATAGTCCCTACAAATCTAAGAGTAATGCAGGAACCTTATTAAAAATGTTGCATCAAAATTACACAAGTCTTTTGTTTCTTTTTATAAATCTTAACAAATTTTAAAAAAAATCTTTGTTTTCAAATTTAATCTCAGAATGACATAAATATGCATTTTTATTGCACTACAAAGCAGATAGTATGTATAGATCCATTCATCTGTTGGGAGTAATGAGTGGACATGCATCCAGTTAAAGATTAATTAATGAGTTCAGTGTAGAGAGGCTAGCTGTCTCAATCATTTCTGTTAGAGGATCTCTGATCAAGCAGCTCTTATCTGTATCCTTTGGGAATTAGACAGAACTGCTTGTCAGTTTATAGCATAACAGTGGCGCTTCGTTAATCCGGACGCCTCCGTCCCCAACGAAATCGTCCGGATAAATGAATCGTCCGGATAAGTGAATCACTTCTTTAAAGACGTACCCTCTCACAACATGTACATATGAACATATTGGTGATCGGCATTTATAACTAACGCCAGTTACGTATTTCTTAGTGCATTAAATAGAAATATATTTTCTTGAATTATGTATCATAATAAATTGTCTTACGAAAAGAAAAAAAAAAAGTTTCAAATAATGTACGATCGTATTTTATAAACTTATGCAACTCAATACCACAACGAAATCTCGTGATTTATTATTCAGTAAAAAATTTTATTTACAACTCTCCAAAATTCTCATAAATTTATATACCGTTAGCAATTTATTCTATTCTGAACGGATTTATTTAATTATTGCACAGTATAAGCTAAATTCTTCGAGATTTATAATATAAAAGACGTGTGTATGAACTTTTATCTGAGGTAAACACACGCTAATTATAGACGCTATTGTTTAGAGGTCACAGGTAACCGCCTTCAAACTGACTCAATGGACAATGTTTTTACAATAATTATCACTACTGCAAGAAAGGTGTGAAAAGTTGTTCCTCGAAAAATTACCGTCCGGATAAACGAGTCATTTTTCAATGAAATATTACGTTTTGTAGTAGAAATTGACCGTCCGGATCTGGAACGCGAATTTCCGGATTAATGAGACAGAATGACATGGAAAAAATTGGTTCCCAAAAAATATCATCCGGAAGGTGAAGCGTCCGGATTATTGGCGTCCGGATTACCGCGGCGCCACTGTATGTCATTTGATGGTCAGCCTTTTATTTTTAATATTAATTTGAAATAGATTAAGTTGTTAAGACTGAATTGATATTGTGTAATATGATATTTTTATTTAATTTTTTGAAAATATCAACTAATTCAGAGCATCATGTCTCACAAATCTGAAAGCTGGGGGGGGGGGGGGGGCTGCAGATGGGCATTTGTCAAGCTCTAACACAACCAGTTGAGGATCTATAATGTAATATTTGAATATTTGTTATAATTAATGCCTACACCACAGGAGATTTATAAACAAATATTATAAGGAATGGAAAAATCCTTGAAATCCTTGTATCAAGGTTGACGTGATTTTCTTGCACTCTAAACTGTTTATGACAATTGAACAATATTTGACGGGCGTATCATGCTGTGGCGGGGCACTTTTTCATTTTTCTTTTGGTGTTTCAGTTTGGGCTGATGCAGATTATTCAGCACGACGAGGCCCTGACAATTCTGTCACGGACCGTGGACCCATCAGACCCTACCACAATGTTAGAGGCTGTACGTCTTCTAGCTGCCATCTGCCTGGTTCCTCCAGATGGGTAAAAATTTTATGTATGGAAAGGGAGACAACTTTACTCAAAATTTCACTGGAATGGGAGAGAACCTTTTCCTTAGTCATTAAATTTCAATTCATTAATGAATTGGTACTGTGTGTGTACTTAAATAGCGGGCTTTATATTTTAGTGACTTTGGCACACACAATGATGTTTTAATTCATGAATACTGGTAATAATTCATTAGTGAATACGTTCAAGGCATGGACATATGTCAGGTTAGTTCATGATTAAGCCAACCACTCCATACCCAGTCAGTGATCGGGATGAGAAAAAGGCTAAATGCAAGAATGGCACGTTCCAAGCCATTGTCAATGTGACATTTCTAAAATCAATGCGCCATATTGAATTTTTAGGGGACAAGTATTTAAAATGGCAGGTTAAAATTTACTTGATATTAAGGAATCCATTGCAAAATTACGAAAAGTCTGGCCTTTCTCGGGGTGAGGATTTTTTTCAGCGGCATATCTTCAACTTTGTGCGCATTAATGTCAACTTATGGTATTAACCAATCAGATACTGAAGAAATCTAAGTCATTGTTACGCTTTGCTAGACAGCAGTAACTTTAATTTTCAAGCATAAATATGACCCAATTGAAGCATTGCAGCGAAAGAGATTTCAAACCAGTGGGGGAAAACTCAAAGTTTAAAAGTATGTGTGATGATAATATGCGCCATAAGGGCACAGCGTTTTTAATAGCAATGCGACATTATTTAAATTAATGCAACTATGGTGCAGGGCGCGTGCTTATCCCAATCACTGCCCAGTAATTGCACTAAATATTGAATATGTTTATTTATGTACGCATACAGTGTTCTAGTGAATTCAGTGTGAAATTTGAAGTAAATTGGCTCCTATGAGTTTGAATAAAAAGTTCATTATTTATGGTAAAAATAAATGTTTTTATGCCCCGCCATGAATATGGCCGGGGCATATAGTGTTTGTCATGTCCGTCTTCCGTCCTTCTGTCCTTCCGTCACACTTTGCATTTAGCTCTGTTCAAAGCTCAGTTTCAAAGAAACTATCCAAGATATTTTTATCAAACTTCATATGCTGATAGATATTGATGAGGGCTATGCAACTGTATCAACATTTTTTGACCTTGACCTTTCCTTTGACCTTGACCTCACTTTTCTTAAATTAGTGTTTAGCTCAGTTTTAAAGATACCATTCAAGATAGTGTAATCAAACTTCATATGTTGATACATACTGATGTAAGCTATTCAACTGCATCAGCATTTTTTGACCTTGACCTTTCTTTTGACCTTGACCTCACTTTTCTTACATAAGTGTTTAGCACAGTTTTAAAGATACCATTCAAGGTAGTGTAATCAAACTTCATATGTTGATACATATTGACTTAAGCTATTCAACTGCATCAACATTTTTTGACCTTGACCTTTCTTTTGACCTTGACCTCACTTTTCTTAAATTAGAGTTTAGCTCAGTTTTAATGAAACAATTCTAGTATTTTTAACAAACTTCATATGCTGATACATACTGATGAGAGCTATTCAACTGCATCAATATTTTTCACCTTCACCTTTCCTTTGACCTTGACCTCACTTTTCTTAAATTAGTGTCAAACTTCATATGCTGATACATACTGATGAGAGCTATTCAACTGCATCAATATTTTTCACCTTCACCTTTCCTTTGACCTTGACCTCACTTTTCTTAAATTAGTGTCAAACTTCATATGCTGATACATACTGATGAGAGCTATTCAACTGCTTCAATATTTTTTTACCTTCCCTTTGACCTTGACCTCACTTTTCTTAAATAAGTGTTTAGCTCAGTTTTAAAGAAACCATTCATAATATTTTTATCAAACTTCATATGCTAATACATACTACATACTGATGAAAGCTTTTCAACTGCGTCAATATTTTTCGAATTGACCTTTCTTTTGACCTTGACCTCACTTTTCTTAAATTACTGTTTAGCTCAGTTTTAAAGATACCATTCAATACAGTGTTATCAAACTTCATATGTTAATACATACTGATGAGAGCTATTCAACTGCATCATCACTTTTTGACCTTGACCATTCCTTTAACCTTAACCTCACTTTTCTTAAATTAGTGTCAAACTTCATATGCTGATACAAACTTATGTAAGCTATTCAACTGCATCAATATTTTTTGACCTTGACCTTTCCTTTGACCTTGACTTCACTTTTCTCAATTTGTGTCTAACTCAGTTTTAAAGAAAGCATTCATAATATTTTTATCAAACTTCATATGCTAACACATACTGATGTAACCTTTTCAACTGCATCAACAATTCTTGGCCTTGACCTTTCCTTTGACCTTAACCTTATTTATTTTAAATTAGTGTTTAGCTCAGTTTTAAATAAATCATTCAAAATATTTTTATCAAACTGAAATATCTGATACGTATTTGTGAGAAGTATTCAACTGCATCAAAAACATTTGACCTTGAATCTCCTGTGACCTTGACCTCACTTTTCTTAGATTTGCATTTTGTTTATTTCAAAGAATATTTATGTAAGTTTATGCACTTATACATAATTTGGCAAGAATTTATGATCTATATCCAACTTTTTAGATTTCAATTGCAATTTTAAAGAAACTATTCAAGATATTCTCATCAAATTTCATACACTAATACAAATTTTCCTGTTGCATTACTAATATACCCTTGGCGGGGCATTCATGTCCTATGGACATATTTCTAGTTATTTGTTATTTCAAATTCTCTGCATTAATACTTGGTTTGTACTCTTTCAGGCATGAGAAAGCATTGGAGGGTATAACAGTGTGTGGGGAGATTCGGGGGAGGGACAGGTTTATCCCTGTAATTATGGGGCTAGGTATGAGAGACAATCAGCCCATGCAGGTGGCATGTATTCAGTTAGTGAATGCCATTGTCAGTACGCCTGATGATCTGGACTTTAGACTCCATCTACGTAATGAATTCATGAGGACTGGACTCATTGATTTGATTGGTGTAAGTAGACAGGAAAAAAATAACCTCTTTCAGAAAATGGTTGAAAGCATTCAAAACTTTTTTTGAAATTAAACTCACAAGACACAGTGGATTATTATTATTATTTAGTTATTTTGTATCTATTATTTCTTCACCGAAACTTTCAGAAAAAGTATGTGTATGAATTAATGTCTGCCAAGTTGTCATAAAGGAATGAATATATTTTTATCTGTTTACAGTCACTAAACAGTCAGCAGGATGAAGAACTTCAGACACATTTACAGATTTTTAAAGATCACCAGGATGAGGATTTTGAAGAGTTTTCACATCGCTATGACAACATCAGGGTGGAATTTGAGTATCCTTGCTAAGTGCTCTGTCCACTATCCCAGAAAGTCTGGTCATGTTTAACAGTCAGTTTGTGCTGTATATACATGTTTTTTTTATCATGGTAAAATTTGTTGGCCAATCTTTACTATAAATTTTGAACTATACAAGATGCAGACTTCATAAATGGTCAACAAAATCAAAACTTGATGCCAGGTCTAATAGTCACACATTATTAATTTAATCTTAATTAACAGTTTAAGTTAATCTTAAACAACAATAGAGGCTTATACTTTCACAATAATATCAGGGTTTGACACTAAGGCACTCCGACCGACCCAGTCTAGTAAATGAGTGGTCCAGTCGTGTAAAATGTACAGGAACTAGATCGATACATCGTGTTGATAAAATAACTGTTAAAGTCCCATTTCAATGTTCATAACTTTAAAAGAAATTTTCTTCTTTCTCCAAAGCCATTGCTGTATAGAGGAGAAAAAAATCCCCTCAATACACAATCGCTATTTTTAGCCACGGATGTAATTGGCAAGTCAGAGTCAAAACTACTGTCGTTCAGTATCAATATGGTCAAAATAGTTACGTATAGTACAGTTATAAACTTCTTAATATTTACAATAATTATTTTATTTAATTAATTAATATTCTTTAAGGCCAACTCAAATTTCCCAATGAACCAAACTCAATTGGCTGGGGACTAAGTTACCTCATTAAAATTCTCGATTATAAGAAGTAAATTTGCAAGTTTGATCAGGGTTAGTAATTTTATGGTCAGGGCTAGTAAAAATTACTGGAAGTAGCCTGATTGGTCTAGTACTTACAAAAGTTAATGTCAAACCCTGAATATCATGCTTTTCATATTAATAAAATGCCATAAATGAATGAGATTGTTTAATCCCCCCTCCTTTCCCACAAAGCTTGTGGGAGAGGTTATAGAAATCACCATGACCATCCTTCTGTCAGTTTGTCCCACTTTGTGTCAAGGACAGAGGTTGCTGGAGGTGTGTCATGACCCTGAACAATGGCCAACCAATAATACGATCAACATAAATGCATTGTCATGGACATTGTAAAAAACATTCCCAAAGTTTATAGTATTCTTGTATGCAATTTGTTTTGTTCCTGAGCTGTTACTAGAGATCCTCAGCAGTGTTTTACCCTGATCCAGAACTCGGTGAAGGACACAATAGCCGAGCCTTACTTCCTCTCTATACTACAACATTTACTCTGTATCAGAGATGACATGTTTTCTAGGTAATACAATCTACATAACTTTTTGAAAATTTTGCTGAAAATATTAACATAGAGTAGAAAAATGTTTCTTAGCCATGTGAATGTAATGATATTTGTGGAACTTTCATTGGCTTATTTCAGGCCCCAGTATTATAAATTAATAGAAGAATGTGTCACTCAGATAGTACTTCACAGAAGTGGGACTGACCCAGATTTTCGACACACAAAACGATTTGAAATTGATGTTGAACCTCTTCTTAGTAAGTCACAGATTTATGGCTATCTCCGTGTTTATTTTGGATGTGACACATATAATGTATGGGAAAAAGTATTTTATTTTGAATCTGTCATTCTTTGAATAGGTAATTTAACAGAGAAGTCTAAATATGAAGATTTTGAGGGCAGTATAATTGAAGTTAACAATAAGTTAGAAACGGCCCTCACTGCGAAACAGGAATCTGAGGCTCGGGCCATGACTCTAGAGGAGAAGCTCAAACAATACGAACAAGAAGTGGCTGACATGAAAGAAAAGGTATTACATCAGAAACACTGTTTAATTCAACCCTAAATTTACTCCAAAAATTTTGGTTTTCATATGTAATATGTAAATCAGTCAACTATCTGACATTTAGAGTTTCAGTTTTAAAAAGATCATTGATTTTGAAAGAAAAATTTGATTATAAGATTTTGTAAATTCTACAAAACTGACATTGTAGATTCGACAGGGCATTGGGGATACAATCATAGCTGGCAAAGGTCCAGGGGGAACAGGTGCTCCACCACCACCTCCAGCCCCTCCACCTCCTGGTGGAGTACCTCCCCCACCCCCACCACCTCCTCCTCCAGGTGGTGCACCACCTCCTCCACCCCCACCACCAGGAATGGGACCCCCTCCTCCTCCACCACCACCTGGGGCTCCAGGAGCACCACCTCCCCCTGGTATTGTGAGCCCACCTTCCAGCAAATTGCCATACGGAATGTCTCCTAAAAGGAAGTATGAATTAGGAGTTCAGACGAAACGCATCAACTGGAATAAGGTATGTCAGATCTTGTCCATAGACATTGTTGAAGAATGAAAGTGTACTTTCCCCTTAAGGCCCAGTAAAGATTGTTTTAAAAAGTGAGTTTGTAAGAACCCATAGATTTATTTGGGGGGAGGGGGTATCTTTTATTTGAATTACTGACAGACATGATGTGTGAGCAATTTGAGCAAAATTTCATTATCTAACTTAAGAAAACTTTATTTCTATAGTAAAAATTATTTCAACATGTATTCCAACATGGTGATGTCAATAAATTGAACTGACAGAATCTACCAAAACAAAAACTTTATCTTTTTTCATAAACATGAAATAATGCCACCTTTACCACATTTGTAAAGGACAACAAATATTGCAGGTGCAAGCAAATAAAATGGATAAAGAAGCATTTTGGGTCAATGTCCATGAAGACAAATTTGAGGACCCAAATTTATTTGCAGGTCTCCTTGAGAATTTTGCAGTTGCAACCAAAGGTAATAGCATTTTCTGATGAATCTTTATGCTGTAATTGAAAGTTAATGTACTGAACAGCATGTATTTAAGAATGTTCAAGGATAAATTCCTGGGCTGCTTTCAAGATTGTAGCAGCTAGCCTAGCTTTTAGGTCTATTGAACTCACTATATGAATTACCGGTAATACATGTTACACTTAGGTAGTGGCAAAGCTAACATACCATTAAGGATTGTAGCTCTGCATAGAGCTACTTACATATAGCTGGTACAATCTTGAAGTCCCTGTAGAACTGTGCTAAAAACACATACAATATGAAATTACTTTGATTTAGCATATTCAATTCGGGTCATCCTTAGTTCAGATGTCATGTACAATATACATGTAACACTTTTTAAATTTTTTAATGATTTGTAGAGAGTTTATACTACATGTACATGTATATAGAAGTTGGTTTAGGCTGCTTTATAAATCCATTAATAGTCATTAAACATGTTTTATACCAGGGAAGAAAAAGGAAACTGATCATGAAGAGGTGGAAGTGAAGAAGAAAGCCAAAGAACTAAAAGTTCTGGATCCAAAGTCAGCACAGAATCTGTGTGAGTAAATGTTAGGGTAAATCAGGAGTGCCCTAGGACTCCTATTATACTGACTCCTTACAGTACATGTATATATTGACTCTCTATGACTGGAGGCTCCTATTATACGGACTCTTTACAGTATATATATATATTGGCCCTACACTAAGACAGAAAAATCATGTACAGCAGAGAAAGGCATATTTCTTGAATTTTAAGGAGGGTAATCCTCACAAATTTTATGAAAATAGAAATAAACAAAAGAACCTTTAATATTCATATTATCTTTTTAAAAAAATCAGGAATATTAATATACGTATGTACATATATACCTGTATGTAAAATTATTTTCATTTCTTTGTTTCTTAAAAAATTTCCACCATGCAGATGTATTTGAAATCTGGGGAGACTATTTATGTTGACCAGATATTGATACCAGGTTACATTTGGAAAATGATTTGTTTATGCATATGATGAATCCTTGAATGCATATTATGAATACATGTATTTACATACTTTTGTAGCAATTCTTCTGGGTTCCATCAAGGTCCCCTTCAAAGAAATAAAGCGTCGAATCTTAGAGGTAGATGAGGATAATTTAAATACTGCTATTCTGGAGCAGTTATTACGGTACATGCCTGAGCCAGAGCAGATGAAGCAGATTGCCAGTCTCAAGGACCACTATAATGAACTCGCTGAACCAGAACAGTTTGCTGTTGAGGTACTCTAAAGGGGAAAAGGGCATGACAGTGACACATTTAGTAAGAACCTTCCTTTTTTCATAGTATACACATGTGTCATAGTTGTATTGTCTTTCTTTAGATGTCAAGCATAAAGAGAATCCATCCCCGCCTTAATTCCATGCTGTTTAAGATGACTTTCCCCGAGATGGTCCAGGACATCAAACCAGTAAGGTTTATAAATAAATATTTTAATAATGAATTGATCATTGTTTTAACAATTTCAGAAATAACTGGGGGAAAAAAATATCTTAACAGGATTTGGTGGCAGCAAAAGAGGCTTTAGAAGAAATCAAAACTAGCGGCAAATTTGCTAAAATCTTGGAACTGATTTTACTGATAGGCAACATTTTAAATGCTGGATCAAGGAATGCACAATCTGTAGGGTTCGACATCAGTTTTCTTCCCAAGGTAAATTGTGTTTACAAATTTTATGGAATCATTTTATCAAAAGCTTGTACATGTACTTATAAACTGATATCATCAAGTATGATACCAAGTATAAACACTCAAAATTGATGGTACTTATCCTACTTCATTGTGTAACTATGGTATAATCTTATGCCCTGTTCACACGGAGAGTTTAATTCGCAGTAAATTAATGCGAAGTAAAATGATGCGAATTAAACTAATGCGAATTAAATTGCGTTCATACGACAACTAATGCGAAGTAAACTAATGCGAATTATAATTTTATTTCTACAACAAAGCTATTCAGTGGGGCTATTATGACGTCATTTACAAATCACGTCATATTGTGCAGAGCAGACATACATTTGACATAATGTCATAGTGTCTGTACACATTTTAGTGATTTACGTAATTTTCCTTTGTTTTCCACTCAAAAATAGCACAAGTACCTATATTTGACCTTCGACATGTGGCCTGTGACTTAATTCTGCCCTTACGCATGCGTCAAAATTTAATTCGAATTAGCTTCGCTTAGCGTTCACACGGAGCTAATGCGAAGTAATTTAATGCGCAGTAAACTAATTCGAATTAAACTAATTCGCATTAAATTCTCCGTGTGAACGCGGATCAAATTTAATTCGCAGTAACTTACGTTTAATTCGAATTAAACTCTCCGTGTGAACAGCGCATTACTGTTTCATGTACTACATGTAAATTTTCTGAATTTTTTCAGCTCCAAAACACAAAGGCCAGTGATGGTAAGACGACCTTGGTCCATTACTTAGCTAAGATTGTGGAGGAGAGGTACCCAGATCTGATTTCATTTACTGAGGAGCTGTCTTATGTAGAGAGGGCATGTAGAGGTACATGTACTTAGTAATATAAAATTACCCAGATCTGATATCATTTACTGAGGAGCTGTCTTATGTAGAGAGGGCAGGCAGAGGTACAAAATGATTTTATGAAAGTACTAAATCTGTTACCATTTTCTGAGAAGCCATATTACATGTATGTTAAGAGGGCAGGGGATAGTAAGAAACATAAGACAAAAGCATGTACATTGAGGTATTTTTTTTACACCATTATACAAATAAGAGTCAAGAAATATCCTTTAATTAAGAGTCAAGATTCTTGAATTTAAATACAGTCAAACCTCATTATCACAAACTCAGACCAAGAATAAACCGAGATTCAAGATATTGATGTTAAAATACATGAAGTAAAAATGGTAGTGATTTCCATCTCACTATGACTTATCCATGGTATTAGAGATATCAATGTTCAAGATATTGAAGTTCAACTGTATATACACTGTATATGTGTACATGTTTGAGAAATCTGTATTCTGTATACGAAGATGAAATATCACATGATATGAGGTTTAATACATGTAACTTTATTCTTGGAAATAAAACTGAGACATGCTAGAAGAATCAGTGTAAATTGGCTCTTTTTCCAGTGTCTGATGAGTTACTGCAGAAGAATCTGAAGTCCATGGAGAAGTCATTGAAGCAGCTGGAAATCGACATTAAGAATCTAAAGAAGACGCAGAATGAGGAGGATAAATTCTCTAGCGTAATGAATGAGTTTATATCCTCCGCCAACAGCCAGTACGAAGTCATGAAGGGCATGTACAAAATGGTGGACAATTTATACAAAGAAATGGGCAAATATTACACATTTGATGTCAAGAAGTATGCCATGGAGGAATTTTTCAATGATATTAAAGTGTTTAAGGAAACATTTGTGGTAAGATCTGTGACAGAAATGTGACTGAGTTGTATTTTATTGCCAATTCACAAAATGGTAATAGCATGTCCATTGTGATAATTGCAGCAAGCCTTTTTGGAATGCCCAATTTAAACCTCTAAGATAAATTTAAAACAATAGGCCAGAAATTAAATATGCACAGTATTTTATATACAGTACAACAGACCTGCCTACTCTCTTGTTTTACCCTTAATTTTTACAATTTTTGACCCTCAAATTATGCTCTATGATTTAAAGCATCTAGATCAAAAGTAGCTGTCCAGTGGACAGGCATTTGCATAAATGTCAACCAAAATTGAAGAGTAGGGTATTTTTTATATGAATTCACTTTTACTTTCCACATTGAAAGTAAAAACTCTTTTGCATAAAAAACAAATTGGTAGAAAACTACGGATTATAATTGAGGTAAGCAGGTCTGAGTACGTTTGTACTTAATACAAAGTATAGCATAATGTACTTATACATTTGTATGTACATCAAAGTTAATCATGTAATATGTTGTCACCAACAAGATTCATGTAGGTGTAAGAAATGTCCCATCTTATTCTAACAAAGTGCAATTTGTTATTAGCAAGCACTGAAGGACAACGCAAAGATTCGTGAAACAAATGAGAAAATAAGGCGAGCTAAAGAGGCCAAAGAACGACAGCAAAAGGAGAGGGAAGCCAAACTAGCCAGGAAGAAAGCTCTTGTTGATATGACTATAGGTACATCAACTGTTTATAACCCATTGTGATGATAGGTTTACCAATAGGTGTTTTAGAATTTCTTGAACAATTATGCTTATTTACTGTGGTTAAGTGACTTTTTATTTGAAAATATTAGAATTTTTTTAAATTTTATTTTTGTGCTTTATAGCATTTTATTAAGTACATTATCAGCTGTTTTTTTATGTTTTGCAGATGATGACCAAGAAGGTGTGATGGATAATTTACTGGAAGCCCTTAAAACGGGATCTTGTTTTAATCGAGAGAAACGGGATGCTAAACGAAAAACACCACGGGCAGCTGGAGGTAACAAACTAAATCCCCCCTCTCTCCCCTGGTTACATGAGAAACATCAGGAATATGATGAAAAATATACCAATTTGCAATTCTTATTCTATGTGTAAACATGTATGTTACACATTTTTCATTCAGCAAAGTATAAACTTGCTTCGTCAAGAGAAATTGTCAGCTTTTATTCAGATCCCACAGGTAACTGTAGAGGGGAAGGGTAAATCTCAGGATTTCAGTTGTAACTGCTTTCAAGATAATTTGTCAAAGGTTTCATTTTTTGGTGACTTCTTTCTTTCAGGATGTTAGTAAACTATTATTTCAGAGGTTTAAGGTTATTAGTTTATTATATTTGTTTGCATCTTTATAGCCAAAGGACAAAATAATTTGCCAGCCCGGAGGTGACCTGGATAAGGGTATCACCCTCTTAAATAATGACTCCTCCCTCTCCATTTCCTTGTTTGGAATGCTTCTGTTTCATTTATATAAGGCATTATTATATACTGTAAACCAACTTTCTCTTCAGTGGGTGTGGAATTTTAGAAAACAGTGTATCATAAAAGTTTGCATAATGAAATTGCAATAGGTATTAACCAAAGTTTGTTTACAGTAACATACATACCATATTTCTTATGATCTCTACAATTTAATACTGTAAACCTACAATTATTCGCATCATCTTTTATTCGTGATTCGTTATTTTCAAATCAATCCGCAACAATTAATTTTCGCGACTGAAGAAACATTCTCTCTAAATAGAAAGCAAAATAAATGGTTTGCGGCAATTAATATTCGAGTTAAAGCAGGTCGAGAAACTCGCAGATATTTCTCGCACATGAATAAAAGTTGGTTTACAGTACATGTACATAGGTAATGTATGTTTACCAAATCTCAGTTGTTCAGAGAGTGCAATATACATGTATTATGCTGTAAATTTTTTTGATGTATGTACATGTACTTCACATACAGTGTACATTAAAGTTTGGCCAAATATTATTTGCATGCCTTGCTTTGGAACTAAATTATAGCATAAAGAACTTTTAATGTTTTTGATGTAATCAGTTCTTTATACATGTTCACAGACATGTAGAAAAATATTTCTCCAGTTTTAGTCCACTGTGATTGGAGCCCTTTGGAATATCAGTATGTGCTTTTAAGCCTGGTTGAAACTGCTTTGTTTTTATATTTCAATTTTTGAAGACCATGGAAATTAGGAGTACATGTAAAAGACACAAAAAATTGATTAATTTGCTTTGTAAATTTGGGAGATGGTTGCTTTTCAAGGAATTTTACTATGATGAATATGACATTATGATATTTTCCCTTTGCTAACAGACAGGTTTGCCAACATGACCCGGTCTCGAGTCTGGCACAAACCCATGTACAGCAGTGACAGCGGCAGTGATAATGTGTTTGGTGCAGAACCAAAACCAATGACCCAGTCTTATTGGTTGGTCATGCTTGCTGTGTCCTGCATGATGTCGGCCTGATTTAGTTTAATGTATATTCTGTTAAATTTTATTTGACACAAAATGATGCTTGTTTTAAGTTGCATAGACATGATACATGAGGTCAGATCTCAAACACACAACAAATTTACTTCCTTTTCACCTACAAGAATTTTCAGATTCAATGAGTATCGAGATGTGACTCTTTTATTTATTTTCTTTCCTTATATAATTTATGATACCATGTTCATTCCTTAAAAATCCCTTGGTTTTATTAAGAGGTAGTGACCTTGCTTTTGTCATAATGCATTTATTTTATCCCTGTGTTTAATATTTTCAGTTTATTCAGGTTTAATTATTTGACATTGGTCATCTTATGTATACATGTGGATGCTTTTTTTGTCACAGTTATGTTAAATGTCTTCTATCCATCAGACCTGTCCAATACTTTGAGCAGTCTTACTGTTTTGCTTCCTAGTTTTATATTTGATACCAGTGAAGTCGTGTAGAGGATTTATTTTACAGCATGATGTTGTAGAAGCCTGTGTAACTGCATTTTCTATTGTCTGCCACTGTATAATGATTGCTGAGTTAGTTGTATAATATGATTATCATTGGGTTTTTTCCATACAGTACAATACTTTAAGCATGCTCTTGCTTTTTGATTGAAGGACATGATAAGATATATCTGACCCTGTAAATCAAACAATATGTACAATAAAATAATTTGATCTTTAATAATTTGTTATCAGCATTTAATTATTCTTTGTAATGTAAAAGAGAATTTCAGTGTCATGTAGATATTATTAATTTTTCATTTGATAATTTCTTACAAGTTTTAAGTTTTTAACATTGCATTCTAAAAGTTTAATTTTTTTAATCTCTTGCAGCTGAAAGAAGGGCCCAGTTATCCAGGTCAAGATCACGACAGAATTTACTCAACATGGACAATTCTACAATGATGGAGATAAACTTTGATGACTCTTCTGTAGACACTCCACCTCGGCCCCCCAGGGTTAACCATGAGAAGCGGGAGGCTCGTCGTGAATTAGACATGAGGAGTAGCTTAGTGAAGAAGGACTTTAACGACAATGAAGAGAGGAGGCGTAATAGCCATCAAAAAGATCTTAATGACTACGAAGAGAGGAGGCGTAATAGTCGTCAGAAAGATCTTAATGACAATGGGGAGAGGAGAAGAAATAGTTGTCAGGAGGAGGGTAGTAGGGGGACAAGTCGTGAAGAAAAACAACGCAGCAGTCTTACTGATAACGTAATGTCAGAGGCAGAAAAAATATTAGCAAGACTTAAAGACCTCTAGTAGTTACGGCTTTTTCTATGGTATATAACAATGTATAGTGTATGCTGTTTACTCCAAAATTATTGTAAATTTGTGAATGTGTGGTAGATAAAATGCCTTTTACACTTCAATACGCAGAAAGATTTTATTGCCCAATGTTTGTGAGGATCTGTGCCTACTTCACTTAAAATTGTGTTATAAATGCAGCTAATTTACCCACAACACTGAGTGTTGGAAAGATCCTGTGCCATTTGTGGGCTCGGATAAAAAGGGTATACACCTTATTTTTTAATATGCTTTTCTATTGTGTCAGTAATGGCTCTGGGTTATATTTTCCATGTATGTGCCAAATGTGTTGTGATTTAAAACCTATAAGTCAATTGCCCTGTATATTTTTCTCTTTCACTTAAAAAAATATTAATTATTCAAACATCTTTTTCTGAACTTTCAATTTAACACTTTGTTTTCTTCCTTATTTCCTTTGATTTTTTCTTTGTAATTTTCATTAATGCAAGACCACTGTGCCTAGTCTATTTTTCAGTGAAATGATAAGTTATGCTTTCTGAATATTTCATGGCATTAATATTTACAATTATTTTTTGTATATAGAAAAACTGCAAAAGTGATTTTTTTTTCTTTTTTACATTGGGCTTAAGTATATGTTTTGATAGACAAATATTATGGGTTTAAGATATGCTTTCATGTGTTTTATGATAACAATAATTCCGGAAAATTAATTATAGCCATACCTTTGAAAGATTTTTACATATCTTAAAGCTAACCATGTAACTAACAAATTTCCCCAAACATTTAGAAACACTTCTATAGAAATGGTGTTTTTTGTTGGTTTTGTTTTGTTTTTGTTTTTTTTTTTTGCACACACAGACATAAACCTTTGAATGTTGTGTACAAATACATCCAAAATACATTTATATGAGGTAGATAAACTGTATGTATACATGTATGTCCCAGGTAGGAGAACTGTGTAGATAATTCTTACCCAGTTAAGTCATGTTATCTGAGATAGATAATTCTGTACATATGTGTGTATATTGCCCAGTTTAGTCTGGTTATCTGTGATATATATAAATGGTCCTTGTCATGGTCTGGAAGGAATCCTCGGCTACTCGGGATACAGGGGACCAATGGGCTGAATAATCAGGATAATTCACTCATCACAAACATTTCACTTATTAAATATAATCATCACATAATCACATTCCATTCTATCTTTCATTAATGTCTACTAATGTGTAAGAATATGACATTATTATAGAAAAGGAATTTGTATTTTAAGATGCAGTCTTCAAGAAGACAAAAGCACAACAAATGTTATTTTTTGGATTTACCATGACATGAAAATTTTTTCACTACAAGTGTAAGAATTGTTAAAAGATAATCTGTGAGTATTGTTCCTTTATTTTGGTCATATTATAATCGGGATATAGATCTGATGCAGGATAAGAGAAAGCTTTCCAAGTGCAATACTTCTTTGTTTCACTTGTTATTGTGTTTCTTGTTTATTGGTTAAATTTTCTGCCAGGATGTGTTCATTTGTTTTGTGTCTGAGCACAGTATGCCAAAAAAAAAAAGAAACAACTCTCAAAAGCATTCCACTCCACTGTTTCATTATTTATGCTGAGCAAATTTTGTACACATTTTTTATATGTTGTTCACTGTTTATATAATGACAAGCAGCACTATAAATGTAGCAAAATTTTAAAATTCCATTGACAAGTAATTAGATGCTAGTGTAGTGAATAATGAATGTGCCTCCAACAAGAGGAATTTCTCAGAATATTTAGATCAGTCTCACCATCTAAGATAAAACTCTTGTGTAATACCTTTGAATGTCTTTGTTCAACACAAGCATTTTTAAGTAAGAGATGTAGATGTTATATGTGGAATGCCTCTCACCAAAGATACTGTAACTAATTTTACATATGTGCAAGTACAGAATTTATATAGGCATAGACTAGCTGGAAGCTTGGGTAAATTGCTCTCTTAGAAAATGCTAGTATTTAATGATATTGACACTTTATATACATGTATGAATCTCTTACAACTACATCTTTGCTCCAAATGTTTGTCCATGAATGTAATCTTGTTTACACAAGTAATAAAGTGTTCATTAACTTCAAATGAATTCGCCTCTGTTAAAATGTACTAGATGTTACTTCTCCTTTATCTTTCGTCTACCCAAGAATCAGTCAATAATTTTTTTAAGTAGTGAAACTGTTCTACTAGTATATGGTGTTTTTCCCCAGTGTTTTATTTTTTGGGGTGGGGGTGTATTTAGGTGTTCTTGCTGCCATGTCTCTTTTGTTGGAGAATAGATTTTAGTTCAGTTCTTTATTAATTTATAGAGTTTGTGGGTTTATGTCATTTTTATTTCTTTCCACACTGAAGAGACCGTAGAAAAAAGTACATGTAGTTTTACAAAAAGTCATAGTTCATCCTAGGTTGTGCTCCATTGGATAGTGCCTACAACACAATACTACAGACATAGCTCATATATCTACTACTGAACAACATAAGTACCTACCACTATACAATATACTAAAGACAGCTAAAAAATCAACTATTGAACAACAGTAAAGACAGAAGCTGCCACTGTATAATACTGCAGATTTATTGTACCTCACACTACACTATAATAGACTAGTAAGAACAGATACAAATATCTAATGCTGAGTACAGATATAGTACCTACCACTGTACAATGCTGCTTACTTGTGTATTATTACTACATATTTATTGTACCTGATGCTGTACAATACTGCAGATGTAGTATATGTGCATATGGCATCATACAATACTGCAGACATTGGATATGCCATTGTACAATACTGCATACATAGCAAAATGTGTATGTAATTATGCAATACTGCAAAAATTCACACAATTCTGAAGTATTAAGGAATTGACAGCTATAGAACTGGCATCCTTGTAAAGCAGCTTATTAATGTTAATGCTTTTGTTTTTGTACTACCTGTAAGTTATTGTACAATATTACAAAATGAAATATTAAAAGTATACAAAAGGTATTGTCTTGTAATCTTTGTTTATTTGAGGTTGTTACCCTCTCTAGAAAAACAGTTGATCACTTTCTACTTTGGGAACTATCATATGACCCTCTAAAATCTAATGGTAACCCCACAGTAATCACAGTCAGTTCATCCATTTACAAATTCCCCATTTTTGTCAAACAAGAGGCCCATGGGCCACAACGCTCACCTGAGTAACTGGCCTTGCTGTTTTTCACCTGAATTCCTCCTTGTAGTACCTATTCTGGCCCCGCCCTACCCCCAGGGGTCATGATTCAAACAATTTAGAATCTACACTACCACAGGATGCTGCCACATAAATTTCAGCCTTTCTGGCCCAGTGGTTCTTGAGAGGAAGATTTTTAAAGATTTTTTCTACATACAATGTATTTCAATGCAAAACTTGGATTCCCAATTGTGGCCCTGCCCTACCCCCGGGGGTCATAGTTTGAACAATTTAGAATCTACACTACCCCAGAATGCTTCCACATAAGTTTCAGCTTTTCTGGCCCAGTGGTTCTTGAGAAGAAGATTTTTAAAGATTTTTACTTCATATTTCAATGTAAAACTTGGATTCCCTGTTGTGGCCCCACCCTATTCCCGGAGGTCATGATTTGGACAATTTAAAATCTACACTACCCCAGAATGCTTCCACATAAGTTTCAGCTTTTCTGGCCCAGTGGTTCTTGAGAAGAAGATTTTTAAAGATTTTTACTACAAATTTCAATGTAAAACTTGGATTCCCTATTGTGGCCCCCTCCCTACCCCCGGGGGTCATAATTACAACAATTTAGAATCTACACTACCCCAGAATGCTTCCACATAAGTTTCAGCCTTTTTTGGCCCAGTGGTTCTTGAGAAGAAGATTTTTAAAGATTTTTTCTACATATTTCAATGAAAAACTTGGATTCAATATTGTGGCCCCCGCCCTACTCCCGGGGGTCATAATTGGAACAATTTAGAATCTACACTACCCCAGAATGCTTCCACATAAGTTTCAGCCTTTTTTAGCCAAGTGGTTCTTGAGAAGATTTTTTTAATGACTCCACCCAATTTTTGTCTTTTCTTGATTATCTCCCCTTTGAAAGGGGCTTGGCCCTTCATTTTAACAATTTAAACTCCCCTTTACCTAAGGATGCTTTGTACCAAGTTTGGTTAAAATTGGCCCAGTGGTTCTTGAGAAGAAGTTGAAAATGTGAAAAGTTTACAGACAGACTGACGATGGACAATGGGTGATCAGAATTAATTATCCTACCATACATGCCGTAGAAGATCTTGTTTTGTCTTATGTAATTAATATATATTCATTCACATACTGTATTCACTGAATATTCACTTCTGAATCGGTTGAAATACACTTTTTTTAGTTAATCTATTCCATGTTATTGAGACTAAATCATGATTGTTAAGTAAAGTTTTTGTTTGGGGTGTCCATTCTATACATTATTACTGTGCTAACTCCTCAAACAATCCATTATGTCACATATAAGTGACCGTTCTTTTTGAAAAACTCCATTCTTTTTCAGTTTTTTTTGCAGTCATATTTAAACTGGGTTTTTCTACTTCATACAAAAATTGCTGATGACCTGAAGGTGACCTTGATGCAAGGTCATTTGATCAAGTTTAAGGTCACTTTTAGAAGAAGTGCTAACCACATCTTGTAATGGAAGAACATTGAAAGCTCATACTTGATACAAAGATTGCTTATAACCTAAGGTTGTGTCATAACACAAAGCTTGTAACTTAAGGGTCTGTATAATCCTGATGAAGATCCAAGATCTTAACTTTTTAATTTAAAAGTATTGAAAGTTTATCTTCACAAAGGTGTGACCGTTCACGGTAGCTCAGTCGGTAGAGCGCTCGCTCCGTGATCGGGAGGTCGTGAGTTCGAATCTCGGCCGCGACAGACCTAAGTCGAGAAAAAATAGGTAGCAACTGTTCCTTCGCCATGCGCTCAGCACTTTGAAGTGAAAGTTGCGGGTCCTTCGGATGAGACCTTAAAAACCGAGGCCCCATGTCACGGCAGGCGTTGGCACGATAAAGATCCCTCACTGCTCAATGGCCCTGAGTGCCGAGTAAAGGTCAAAATTTGAAGCCCTTCACCGGTATATGGTGACGTCTCTATATGAGTGAAAAATTCTCGAATGGGACGTAAAACAATATACAATCAATCAATCAATCAAAAAGGTGTGTCATGACCTTTGACCCAAGGTCATCCTGGTAAGTTCAAGGTCAACGAAAAGTGTAAAATTCATACCAGATCCACAACTTTTCAATGGAGAAATATTGGAAGTGCATACTTTACATAGTTTATTAACCACCAGAAGATGTCATTTTCTTGAATCAAGGTCACTTTGGCAAATTCAAGGTCATTTCATTGAAAAATGTATATCAGCACTATTTAAAAATGGGGGGGGGGGTATAATTTTGTGAGCTTACTCACAGTACCTCTAGTTTAGTGCTGCCAAAGCTACCAAAAATTGAATAATTATGTAAAAACTTCAGTTTTACATGTACATGATGTATTTGATATTTCAACAAAATTTGGTGCAAATTTGAACAAGAGGCCCAAGGGCCTTAACGGTCACCTGAGAATAATACAACAATTTAGAGGATACATAGAGTATAAAATGAACTGAAAGGTGAAGCTTTGTTGCCCAAAAGCAAGAAAAATTGGGTGAACAGGATCAACAAAATAATTAGTCTAGTACTATTTTAATTCCTGTTGAAATCTCTTACATTGGCTTCTCTTGGTCTTTGATGAACATTTTAAAAGACAAGCTATTTTTGTCTCATTTTTATTTATCTATTACTTACAAGTATACCTGATCATTAAAACTACGAAAGTACTTTTTGTATTATACAATAAAAATTCTTGCATAATTCTCTTATTCTATTAACCTTTCAAGTACATTATTTACAGTGATTAATTATCAAAAGTAAATGGCAAACGGGAATAACTCGTCTCAGTAGAATACAAATTAATAGAGCCCTGGCCAGGACCAGAACACTTGACCAAATGGTCCAGATGTTCAAAAATCTGGTAAAAATACTCTTCCTTATTAAAACTTTTACTCTTTTTGCCTCTGATATGCCCAGGTGCAGAGAAGATTTTTAAAGAAATAATGCATTTTTATTACAGTTTCACTATATTATCAATAGAGCTCCCCCCCCCCCCCTCCCCAGTGAGAAACACCAGATCCTCTCACCCTGGGACCAGAAGTTTGCTTATCATAAGTAATCACTTTATTTATCTGCTTAACACTAGACAGGATTATTTAATAGAATTAATGCATTTTCACTGTATTATCAAGAGCCCCACCCTTACACCAGCACATCTGACCCAGGGGTCATGCAATTCACTACTCTGGAAGAAGCACTCTTGCTCATCATAACTATACACTTAGCTTCTTTGCCTTTTAACCAGGAGCAGAAAAGAATATTTTCAAAGAAATTTTGCTTTTTCACTATATAACCAAAAGAGCCCCCCCCCCCCCCCTTTTCACCAGAACCCTTGACCCTGGGGTCATGAAATTCATAATTTTGGAAGAAGCATCCTTGCGTATCATAACAATGTACTTAATTTGTTAAAATAATACCCAGGGGCAGAGAAAGAGATTTTCAAAGAAATAATGCACTTTCACTATAGGATCTATATAGCCCCACCCTAGCACCAGAACCCCTGACCCTGGGGCTATGAATTTCACAATTTTGGTAGAGTCACTCTTGCTTATCATAACTATGTATTTAATTTGTTTAAATAATACCCAGGAGTAGAGAAGAAGATTTTCAAAGAAAAATTCATCTTCACTATAGGATCTATATAGCTCCACCCTAACACCAGAACCCCTGATCCTTGGGCCATGAATTTCACAATTTTCGAAGAGGCATTCTTGCTTATCATAACTATGTATTTAATTTGTTTAAATAATACCCAGGAGTATAGAAGAAGATTTTCAAAGAAATAATGCACTTTCACTATATGATCTATATAGCCCCACCCTAGCACCAAAACCTCTGACCCTGGGGCTATGAATTTCACAATTTTGGTAGAGTCACCCTTGCTTTTCACAACTATGTATTTAATTTGTTTCAATAATACCCAGTAGTAGAGAAGAAGATTTTCAAAGAAATAATGCACTTTCACTAAATGATCTATATAGCCCCGCCCTAGCACCAGAACCCCTGACCCTGGGGCCATGAATTTCACAATTTTGGTAGAGGGCTCAATGCTTTTCACAATCATGCCAACAGTTTGACTGCTTGATGCCCAGGAGTAAAGAAGATTTTTAAAGATAGCACTAATTTTGATGGTTTTAGCCCCACCCCTCAGGCCCCAGGGGGGCAGGGACCATGAAATTCATAATTTTTGTACCCCTTCACCCATTGATGCTATATGCCAAAATTGGTTGAAATTGGTTCAGTGGTTCAAGAGAAGAAGCTGAAAATGTTCAAAAGTTTACGACCAACGGACGACTGACGACGACGGACGAAAACAGATAGCAATAGGTCACCTGAGTGACTCAGGTGACCTAAAAAAACCATTAGGATACACAATTTTGTAAAATTAAATTTTAAAAATGTTTTACATGCTACTTACTCTTGAAGTACATGTAAACCTGATGTACAGTCTCATCAGAGAACTCTGGCACAAAATTATCCAACTATGGTTTAAAAAAAGCAACTCGGTCATGGAATAATTCTCATTTATTGCCAAGCATATTGAAACAGAAGCAGCTATAAATATTCTTTTGGAAGATTGATAATTATTTGTCAAGGAAGAGAATACTCATGCCTCTTTTATTCTTATTTTTCTATTCAAAAAAAGAAAAAAAGGAATGTACATTTGTATTAATACATGTAAAAAGAATTGGAAGTGCAAATGAATAATTTAATTGGAATCTCAATACTCTTGGACCCAAAGGTTTCATAGTGTCATTAATATAAATATGAACACTTTCTGAAACATCCACCAAAAATAACTTTATATTGTACGTGTACATAAATCCCATCAAGGTTGATTATGAGGTTTAACTGTGAAGTATACTTATAAAACTGTATACAAAAGCCCAAATGTCAGTATTTCAACAGTTTTTACTGAATTTTAAACAATCTAAACTCTTACAAACAATTAGCAACTATACTGTGAATTCAGTGTGATGTAAAACTAGCAAAATTCTACAAATAGTGTAGATTATAAACATATATGACTAGTCTGGCCTCTTTTACTGATTATACCTGAGTGATAGGCTTTAAATAGGTTAGTTACAATACATGTATTTAGGAATTCTACAGCACATCTTGTTATAGGGATACCTCGACTGATCTACAGGCATTACAATCCCTTACAATGATTGGTTAAATTCTAAAAACCTTTTCTTGTTACTGATATTATAAAGGAATATAATCATGGTATATTATCTATATATGTAGTGAGAAATTATAAAATGTTACAAAAACATCGTTTTCACCATAAATAAGACTTTATACCACTGACCAAATCACAGACAATTTAGAGTATTGTGAGTGAGAGCATGAAGAAAATAAGTCCAGTATATAATAACAAGAAAAGAAATTGTAAAGCATCAAGCTTAAGGGGTTACTAACAAAAATGTCACATAAATGAATATATCACAATTCATAAACAGTGATGCTACCATTACTTTCGGCTGAAAGTTTCTTGAAATGCAAAGATCCTGAAATACAAGATTTCACTTCAATCAAAAGTGGAGAGATTATGTTTGTGTTTACAAATACATGTGATATACCAAATAAAAGACTTTCTCCATTAATCCATTATAATTACATGGAAATATATATATAAAAAAAAGAAATGTACAAAGTACATGTATCTGCACTATGTCTAATATCACTTCATATGCACACAGAGCATCAAAGCATAAAATCATGCTGCATATCTCCGAAACTGTAAACTTGCATACATCTTTCTAAAAATAGAATCTACAACAAAACTTATAACAATTCAGATATCTATAACAGTATAACAGCTGCAATTATATCAAGAGCTATAAATCTAGGAATGATGCATAATGGGAAACATTTACAAATTTCCAAACGATGGACGGACAACCAGTTTATGCAGAACTACGCTGATGTTTGATATAAAGCATAAACTGAAAACAAGATGGAACACACATTTAATGGAAAGTCAACATTTCATCTGAATTTTCTACTGTTGAATTTTCCAAAATACTAGTAATTACCACTCCATTAAGTTTTCATTTTAAATTTTATTCTGTTTCTTTACAAACTAAAAGCACTCAAAAATAGCACCTGCATGATATGAAACAATATATACATGTAATAACTTCTTCAATAGCTCTCAATTGATATAATGTCGATAAAAATAATTTTCATCATTGATGAAACTTTCTGTCATACAATAAATTATAAATATAAAATCAAATAAGACCCCGCTATTTCTTATAATTATAAATTTTTGAACAGATATTTACTGAATTGCAGAAAATTTTGTCAAATGCCCCATTTCATGTTCTTAGATGAAAATAAACTGAATAAAAAAATAACATCGATTATTTACCAAATTGCTAAAAACTGATTAAAATGATTTTTTATCTTTTGAGACATTAATTACAAACAAATAATCCTAAATTTGGTAGCCATCAAAAAAGAGGTCTGTAATCATTTCTCAGCTGGGCAGGCTTTGTTAATGGAAAAACTTGGCAAACAGCAACAAGTCTAAGACTTAATTCACAGACCCTCTCCAATAAATGTTAAATCTGATATATAATTAATAATAACTGAAATTCTTCATAAAACAAGCACACAGACTAGAAAAAAGAACACAGATTTTGTGGTGACCACCATATAGTACCACAGTTTAGCTCTTAGGTAACTTATTATAGCAACTACTCACTGTTTTATAGAATCATAGTTGACCACACATATAACATTTCATAATAACCACTGATAGCTACATAATTAGAACAGAACTTTGGTGTATTTTAATAGTAACTGTAAGTGGTTACAGCTGTAAAGTATCAGTTTATTACTTAGGTTACTTTTTCGTTTTTGGTATTAATATTTGTACTGTACTAAGTTTACCTCTTGTGTAGCTCTGTAGTATCTAGTTATAGGGGACAGTACCAAAGCTTATCACTTACTTATATGTGCTAAAAATAATATAATCTTATATGTACCGATAAAATATTAACAAAACAAAACCAACAAATATATGATTTAACCTAATCCAATTAAACTTCTATAAACATAAATACATGTATATGCTCCCAGATACAAAGAAAAAACCAAACAAAATAAGGATAAAATCAATGATTTGTAATGGAAGACATGAAGATGGCCTCCGATCTGATCTCAGCCTCCTGCGTGGCTCTGATATATATATATATATAAAAAATCCTCCTGCATGGCTGAGATATCTATGATGTACATCAACAATCCTCCTGCATGGCCATGATATCTATTGGACCAGGTTTTCTGCGCACAGCCTTCACCTCCCCGTCACCTGTATACAGATCAACATATCAAAAAAACCGACTTCAAATTAAGTGTAATTCTGGTATATAGGAATGTTGTAAAGAGTTAATTTGCTACTACATGTACACATCTGTTCCAGACAGAAGAGTATGTGTATATCATGAAATAAAACTTTCATCAAATGCCGATGAAATTCATTATTTACACAAATAACTGCTTTAGAAGATTTTTCATTTCATTCACAGTACATCTTTTTTCCTGACTTTACCTCCTGGTCTTGGATTTCTTTTCCGGCGTGCTGTGTTAAAAGCTGATCCAGTCTTTAATGCGTCCAACAGATTGTCCATTGCTCCCTTCAAGTCATCATCTGGAATCAAGCATTCAAGAACTTACACATTTGTTTTACCGGTATATTTGACTATGCATACACTTTTGGTTTTTGTCACATTACATTCCTTGATTTCCCATTTATAACTTTCTGTGGGATTATAAGGAACACGTACCCTTTGGACCAAGTCCTCTGGTCGGAATCTTCTTGCCCTGAATTTCTCCTTCTGAAATGAGATGACTCTAGAGTTAATTTACAAGTACATGTACAGAAAACTTTACATACTGTATATTATTTACTTTTTAAATACACATACAAGTTTTGCAATATTTTTTAACATTTCCACTAGTCCTACAGTATATCTACCAATTCTAAACATCCAGAAAATAAGAGGATGACAATATCTTAATCCTGTTAACATTACCTTTGCGAGCAGCCATTCTTTCTTCCTTTTCTTTCTGAGCACGTTCCTTTGCCTCTTTCGCACGTTGTAGTTTAGCATTGGTCTCCCTTTGTTTAGCATTATCTTTAAGAGCTTGCTAAAATCCAAAATAAAATTTTTATTCTACTTGTTGATTTTCACTGGTTAATTATTTCTTCTAGCTGTGATTTATTTTGATAATCTAATAATGACCCATAGTTATTAATGAATAATTGCACAACAACCTACAAGAGATGCGAGTGAAGAATAAATTTCAACAGACCCTAAAGCTGTCTTGAAAGATTTTGATGTCCCCAAAGAATTCCTCCATGGTGTATTTCTTTATGTCAAAACAATAATATTTGCTCATATCTTCATACAAACTCATCATTTTATTGGACATGTTGGTCATCACTTCATACTGTTGCTTAGCTTCCTCTAGGAAACCGTGACATTGTCAAGGATACAAGGAATATTTAGAAATGAAATTGAACATGGTGACAAGGTGATTTAATGATTTATAACACATATGATAGTTGAAATGAAGCATACATTTTCCTAAATGAAAGTTATTTTGTATTAATTAATTCATATAACACATCCACATGTTTCATGTGATACTGATTGCATATAAATAAAAGATCTGACAACTACTAAAATTAAAATAAACTAATGAATATGTATTTAATGTTTGAGAGAACCAGAACAAAGGATATCTCCATAACCTCTGGAAACTTGTCCCCTTCCATTGGGGATTTCTTACAATTGTCCAGATCTCCCTTCACTTGCTTCAAAGACTTCTCCATGGAGCGGAAGTTTCCTTGTATCGTCTCATCAGATACTAAAATCAAGAGTATGGTTAGTTAATTTTAGTTAATTTTAACTAAATATAATCTGTAGGAAAAGTGGAACACATTCCACCAATGCTAAATAGGTCATTATATTTGACACTTATAGATCAGGGGCCCGTTTTACAAAAGAACTTGCGACTAAGACCAAAATTGAATTCTGCTTATAACTTTCTAATTAACATTAAATTAAAATGGTTTTATTATTTTTAAAAGGAATGTAGTAAGATATTTTTATTCTTTCAATTTTGAACAGAATCATTACTTTTGCAGAATTTTATGATCAACGAATGTTTTTGGTCTTAGTCGTAAGTTCTTTTGTAAAACGGGCCCCTGGAGCTTAAATTTTCATGTGCTATACACCTGAATTTTTGACATTCTTTAATTTCCATCATTTAAAACAAGGTACATGCATATACTGACATTTTTATTGTACAGTAGAATTTAATACGTAATTTAAATTAAATTAAAGAAATGACACTTCAGTCCCCTCACCTTTTGAGGCCTTCTCTAGGTAAGTGAAATCATCCTTGAACTGTACGAGATCTGGGTGTTTTTCCTCAATTATACTGACCAGAAAGTGGACTAGTGTGGACTTATTGTCCTGTGTTTTGGTATTCTTCAACTACAAGTAAATGTATACACAAATAAAAAAATAAGATGTTAAATGTATCTGAAAAGCTGCTAATTCTAGTGCTATCTCAAATTAAATCAAACGACCTACTTTACTGAGAAAGCTGATGTCAAATCCGAGAGATTGAGCATTTCTAGAGCCTGAGTTGAGATAATTTCCAATCATTAAGATAAGTTCTAGGATATGAGCAAACTTTTTGTTGGTCTTTATTTCTTCTAAAGCTACTGTTGCTGCCATTAAATCCTAAAATAAAAATAAAATAGGTACATGAATACACTGTATCTATAAATTACAGCCTGTTTTGCAGTCTTAAACAATTCATCTAAAGTAATCTAAACCTGTTTGTGTAAATACACATATTATAAGGATGTACAGAATGTAAAAGGTGAAAACAATGAACAGTGATCAATCTCATAAATCTGGTTAAGAATACAAATCGTGAACAAGGCAAAAACACAGACCCATGAAAACACCAGAGGTGGGATAAGGAGGAGTAAGCATCCCTTAGGCTACATGTACATCACTGATCATAATATTGAATATACAAAGTTTTATTAAGGGACTGGTGTCCATTTTAATTGTAATATGTATTAAAACAGTAAAATTTTACTTAATTCACTTCATTTATATACAAATAAAACAAGATGTGTTTGTGAAACACTGATGCCCCCGTATGGCAACTTAAAGCAAAGGTTAAACTTTCTCAAATGCAAATCAAATATGTTGGTACCCAAAGTAAGGTCTTGTCTCCAGGAATAAACCTGTGAAATATGAAAGGCCTAGCAGCAACCATTGAATAGATATGGAAAAGGTTAAAGTTTTTTATCAAAAGTATGTCAAACGTCAAGGTCAAAGTCAAATGGTCAAAATTAATGGTGCCAAAGGAAAGGCCTTCTCCCAAGAAATACACATGTGAAGTATAAAATCCCTAGCACCAACCGTTCAAAAGTTATGGCCAAGGTTAAAGTTTTCCAAAAGTAGGTTAAACTCCAAGGTCAAAGGGTCAAAGCTGTTGGTATCCAAAGAAAGGTTTTGTCACAAGGATTACATATGTGAAGTATAAAATCCCTAGCACCAACCGTTCAAAAGTTATGGCCAAGGTTAAAGTTTTCCAAAAGTAGGTTAAACTCCAAGGGCAAGGTCAAAGGGTCAAAGTTGTTGGTATCCAAAGGAAGGTCTTGTCACAAGGATTACACATGTGAAGTATGAAACCCCTAGCACCAACCGTTCAAAAGTTATTGCCAAGGTTAAAGTTTGGTAAAATTTTGCAAAACTGGGTCAAACTCCAAGGTCAAAGGGTCATATTGGTGGTACCCAAGGAAAGGTCTTGTCATAATGAACACTCATGTCAAATATTTAAGCCTTATCCTTGACAATGCAATAGTTATGAGCTAGGTTAAAGTTGACAATAGACAGACAAACAGACAGACAGGACAAAAACAATATACCCCCAGGATTTTTTGATCCGGGGGCATAAAAATAATAAATAGACAGCTTGTTATCATTATCACAGAGAATACCCCATTTGTAAGATTTACAATGATTAAGAAGGGAGGTGCACATCTTCAGTAAATTTGATGTGTGAAATAATTGTGGAACATTTGAATATAAACATGCATTTCTTAATAACTTAGATGGACTAACTGATATAGTCGGACTTTGATTTACTAACCCCATGTGTACCACTGGTCACATAATCCAGTTAAAAAAAACCACCTTCATGTCATGACATTATACCTGAACAGCTTATTATATCTTAACTGATAAATACATATCTAGGTGTGTGTATTCCATTTGTGTGTGCATACCACTACAATTACAATTCAACTTCACATAAAGGACTATTAGTACTAAATAAATAAAGGTACATAAAATAAGTTTGGGCATACGACTCTCATATGATAAAACAAATAGAATACCAACAGCGTGAACACAATGTATTTGCAAAATTTGCACTTTAAAATTTTTAGTAACAAATGTTAACACGGGTACGTGCATTAAGAAAAGTTTTAAAAGTCTCAAAAATTTGAAATCAATGCCCAAACATACACTGTACATGTATTTGTTAATGGTTCTTACAATAATGTACATGTCATTTCATTTGTTATCATAAACTCCTCTTTCTAGCATGCCTATAATATTTCTACTTAATATACAATATGGTACATACACGTAAAACAATATGTGTTACATTAATTTGACTTAATTTATTTACTCACTGACAACCTGCAAAACAAAAATACAATTTTTTTTCCCAATACATTCACGTACCGGTAGATATTTTTTCACACTAATATGTATTTAAGTAGAAACTTGAAAAATTCAGTTTCATATAATTAATTCCAATACTTGTAACTGGTATTAACACAATAATAAAGAAGATACCAACTATAAAGTTTTCCCAAGTTTTCATAAACTAGCAAATTCTGACAAATCAAGTTAGAACAGGCACATAAATAATAGAAATTTTACAATCCTCTTTCTAAAATAAAATATTTGTATTTTGAGCTGGGCACAGTTTGAATGGAAATTTTATATTTTCATTAGAATACATGTACATTTGTTTTTCCATTTCTTACCTACATGTACATGTATATGTATAATAACATAGTAAGATAATGTAGAAGTGTAAATGTACATGCAAATTATATATGTATATACATGTACACTTACATTTAATTTCACAAAGATAAATGCCAAACATTATTAAATCAATCAAAAAAATATACATTAAAAATAAATGTCAATACCGGTTTGATTCCATCCACCAGCTCACTGAATGTCATCATAAACAGTACAGATTGGAGACGAGGCTTGATTCTCTTGATGTCTGATATCTGCAAAAAAATTATTATCATTAGTATACTTTAAATCTGGGTGTTGATCAGCATAGTAAATCACTAAATGAAACATTTTTTCATTAATTTATTTCTTTAAGTGAAGTGGTTTGTTGATTTGGCTTTTGTGAGTGTTTGTTCCCCTCCCTATTAAATAGCATGTAATTTTTCTTTAATCTCCAAGACTGCAACCTCATGCTAAAATTTCAGTCTGCAATTAATAATGAAAAAACTCAACACATCATTCTCTCCTTTTATAGTATTTTGACTTCATAAACAAAGCAACGTCCAATCATTTCAGGTGAAATCATTAGATATACTCAGAGCAGCTCATTAATGTTACCCATTAATGAAACTTAACATTACCCACTGTAGCTATGGACAATATACCCACTGTAGCTATGGACAATATACCCACTGTAGCTATGAACTGTTCTGCTTCCGCTAGGTCATCATATTCCTCCTTAAGTGAGCCGAGCTCTTTGATCTGCTCGGGTTCTGGGAGGTACTTGATGAGTTGTTCCAGCATCCCCGTGGTCAGGTGCTCCTTATCCACCTCCACGATCCTCCTCCTGATTTCCTTGTAGGGGGTCTTTAGAGAACCAAGTAACATAGCTGTACAGAAAAAAAATACTCAATATTAAAATAAAGCAGAAAATCAAGAAGATAATGACTACTTATAAATGTTCAATGTTAACTTACAGAGATTCATGGCGGATTTTGGATCCAGAACTCGGAGATCTTTGACTTTTTTTGCTTTCTTCTCATTGGCTACTTCAACCTCAGCATCTTTTTTAACGGCTACAAAAATTTCAACCAGCTTTGCAGGTAATCTTTAACATATACTTGAAAATTGTACGCAATGTCAATACAAAAGAAGGTACTGTATACAGGGAAATTTTCGCCCCAGTTTTATTTTTGCCCCTTTCGCCCTACTCACAGGTGGGCGAATTTAAAACGGGGCGAATTAAAAAAAACACAGTATGATTTCTTTAAAAGAATTGTAACTGGGCGAATTTAAAACGGGGCAAAATTATTTTTAAGTGTGAATGGGCGAAAATAACATGAGGCGAAAATAACCCTGTATACAGTATTTTATACAGGGAAATTTTTGGCCCTTTCAACCTTATCCTAAGCGGGCAAATTTAATACAGGTCAAATTCAAAAGAAGATAGCATCATCTCTTTAAAACTTATGTGTCTGGGCAAATTTAAAATGGGGTAAAATTGTTTGTAAGTGTGAAGGGGTGAAAAATAACACTGAGGAAAATAACCATGTATACAGCAATTTTAAAAATTTTTCTTTCTTACGTTTTTTAACACTAAAATTCTCCATTAAGGACTGGAATATAAAGTCATCCTCAAACTTGCTTTCTTCTGCTTTTACCCAGAATGAGTCCTCTTTCAGCTTATTTGAAGGTATCTGGAATAAGATGGGCAATAAGCTATACATTTAATGTACATGGGATACAGTTCAATGTTATTCCATATAAAATAACTTAGAAAACATATAATTGGTATGCAGTAAAGATCTTTAGCTTCTGTATTTCCAAAATTTCATGACCTTATTTCTTGAAAAATTGTAAAATTTAAAAAATTTAATAATTTTTTTTATTGTAAACCATAACTCATCAAATACCTTTTCCCAGTTGATGCGTTTAGTTTGATCTTTTACTTCATACTTTTTCTTTGGTTTCATTCCAAATGGAAGCTGAGGTGCAACAGGTTTAGGGGGACCTGGAGCTGGAAAACCAGGGGGAGGGGGTGGAGGAGGACCTCCACCAGGAGGAGGGGGTGGAGGGGGCACCCCACCTGGAGGAGGGGGTGGAGGGGGCACCCCACCAGGTAATGGAGGAGGGGGTGGTGGAATTGGTGCACCACCAAGGGGTGGTGGAGGAGGTGGAGGAGGTGGAACACCCCCAGAGAGAGAAGGGGCTGGGGGTGGAGGTGGTACAGCCCCTGGTAAACCTGGAGGAGGTGGAGGAGCTGGGGGTGGAGCAATCCCACCTGGAGGAGGGGGAGCAGGGGGAGGTGCTGGTACACCACCAGGCAATGGAGGGGCTGGGGGAGGGGTAGGGATGGTGACCCCTGGAGGAAGAGGTGGTGGGGGTGGGGCAGGAGGAGGGGCTGGGGCTGAGGATGGAGTTGCAGTCTGAGTTGGCGGTGCTTGTGGTAGTAGGTCTTCTGTTGTTTGTACATATGCATGCTTGACTTCAGCAGGGGGAGCTGGGATGGAGCCTTTGATGTTGACTGGTCTGGCAATATCCTTATCTACGATGGCTGGACGATTTCTTACCTTTACAAAACAAATTACTGCCATTACAGTATGCTAAGTAAAGATTGTTTCTTCATTAATTTCACATGAAATAAGTTACTGTACATCTTCTAATAAAAAAAATTACGAAAGAGGCTCTTTTGTTAAATAAAAGTTTCACAGTGCACATAGAGACCAGTGAAGACACTCCAGTACCTTCCCAACTGAATTCTTCATGTATGATGACGAATATTATGATTAAATAATGAATATTGAATTAAATTTCAAATATCATAGAGTTTTATTATAGTCTAAATGCAGGACCTAAATTTGAAATGTAAACAGCAGACATGAGAGTTTCTGGGGTGACAAGTTTCCCTTCCTTCAACAACACAAGTTCATTCTTTTTATCACGTCTCTAATTTTTACCTGTTCCCTCAACTGAGCAATTTCTTTATCTTTGTTTGCCCTCATGTTTAGCAGATCATCCTCAGCTTGTTGTTTTTTCTCTGCAAGCTCAGCAAGCTGGGACTTCAGGTCAGCATCAAGCTCCTTCATCCTCTGCTCAAGCTGCTCTTTTTTCTCCTCTGCATCATTGACTTGAGTGAGGTACTGCTCCTCCATGATCTGCGCCTTGGACTCCATTTCCTGTTTAGCAATCAGAGCATTGTCCAACAGGGCCTGGACTTTAGGAAGGTTCTCGGCACTCGGAGCTAATTCTGACACCTTTTTCTCCAGCTCACAAATTTCTTTCCTTCTGTCTGCTAAGTCATCTGTATGAAAACAGTATATGCATAAAAACAATTTTACAACCAAGGAAGTATCACATTATTCTTGTAAAATTGTTATAGGGACTTTTAATTTATTTGTTTCTCCTATGCAATCAATTGAAGAAAAATAAAATTAGGGCACATGCACAAATTTACCTTACCAGTTACAGTAACACAGGAATATCATTGATGTCCCTAAAAAGTTCCTGTTATCCCCTATTAAATCCAACTTGCTATTTATCAAGTCAGGTTTTAATGCTACAATATAAAGCTTGATTTTTATAATGAATAAAACATATATTGAACATTTCTAACTTATCAGTTTCTCCATTTTGATGTCAAATCTTTTAGTTTTCTTGAAGTCTGGGTCCACTCCATCTTTGTGCAGAACGATCTGTGTTAAACATTCCTCAATCAGCCTGTAGTACTCCGTCCTGAAACAAAAGGTGCATAATGAACAGCATACAACAAACAGTGTGTACATGAAATAACAGAATCTCTGTTGTCACATACAACAAACAGTGCTTACAAAGTCTATCAGTAATCTAGAGGGGGCTCAGTCAATAATATCATTAATATCCATTCCACAAACTCATATAAGGAGCCACCAAACTATAGCTGATTAATATTAAAAAAGGTTATCAATTAACAAAACAATAGATCATTAAAATTTACGTTATCAATTAACAAAACCATCAATCATTAAAATTTAAGTAAACTTATAAAACATTTGTTGTCAATAATTTTTTCTTTGTGTGATCCCAGAATAGTACTGCTTTTCTCCGAATCTAACAAGGGCCCAAAACAGATTTTACATGGCACCCGCATTAACACAGACAACATATGAGGTATCCCTATATGTTACGGTTAGTAAATTTCATATATGTTCATTATGGTCATTTTGGATAAGTTAATTTTATAGGTTTCTTTTTATATATGTATTTATATCTAAAGACTTCTGGAAATAAAATCTCTTGTAAATAAAAATATTTGAAGAAACAAGTTACACATAACTGTTATATGTTTTGGTTTCATGAAAGGGCTTAAACATAAAATGGGATTTTTTTTTTTTTCACATCAACATTTTAAGTGCAATAAACTGGAACACAATTCCATTCATGCTGATCATTAATGTCAAAAGACTGACTTATTTTTATAATTAGAAATGAGTGCATTAATTTTCTTGTAAATTGACATTTCTTTGTAATACATGCATCATTTAATGTAGTTTTCTTTTTAATTCAAAATTTATAAATAAGTAATGTGAAAAAAAACCTTGCTGCAAATATTGGATATTAAGAATATTTAATTCAAAATATTCTAAATCCATTGCAATATTTTATACATGTAAAATGTATGGATTTGCTTGGTACATGTGTCTGTAGGTCTATACATGATGTTATACAGCTTCTAACAATGTGTATCCACACTCAACAAGAATTCATTCAGAGATACATTTACATTCATAAATCATTCATCCAAAAAAAAGATTTTTTTTTACAAAGAAAATTTATCAATACATATATATATGTCAAAACTAAAGAAATTTGATTTCCACGTAAATCAAGACAGTTTGACAAAACAATAGCACATGCCGTTACCTAGAATGTAGAGAGATCTGAAAATAAACAGACTTTGCCGTGACAATGGACAAAACAGAAGCTATAACAATAGATACCTGAGTAGCTGCTAAACTTTACTACATGACAGAAGTTAATAAATGTCAGATAGACATGCACTAAATGGGAAAAAACTCCTACCTGACAAAAAAGTCATCTCGTATACACAACAAATGCTGAAGGATGGAGAGAAAACACATCTCACTATCTCGGTCTGCAGAGTTTAGTTGTTTTAGCATTTCATAGCAATGATCAGAGTCTCTGATTCCATATAGGAAAAAGTTACAACAATGTTTATAATCAGCTTCTGATGCATTCAGCACTAATTTATTCATTATGATACATATATGGAAAAATGAAATGTTAAAATTGGACCATTAAAAATTAACCTTTGTATTTAATCATTTGTATTTTGTCTATTATCCAAAATCATTATTTTGCATTTAAAAAATGGAGTCTAAAAAGACAACTTCTGGATGTTCCTTGTTTTTTCTGATAAGGATACGACATATCAACTTTGGTGAGTTCAAATCTCTGCATTATCTCCTCCTGGTCATCGTCCGCTTGATCATGGAACGTTCTCAGCTGGACTTGTAACTCTTCGTTCTCTTGTTCATCTAAATGCTGTTTAAAAAAAAAACTTCATAGAAAAAACCTAATCATTCATGAAAGATGTGAAGCAGCTGGTGTAGATTACAATGCATTGTTGCTTTTTTGGGGACAATTTTAGTGCTTACTTAAGTTGTACGAATAAAAGATGCCTTTCACTGGCACTATGATATTATTTTTTCACCTTGATCAAATCTCGCAGCCCACATCTCATGAATTCATTTCTAAGATGGAGTCGGAAGTCTAAGTTATGAGGAGTACAGATGATGGCATTCACGAGCTGCATACAGCCGACCTGTAGCGGGACATTTATTCTCATACCCAGACCCGTGATAATCATGTCAAACCGGTCCATGTTCTTCATCTCAGCACTGACAGCCAGTCCCTCCAACACCTTCTCATGCCTAAAAAAATTACAGGTAACTGGGTCAAGGTGAATCAAAGTAAACACTGTTCAAATTGCTTTGTAAGACAATTAATTTTGAGACTAACATTAGACCAGTGTGGCACAATAAGAGAGACAGTCTTACATATCACAATACATACAAGTATATTTTAGAATATTAAGAGGAATTGCTAATGACTCTGTTGAGAGTATACTTTGTATGATTGTGGGGGGATAAGAAATGATGGTCCTTACCCCCGAGGAGGTTCGTAGATACAGACAGCAGCCAAAATACTGACACACAACATCATGGTGTCAGGGTCAGTTGGGTCCAAACACCGGGACAAGATGGACAAGCCCTCCTCACTCTCCAGCATTTTAGTCAGGCCAAACTGATGATAACCAAAAAAAAAGAGAATAATACATGTACATGGATAAACTAAACATTTTAGTCAGGCCAAACTAATGATAAGAAAAAAACCCAGGATGATACATGTATAAACTTAACATTTTAGTCAGGTCAAACTGATGATAAGAAAAAAAAGAGGAAGATACATATATAAACTAAACATTTTAGTCAGGCCAAACCTATGATATGAAAAAGAGCATCAAACATGTATAAACTAAACATGTTATACAGTGTGATTCTTTGGAATGCATTCTTGTACATTATATGCCTGATAGTCTAATCACAGGGCTTACAATGTTATTATAAGTTATAGTATTATTAGTGATTTGCAGTTTATTTGTAACTTATGGTATTATCTAGGACTGACAGGTTATTTATAACTTATGATATTATCTAGAACTTACAGTGTTATTTATAATTTATAATATCTAGGACTTACAGTGTTATTTATAACTTATGGTATTATCTAGGACTTGCAGTGTTATTTGTAACTTAGGGTTTTATCTAGGACTTACAGTGTAATTTATAACTTACAATGTTATCTAAGACTTACAATGTTATTTATAACTTACAATGTTATCTAAGACTTACAGTGTTATTTATAACTTATATTATCTATGACTTACAGTGTTATTTATAACTTGTATTATCTAGGACTTAAAGTGTTATTTATAACTTACAATGTAATCTAGGAGTTACAGTGTTATTTTTTATACTATTACAGTATTATTGCACTATTATCTAGGATTCACAGTGTTATTTAAAACTTTTGGGGTATCTAGGACTTAATGTGTTATAACATGATATTATGTAAGATTAACAGTGTTATTTATAACTTTTGGTATTATAGACAACTTATAACTTAGGGCATTATCTAGGACTTACAGTGTTATTCATGAAAGCCTTGATACATTTGACACATTCCAACCGACTTTGTCTTTCCTCTTTCCTGGAACAAAAAAAACAGACACTGATAAAAATCTCCTTAAAATTCTAGTGTAAGTACATGTATAAAGATATTAACAAATACCCTGTGTTAATGCATTTTATTAAACATCAAATTCAATGAAAAATGAATGATGAATTGACATATCTTTTTCATGGTATCTCTATTAAAACTTTTCTCATTGTGCACATGTATTCCATTTGTACATAGCAAAAAAAATTGTCAATAGAATGGAAGCAACAAAATGTTCTGGAGAAAACTTTAAAACTTTGGACTCACTATGACATTTAAATCAAGGATATAAGTAAAAAAAATCAAAAACAGAGATGATTAGCTGTATTTATATTATGTAGAGATACTTGTGTGGTTCACAGACCCATGGTTACCTATATTATAACAGTTCTGGATTAGTATGACACTGATTTACATGTGATTTATACATCAACAACACAAATAAGTTACTTCTGTAATACATATATATAATGCATAATGAATATTTGTACAATCAATGATGACAATGTGTACAGATACTTTACATAGATGCTCCCATTTGTAGAGAATACATAACATGCATAATGAAAATTAAAACACCATTTATTGCTTTCCTCTCACCAAATGGCTTTTAATGTTAGATAGTTCATGTAAATAAGTGTTTAATTTTACTTTTATTATTTTATTCAAAGCTCTGAATAATTTTGAATTTCTCACTTCATAAATCATTTCCCCCAAATTAACAATACCTTTCAAAAGTAACAGTAATAAATATTGTCCTTTGTTTTCTCTGATTCTGCCTTCAATGTCTCTAATGGTTTTCCCTATACTAATGGCCATTGATGTCAAAATTCTGTTTACTCCATTGGGTTCTATGAACATTAAATGAGCAATCTAATTATCTTTTTGATTTAAACTTAATTAATGAAACACTCTGCCATAAAACTGAAATGAAACTAAAACAAAAAGCTGAAATGACAGCGAGTACATCCTTAATGGTTATTGATTGACTTAGCTCTGATACAGAAAACAAATGATTGAGGTTGTAAAACAGGATCAGAGCCCCCCCCCCCCCCCATACCCCCCCTCTTTCCAAGGATATACATTGTATCTCCACAATTCTATGTGTGTCAGTCAAACTGAACAAGCAATGATAACTGTTACAAGCTGACATTGGTATTTATTTATTAATCAAGGTCTCATAATTATCATGAAGTTTACTTTATGTCTTAAATAAAATGTTTAATGTCTAATTTACATGAAATAGATGTATAAGAGTTTGAGGAATCAATATAGCATTAAATGAGGATGTAGATATCTGGTTTGTGCCTCGTATCTTAATCTACAGCTGTAATGAATCTTTCAATCTTATCTCAGACCCTTGTGATGATTAGCAGACTTCTGTGTGGAATATTGGCAAGATAACTACTTCTAAACTTTATATTTAATACAAAAGACATGATCACACAGATATAAGACTAAATTTATCAGTGATAAAACCCAGATATATATAAGACATGCTGGTTATAAATGCACTGACATGCTGTACTGAGATGATCCATCAACTGTCCCGTCTTCCTCATTACAAGATGCACTTGATAAATATTTATATTGCTTCCTTTAACGGCAAACATAAAGGTATAGCATGCGGAGAAAAAAAAAGAAATCCAGCCAATTTTCTGTATATAACTGTATATTATGACAGGTATATGATGTAAGCTGAAGCACAATTGGGAAAAATCCATTCTCTGAAAGGTTTCCAGTAGCTTCATTAATTTTTGAATGATTTATTTTGAACTGGGATCAAAGATATTCAAAAAAAAATTATTTCAATCAAAATTCATAAAGAAGAGATTAAAAATTGATAAAGCTACTTAAATTGACAAACGAGCAATTCTACCTCATTGTTTCTTTTGTTCTGTGTTCAAACAATACAACATAAACCTAGATTACATTTCCCTGAGCCATTAAATGCATTAAGTCACAAAAACAAATACCATTAGTATACTTAATATGAAATATTGATCTTTAAGCACTTAGGCCACTTTCTATGAACATTATACATGTAGTATATAGACATGATAAAAAAATAAATAGTGAACCATGGGACTCTGTCTATGTTGGAGTATTTAAACTTGATGCAATTTGCAAAAATGCCACCCCCCCCCCCTTTAAAGCTTACCCTGTCTTCTACGAAATGCCAGTTAATTTTCTATCAACAGGTCTATCCCTTTTAAAAGGTATCTAAATTATCTAAACATAGGCACAGTGGTTCTTCCTCACTTACCAGTTCAAACCCTGAGTCTATAATAATACCCTGTAACTTTGTTATAGTATAAAATTGTTAACTGATAAATCTTTAGAACTGAATTATGGGTAAGGTCAAGAGTCAATGTTTTCTGCACACAGAGTTTATTATACATATTATCATGTTGATCTCCAAAAAATGTCAAAGTTCAACTACAAAGGAATCCTAAGAAACATGTATTAATTTTTACTCAGAGTATAAAAATTCTAAAAATGTTCTGCCATCCACTGCTATCGATTCAAAAGACATCTGCCCCTATAACTGCCAAATTTTGAAAATTTCTCAAAATGTGCATGTGTTCATATTGTTTAAATGAAAACAATTTACAAAATATACAATGGATTGGAAATCATAATGGGCTATTTTTATCTCTATGACATCATAACTTAGAGGGATTTCCCATTATACATGTATCTTATACAGAAGACAAAATTTGTTCAATTTTGACTCGAAAACCCATAGAGAGCAAACTCAGGTTGTCACTGATACTTTCATTCTTCACATTATTCTAAAAGATGGAAACTAGCAATGCACAATTCTCATTTTCCCTTAAAATCATCGAAAATTGGAATTTTCATTTTCTTAATGTCATATCATATTTATAACATTATATTTGATGTAATTTCTTATTGATGTGAAGTCTACAATTATTTCCCTGGGAATATAATCACAAATTTTCTTTACTTATTTTTTTTTTCAAAATTTAATTTTGGAGGCAGATAATGAACATTGCAACATCTAGTCCATTGAGATAGAACTCATAGTTATTCCACCTCCTGTAAAACCTGATCCACCCCTGAGGCTCTCTGTGCATCTATAATCACAACACTTCCAAATATAGTGTGACCCCTCCACAACGTTTAATTTGACTCACAGTAATGTCCCTGCAGTGTCTCCTGTCATTATTGATCTAGCTTAAAAACTGTCTATAAATACATGTACATATATATACCTACAGACATAAAGTTTATTATATATTTACATTTTTCATAAAAATCAATATATGGATATATTTTTAATTCTACAGTGTCTTGCTCCTACTATTCATATCCTTTACAAGAATCCAGTAGACTTCATATAAAACATGAACATGTACATCCAAACTTCGTAATCTAGAACTCAAAGGGACCAAGAAAATACTTCGAGATAACCGAGGATTCAAGATATCCAGGGTAAAATATTTAAGGAATAAGCAGATGGGACTTCAAAATAACTTTGACATATCCATGGTATTCGAGATATCAGTGTTCGAGATAACGAAGTTCAACTGTATATTAACATTCTACTTAATCTGATTGACTACACAGGACAGTGGAACTACAACACAGGACATACAAAAATAATGGATTTTACAAGTTTAAAAATACAAGATAATTAAATAACAAATAGGCATTCTCACTTACTTGTTACAGCAATGTACAAGGTGCTTCAGCAACATATTGAGACCATCCTCACCAAACTCTTTAACCCAGCTAAAAATCATAGCAACATAACATAAGGTTAATATGAAAGTTTAAGAAAAAATTATATATGTAATACTTTGTAAAAGGATGTTTGAACATGAAAAATATCGTTCTGCATTACATCAAACAGATACTACAGTACATCATAAATTTTTTGTAAATCATTTACTCAATACTGCTAAATAAATATATTAAATAAAAAATACCGGTATTTATCTCTAATAATTCACACGTAAAATTTCTCCTTTTACAAGAAAGGACAGTATATGACAATGTACATATTGCTTGATTAAAAATTCCTTTGTTTGTTTGTTTGTTTTTTGGTTTTTCATTTTGTTTGTTTTGTTTTGTTGTGTTTTTTTTTGTTTTTTGTGTTTTGTTTTGTTTTGTTTTGTTTTTTTTTTGGGGGGGGGGGGAGGGGGGGGGGGAGGCTGCTTACCTACTTGTTTACTTGTTAAAATGACTTTTAGGGACTTGATACCTTCAGTCTCTCACTCTCATCTTCCTATATTTTTTAAGGGGGTGGAGGGTGAGGGTAGGAGTGGGCACTGGAGAGAGAGAGTGGATACTTCACTGACTGGTTTACTTGTTAATATGACCTCTAGGCTTGAGTATGTCTAGTCTCTGTAATTATTTTGCAGGGGAGGGGGGGGGGGCACTGGAGAGAGTGCTTCTCTGAGTTGTTTACTTGTTAACCTGACCTTTAGCTTAGTGACTTGAGAATTTCTAGTCTCTCATCTCCCTGAATTTTTTTTTTTTTTTTTGGGTGGGGGGGGACGGGTTGCTTACCTGACTGATTTACTTGTTAACATGACATTTAGGCTTGATAATTTCTAGTCTCTCATCTCCCTGTAATATATTTATTTTTTTTGAAGGGGGGGGAGGGGGTATTTACCTGACTGATTTACTTGTTAACATGACATTTAGGTTTGATAATACTAGTCTCTGATCTCCCTGTAATTCATTTATCTATTTTTTTGAAGAGGGGGGAGGGGGTTGCTTACCTGACTGGTTTACTTGTTAACTTGACCTTTAGGGATTTCAGAATTTCCAGTTTCTCGTCTCCCAGTAATTTTTTTTTGAAGGGGGGGGGGGGGGAGGAGGGGGTTGCTTACCTGACTGATTTACTTATTTCAGATTTCAGAATTTCCAGTTTCTCATCTCCCAGTAATTTATTTATTTTCTTTTAAGGGGGTGGGGGTGGGGGTGGGGGGGTGGGGTTGCTTACCTGACTGGTCTCTGATCTCCCTGTAATTTATTTATTTTTTTAAGGGGGAAGGGGGTTTGCTTACCTGACTGGTTTACTTGTTAATATGACATTTATTTATTTTTCTGATGGGGGGGGGGGGGGGAGGGGGTTGCTTACCTGACTGGTTTACTTGTTAACATGACCTTTAGGGACTTCAGAATTTCCAGTCTCTCATCACTCTGTAATTCTGGGTTATTTAACTTTGCCAGAAATGTACTAGGATTATCAGTATGTTCATCAATCTGCAAAATATTACACTTGAATTAATGTAAAATTTCTCATTCTACATCTTTAGACTATTTTCAATCTTAAAAGTACAATTTATCTGTAATCTGGAAAAAAAACAATTAAAATTGTTCTTTTACTTCACCATAGCTTCAGAGAGCCACAAAGGTGACTTACAATAAACCAACTATTATTAGTATCATCTTTTATTCGCGATTCATCAGTTTATTATCAATCCACGACGATTAATTTTCACGACTGAGGAATCATTCTTTACAAATACAATGCAAAATAAATGGTTCACGGTGATATATATTCACGAGTTAAAGTAGGTCGCGAAACTCACAGATACTTCTCGCACGTTGATTTACAGTTGGTTTACAGTAACTCGCTTTGTAAAATACTTTAATTTTGAACATTTTAAATTGCACATACATGTTGTTTTATCTCACAACAAAGCACACTGTAAATACAATGTTAACACTGAATTGCATTCTCAACTTGGCCATTTATGGGTACGTACATTGTCAACATTGAACTGCATTCTCAACATAGCCTTTTTCTCTTCTATGCCTTTACTTCTTAGCGGTGCCTTTTTTTCTTCTGTTAAGTTTAAGTTGTCCTGAAACAATGGAATTAGTTCTAAGCCTTCTAAAACCTAATTACAGTCACTATTTCTTGTATTCATTCTTAGCCTATAACTGAAAACTTCTTTTAGGATAAGTTTTTCTTTCTATTATTCAAAAAAATAACAATGAACATTTTGTTTTGCTTGTGTATGTATGTTTGTTTGGTTTTTTTCCCTTTTTCTCTTCTTTCTTTTCTTTTTTTTTGGGGGGGGGGGGGGGGGGGTAAATAGCATGACCGATGATTAAAAATGTGAAACGTGGAAATTTAAGTGTAATTTTTAACAAGAGATTTGTTAACCCACTCATAGAGTGAAAAAACATCAATAAGTAAACACTGCATAATTCTGCAATAAAGGATTGTATAGACTGTCATAAAATATCAATTTAGGAACGGTACATCATTTTAAAGTGTCAAGTCTTAGCCAATATTTGCACCATTGCCACTATTTCAGCAATATCAATACAACACAAAAATGTTACTATAAATAAAATCTTCCAAGTAAAACACTTAATACTCACCAGCATCTGTTCAAAGCGTTCATTAACCTGCCACTGAGTCATGGTCTCCATCGCCATTCCAGCTATTCCTTCTGTCATTCCATGCATGGTGCTGGATTTCTTATCCTTCTCATCTTTCTTCTTTGGGCGATGAAACTTTTGAAAAAGATCCATTAAACACTGCACATGTGTGTATAAAATAGCATTAAAAAATCTATGACAAAAGTACTATATAAACAGTAAGTCAACTTACAAAACTTTTTTGTCCTTTTCCCTTTTTGTCCTTCTCCATGGTTGGAATTTAACTAAATTAAAAAGTAACAAAAATCAACACTTTTTGTCACACACATTGTGTTCTGTATCTATCATAATGATTATCTAATGTTTGATTACATATCCTGTGTACCACAAAGAATGCAGTAAAAGTACATCTACCACTATAATCAAAAAAATAAATTTTATCATCACCAGTAAAAATTTTACATTCTTCTGAAATTTTAATTTTTTGTCTTCTGACACTTTCAAAGCCTATGTTTTACAACAATAGATGTAATAATTTTTTGGTCCTAAAATCTCAATACTCAATCTTTTGCATTTTATCCAGTCACATACTTGTGAACATCCCATTTCAATTCATATATATTCATGATTATAATACAGTCAAAACTCGTTATCTCAAACTCGAAAGAACCAATTTAATCATCAGTTTAATGAACTTACAAATTTACAATATCTAGCAAGAATGCCAGACATGATCAGCCCTCCTCCCTTTTCCAAAAAAAAAAAAAATCATTTTGTCAGTCTTAATTCTACATGTTCTATACGCCATTTTCACAGTATTTGTGCTAATTGTGTTGCACTTGGACCAAAAAATAAAAAGTCAAACAGCACATTATTGACATGTTTTCTAGAAAGTACAATACCTATGCAAATGAGTCCCAAATTTTTTTTATATAAGCATTCTTACGAAAAAAGTTATGCGAAGTCAAATTTTGGGCGAGACCTTGTGTTGCGGACACTACATTACACCTGTTATGTCTAAAATAAAATATTAAAGATATTTATTTATTCCAAACTTCTTGCGGGTTTTGATTATGTACCTAATTGCAGTCAAATAAAAGAAAAATCTTATGGTTCTCTTTGCAAACAAAAATTTTATTCACATTAATGACTTGCTAATTTTTTGCCTAATTTATCTCCCTTCCTTAAGTTTATCTACCTTTACAATCACACATAAGACCTATATAATTGTCATGTGAAAATTAAATTGAATACTTCTAAATTTCAAATACATTTGTCATAACACCCTGGATATCTTCGTTTGTATCTTGTCTAGCTTTGAAAATGCATAGCATTTTTGTTGCGGACACTACAAGTAACCATAAGAATAATCTTTTGTCATTTTTATAAAAATAATTGTTGATAAATGTTCATTTCTAGGTTGAATTATATACCACCGGATCAACTCTTGAAAATGTATCATATAAAAAGATGCAGAATGTGGTTTATTGAGATGAAAATAACCACATAACAAGGACCATTAATAATTTCTTGATGTATTATTGTTTTGCAGTTTTAAAAAATGTCTATGATTTTACTTATTTTAAAACAATTAAAGAAGTTATAACAAATAGTTTTATAGATAAATTCAATGAATTAAAGAATTTACTGAGGCATCCATAATTTTTTTTCAGTATTGAAATTGTTGCGGACACTACAATATATTGAAATATTGCTATATGACACCATATTTGGTTTAAATGGAGTAAACTGAAAATCTTAATCTCTAACTAGTTCTATATGTACAGTAAATGGTGTTATATTATAGGGAAATAAAAAAAGGCTAGTCAAAAATGGCTATCCGGCCTGGAAAATAAAACCCATATATATACCAGTAAGTTTGAAGTGTTATCTTGTACAAAAATCACCATGTGTTATCTTAATCCAGTTAACTAATTGTATTATCAAAGGAGCAAAATATCAGAGAAGTGTTTTACATTTCAAAAATATTTAATGAAATAAAAAGTGAAAATAATAAATGAATGTGGTATATAGTTATTACTGTAGTAACTGTATTAATTAGAACTAGACTTATTAATTAACAATTAAGATCTTGATATATTCTTTAGTTTCCACTTACTCAGTTTTAAATACCACATGAAAATTAACTTTCAATATATAACATAAGACTGACAATTGAAAGATTTTGAATATTATGCATAAACAAGTCGTTATGGGTGTTATTCAAAGTATGAAGTTATAGTTCCACTAAGTTTTGTAACCTTACATATTTGTATTGAATATTTGGACAATTATAGTGATGATCAATTGAAATCATGTTACATTTCTTTGAAGAAACTGTGAATTTAAAAAGCTGTTGCAGACTCTACAGCATTGCGGACTCTACAAAACACAATATATTTGCCAGAATTCCAAGCAACACTGAGCTAAAGTCCGATATTTTTTCGTAGAAAGATTAGTAGCTGTACTGGCCTCTTACATGTAAAATAAAAGAAATATAATCATAATGCATTCCAGAATAAGCACATGTTGCGGACACTACAGAATTTTGGGACATTTTTATGCCAGTAAGAAGAAAATGTGTCATTTCTAAAGTTTCGAAGAATCCACTCAAACTTTTCTTTATTGTTTCATTTATCATTTAACTCTTATTTTAAAATTAACCTAAAGTAAGAGTAATGCATTAACATATATTTTTTTAAACTGCAAGTTCAAACAGTAGAATTTTATTAAATTTCATAACGGATCTGCATTTTCACATATTTAAACATTATTTCGCTAATATTTAGCTGATTTACATACAGTAAATTGCATATAAAAGAGGGATAATTTCACAATGATTTGACATCTATAACTAAGAGTTTCTATTGTAAATCTCCTGAAACAAAAACTGGAAAACAAAGCCATTTTTCAGCTGCAACAGCATAACGCAAAATATACCCCATATTTTAGGTAGTAAATCTTTAATATTTTTATTGTCTAGAACATGGGAGTGTTATATATCATTTAACTTGTTAGGGGTACCATTTTGTCATAATTTGGTCATAATTGTTAAGGGTTTAATCATATATTTTGATGCAGAGTGCATTATAACATAAGTGAGTATGAAAAAACACAAATACTGTGAAAATGGCGAAAGGAAGTGGATCCAAATGCATCCTGTTTCTTTATTCTTATATTTCCTTACCATAGTAATATCACTGAGGTAAGTTGTTTAGAAGTCATGGCCCTTTGAAACCCCTTCCCTCTTTTCAATGATTCATCTTATAATAAATAGCATATCAGTAAAATTTGTCTAATCCGGACTCTGAGTACTCTGGATTTTTGTCCATCCCAGCGATAAATTTTAGTCCCATGCATTTTTTTAACAAATGCTTTAGAAAAAATTCTCTGTAGTCCGGATACTGTCTATTCTGTATTCCGAATGGCCATATTGGTCCCCACTGCTCATAATTAATGGTAATTATTTCCTCTAATCCGGCCATGCATAATAACCTGAGTTACTTCAAAGCAATTCACACCTTTCGTGGTAGATGTGCTAAAGTGTGTTTACGTAAGTGTCATTAAACTAACTGAAACGTGGTGTTGACACAGCCCACTTGAAGAAATATTATAATAAAAATAAGATTATATTTGCAAGTTAATTTTTTAAAAAATACACATTTAACTTGCTTTTAACTCCATATCACACAGTAAAACATAAAATCAATACAATATAGGTACAAATCAAAATATAAATCGGGATCGAAACTCAAACGTCTCTTTTCAAAATGGTGCCATAACATTGGAGGGAAGACATAAATTTTTACATAAAAATTAAAAATTCAATCCAATAATTATCAAATCGTTAAAAAATTTATGTTTATGGTTTTGTTGAATGCGCCCTTTCACATGCAAAACCCGGGTTGCTTGATATATAGTATAATATATGTGTCTGTAGATTTTGACTCTGGTAACATTTCATGTCGATTCTCAAAATTCGTGAACGAGAAAGAAAAAATTTACAGTTAATCATGCAATACTCTTTTATAATTCTAGACTCCAAAATATTGATTGATTTTATCATTTAATTATATTTGGCCTACATATATATTGAACTTGTAAATAAAACAACGAAAGTAAATTTCAAATATTTTCCTGCATTTTTCCTGCACTCCAGATTCTGCCTAATCTGGCCAAATTTTATGGAACCAGTGGTATCCGGTTTGGACAAATTATACTGTATATATATATAGAGAGAGAGAGAGAGATATTTATATAAACAACATTAATAAACAATAAACTGTACAATGCTGATTTTCAATTAAATCATTTGACTATTTTTTTTTAATCATGACATAATGATTTTGAAATCATATAAACAGCTTTATATTTATGCTTCTTTTTACTGTGATGACAATAACGATAAAAATTGCACAAATGGCTTTAGGGAAAATTGTCCAATTTCACTTAAACTGTTAAAAATCTTTTTTTTCAAAATTTGAAACAATTTCTCTTTGTTGTACAAATGGTTTAACCTTCTTTTCTTTCTTAAAAAATTCCAAGAATACAAAGTTTTTATGATTTGTCAATTTGTTAAACAAAATGTACAAGTAAAAATTATTCAGGAATATTTAGCAAAGAATATTTTCCCCTTTCTTCCTAAATAGACAAAAAATATATAATTTTAATATCCCCCTTTTCTCTAAATAGAGAAAATTAAAAAAAAAACATTTTAAAAAAGTTATTCAGGAATTTTAATATAGATAAATATTTTTTTTTTCTCTTTCTTCCTTAATACCATAGTCAAAATAAATTCTGGGAGTGACTGTGGGTGTGTCTGTAAAAAATGGCCTAAAACAATGGATATGTGTCGCGCGACGATATCAACCGCGCTTCCGGTGGTGTTAATTTCATATATCAATATATAAAATGTCATTTCCAATGTAATGGAAAGTGTCCCGGGATATTAAACACAAGTCTCCCGGAAGAAGAAAGGCGTTTCCTTTCATAAATCATTAGCTTCCATGCAGTACAAAGTAGCTTTGATCAGAATATACAGACTATCCTTAGTTTCGAGAAAATCGTCATATCTTACCTATTTTGTAATCATTTATCAATAAAAATAATTTACAGACCATAAATTTCAATCGCTAACATACAGGAAATAAACTATAGTCAATAAACATTAAAAACGACCGGATTTTACATTCCGGAAAAGGTTGATTTTTAGCTCACCTGAACGAAAGGTTCAACCATAGATGTATAAGGAATTTATTTATTTATTATTTAATATTTTTATTTA